TGCATAATTGTACTATTTCTATTCTGGCTCCAAAATGCTTAAGATGTAACTGCATGATTAATGAAAGAGTTTAATTGATCAACTTTAAAATACTTTAAAAGAAACATTGTGCTGTATATGTTTGCTGTATAAGAAAACAATGAGGTTAGCTGTTTAATTGATAAGTTGGGTCGGGACTAAAACCAGAAGACACTCCAGAAAAGGAATTTGCCCCCGTTAGATTAAATAGACAGGAGCTGCCTCATCTCTGAAGCATGGCCTGGGCTTGTCCATTCTTGGGTGTTTCTAGCTGTGTTTTCTTATCCTCCTGTTTTTGTAACACCTTCAGGCTTGACGAGCATACTGACTGCACCAGAATCTACAAGAATAATAGTTGTGCAATGAAATAAGCTGTTTCCTTTCCTTATTTTTTCACGTGTGTTCTTTGGTGTTCAGGTAGGAAAGTTTCCAGTATATTCCTCATCGGCATTTTACAGGTTGCAGGCTATAGGCTTTTAACTACGTGCACCAACGAAACCCAAAACTCATGTTTATCCCACTTCCCGAAAAGAGCAGCAACGTTTGGTTGTTGCCTCAGAGCTCGGAGACCTCAGCCTCACAGTCAAAGCAAGCTTTAGAAAACAGGTCTTAGTGGACTGACAGTGAAAGCCCTGTGATGAGCCGTGTGCTGGGGAGCAGCGGAGTCTCTCAGTGGGATGGGATGGGATGCTAGACTCTGTTCCAGAACACAGAGCCACCTCACAGCCTGGTGCAGTGTTGGCCGATTGGCAGGCGGACCCAGGAGAGGCCAAGCTGTGAATAGCTGGGGATGTTTACATCCGGATTGAGAATGCTCGCCGAGTCGCAAGGGGATTGTGAGAGCGTGTGTGTTTTGTGTCTGTGTGCCTGCAAGTACAAGGACCACCGATTGAAAGCAAGCTCTGTTAAAGCTGGGAAAAGCTGTCCCTGAATAGAGGTTGAATGAAGGGGTTTTAAGAAGAAGTATGCTCTCGGATGGACTGCTCCGTGATTGAAATTGTCGGAACATGTTTGACTTATTTCTGATTCTTTGCCGACAGCAGCCAAACATTTAAACAGATGTTGAAAACAAAAATTGATTAAGATAAAAAATACCTTTGACTCTTGAGCAATAAATACCATACTAAACTGTACTGCGATGTGATCTGCTATTATTTTGCTCATGTGGCAATATCTATATTTGCAGTAGCCTGTTACATTTACACTGAACATTCAAAAAGGAGGGGGGAATGATTGGATTGCAAATTTGGATTTTTACTGAATTGAATATTCAGAATGTAAATGTCAATTGGTGTTAAATCATCACAGCAGCACAAAATGGTTTAATCCCGTTTTAAAAAACAAAACAAATAAAAGGACTGAAAATGTATAATTTATTTAACACAATTTATAATTTATTGTTAAATGGGAAGAAATACATTGTCTGCTCTCAGGATTAAGATCACTTTATTGGCCGTACACAATTTGTTGTACTAGGAATTTGTCTTTTCGCATACCCCAACTTGCTCTCCATGAGCCACACAGACAGGGAGAGAAGCTTGGGGTCAGAGCGCAGGGTCAGTCATTTATACAGGACCCTAGGAGCAGTTGGGGTTAAGGGCCTTGCTCAAGGGCCCACCAGGGTAGGATTCCTCTTACCAACCAGCAGCCTTCCAGCCATAGGCGCAGATCCTTAGCCACAGAGCCACCACATCGCCCATTTATGTTTTGCGATTCACACCTGAAATATTTGTTGCTACCATCTATCCATTTTCAGTAACTTCCTCGTAGAGCACAGGGCTCTCCTTTCTTTGCATTTTCTTCATAAAGGTCATTTGCCTTTTTAAGAACCAGTCTAATTCCCATTCCAGGAATGTGTCGTGTTTTAACATATCAGTATCAAAGACAAACTGGTCGTCCTAACAGCGCTGTGAGTGTTTGTGGGAAATCCTCATCGGACTCTTACTCAAGAGCATAACAAAGGCTACAGAAGAGAGGAGGACATTCGACCTGTGGAGCCCGTTTGGTAGTTAGAAGCTAATTGATTCAGGAATCTAATGAAGACTTTTCTTGGGCACATGCCGCTTTGAGTGCAGAGGTACTGTCTGTTCTGTCCCCTCTGGCTCATGTTTCACTGTTGGTTCTAAAGGAGGTCTGCTGGTTTGGCTTTGACCTCAGTGCCTTTGAGGGTTCATATTATTGTGTCCCTCTCAGTCTTCTTTATTCACTTGCTCATGATGCTCTCCGGTGTTTAGACACAAAACCGCCATTTTAATTGCGGTGTCTGGCTGTAAGGGGGCAGTAAAAAGGGACCAGAGTGGAGCTGGCCAGCGTGTCGGGTGTCTCTGCAAACTTTTTGTCGTTTCCCCGTCTCTTGTCGTTGGTGGCTGTAAAAGCTGGACAAGAGGTACTTCGTTTCCAGCCCTAACGGGAGGCGTCTGCTGAGGTGCCTGCAGAGTGTGGAGCTGTGGGCGCTGAGCTTTTCTGGCTGCTGGAAATCCCAATGGTGGGCTGATTTGTAGGTCATTAGGAGCTCTCAGGGTGGGTTACAGCCTGGTGGTTGCAGAGGAAACAGAAGTGATGAACGGGTAGTAGGAGGCAGCAGAGGTTCAGGTTTAATTCAGCTGCACAAAGCTCCTTTATCGACTGTGTGCTTCCAGAGCGCTGCCCCCGGTGTGAGACTTGGACTCCCCAGCACTGCCACTGTGACCATCCTGTCCAACGACAATGCCTTTGGAATCATTTCCTTCAACACAGTAAGCCATCTCAGCGTGGTTTTTTTATCTCCTCTCTTGTTCATCTTTACTGTGAGGTTGATTTAAAAAAGATAAATAGTTTTCTCTATTTTATTAAGTGCATTGACTGTGTACAATGACTTGATTGAGAATATAACTGAGTGGAAACTTCAAAATGCGTTACAAACTAGCTACTGATGTAATAATATCCATCAAACCTTGTATTGGGGGTCACCAGCACTTTTTTGTGAAGGCAGGACTGATTTCTTCCTACAAAGATATTTTATAGATGATGTGTGATTTTTTAGACCATTTTTTTTTGTAAAAGCTGCAGCCATTTAAATGCCGTAAGGTTTAATCTATTTATAAACAAAGAATTTAAAAAGAGTTATGACAGGCTGTGCATGAAAGAATGCTTACATCAACGTGCAACGGTCTAAATGAAAAATGCCCCAGTACAATTAAAAAGATGTTTATAAATATGTTTGGAATCCTGTACAGAAGTTCTGCAGACACTGCAGCTGAGCACATTGTTATATTTGATAAAGTTTGTGCCAGGAGCATTATGTTGAGTTTTTTTTAATTTACTCCTGTTCTACTCCTAAAGGGTTTCTGTACTGTTCCTATACTGCTGTAATTTGCTTCTTGAATCAGTCTGAATTATATTACTCATTGTGACTCAAGGCTATCACCCTCCAAGGATGAATGCCTGTTGGGATATTATTCTTTCACCAATGTCAATGTCATTTACTTCCTTGTGTTTCAGTCAGGCACTGTTTGTAACCTCTTGTAAGTGTCTTTCACACACAAGTAAAATGGGACTAAACCCAGAGCAAATTTGGCATGGTAGCTCTTACATTTATCAGATCCACTGCAGGGAAGTTAGTTGTTAAAAGATGAAGCATGGAGTAATTTAGGTTGATTGAAGTCTCAGTGTAAGTTTATTATATTTGCCACGAAATCTAGTTTTATTATTCTCATATATTATTTCCCCATATAGTTTAATCAAATGTGTGCTGTTTTTTTTCCTGTGTGCACAAAATTATTTCAATTTCATTTTTCAAGGGTTGCTTGTTTCTTTGTTATTCTAAGCATCCCAACATTTAAAAAAAAGAACTCTACCATAAATGCTGGTAACAGCTTTCAAACAGTCTCCTGTTTGAAATATATTATATATAGTCCCACACATATGTACTGTACCGCTGTGCCACTAGTTCCTTTCTATGAAATGCAACTTGTGTTTTTCTTCTTTATTTTATTCTTGTAACACTAGTGCTACTCTATAGGGTTATTTTAATATTTCCACTGCTGTCGTACTCCACATGTAATTAAACCGCTCACATCGAATTACTGGAAAAGCCTTCTCTGTCGACAATAGCTTTCCTTGTTGTTTAGGGTGACTTTTAGAGTACTTGATTACCTTTCTGTTTCAACAGTGGGGAAAAAAAGGGGGCTTTGATTAAACTCCTTTTCCTGAATTCATGGGCCAAATACCTTTGTGTGGTGCAGCTGAAGGTTTAAAAACAAAAGAAGTACATGGTTGCTATAGGGACCGTAATACCTTCTCAGGACCAGTTTACAGAATGGATTAACTTGTTGGTGGGAGGTGGATGTTTCCATGGAAACAGCTTCTGTCATCTCAGCCCCTGCCCCTGCTCAGGCACGCCACACCCCCCCCACAGCCCACGCCAGAGCTCAGATATGTGGAGATTAACCGCAAACCCCCCTCCCCTCTCTCTTGCAGTCTTCTCTAATCCCCGTGAATGAACCCAGAGGTGGGAGGCAGTATGTGCCTCTCAGCCTCATCAGGGAGATGGGGACTTACGGCACAGTGGGTGTGAACTTTGAGGTGAGTAGCGGTGCTTCAGCGGACTCTGCCTGGAGTGAGTGCAGACCGCTTTCTACCAGAGAGGGGAACAGGGGCCGAGGCTGAAAGAGCACGTGCTGATTCTCTGGCGTGGAGGACTTAACCTTCTAAGGCATCAACCAGAAGATGTTTTTATCTTTTTTTTTTCCAAAGAGCTCATGCCATCTATTTTAATACTCATGTTTTTAAAAAAAAATTCTGATAATAACAGCATGCATTTATATAGGGCTTTTAAATCCCCTAGGTTCCCAAGAGAGCTTGAGATATAGGGGGGGCCCGTGTGTTCGTTCATTTAGTTGTGGCACCTGCTGGGTGATGCACAGCAGCTGCACGACACACCTGACACGCCTGGAGAAGGCTCCCCAGCCGAAACGTGGTGTGCCTTTCCTTTTTCCTTCCAGCAGGGAATACCCCTTTACCTGTTCCTTTGCAGCCTACGCACGCAGGATGCAGCCATCTACCTGAAAAAAAACCTTTAAGGACATGCTAATATGATTTGTTCGTTTGAAGGTTTTAATTAATTTATTAGGCAACAACAGCACATACTGTACGAAAAAGGAATATTGTCCTGTACTGGCTAGTCATGATGAATTTTCTATAAATGTACTACTGTGGAGGTGTCCTTCATTCATAAACAGTTCCAAAGCAGCTCGGAGTGATCATTTCCTAATAATTTTGTGCTATCTCCCAAAAAAAAAAATTAAAATGTTTTAATGTTTAAATGGAGATTTTCAGATTTTTCTCTCTTGCTCAGTTTCTTTAGATCCTTGCCAAAGCACAGTGTATAGCTTAAAGATTATTTTAGCACTTAATGGAGAGGGATTTATGATCAAGGATCGAGGGATCCAGGTCATTCCCAAATGTTCCCCTACATCCACTGTGTTTCTCTTGACAGATAAGCGATGGACCAAATGCAGCCAATGAGGATATCAGCCCCGAAAAGGGCAATATCACCTTTCCTCCTGGCACAGCTGTGATGGTATACAGCCTCTTGATACGTGATGACCAGGTACATCTTTTTGAGTTAAGAGCCGAAGTTCAGGGAGAAGGATAGTTTCTAATTTCACACACTTCTGCTCACCTACGTAAATGCACCCATGACTTCCCTTCGCGTGTCTCTCTGGCATCCCTCCTGCTACCCCATCTACACTCCCACAGCAGCTCCCTGGCTCATTCCTTGTAAAAGTGTAATATGGAGGCGGTTTGAGCAGCCTTATCCTTATGGCTAGTGTGCCATTCTCTCAGCTAGACAAGTCACACCAAGCACTCTGTAGATACTGGAATTCATCAGTCTGTCGCATTTGTTAGATTCTAACCAAACTCCTCAAGTGTTTAAGGCATTTTTGGAGACATTTGCTGCAATCTTAATAGACACTGGATATTGCCTGTGAAAAACAAAGATGGTTATTAAAGTCTTTTCCACCTAGCTCTGAAGAATAAGCAAATGTGCGCTGATAAAGGGAGATTATTTTTTTATTTGTTCCACACTCTACCCAGGTGTAAACAATTTACAGCTTCTTCTATGCAGACATTTTATTTAAATGTCTTTTGAATGTATCACGGGAAGAAATCAGGTTTCTTTTTTCATATATAGTCATTATCAAGGCCCTGCATATGCAAGTCATTACCCTAATGGGTAATAATTATTTAACCCAACCCATTTACTTATATCCTGTCATGACTGAATTTTGTCTAAGAAACATTTTTAGGCAGAATGTTTATATTTCATGGGTCTGCTTTTCTACTACAATAATGTGATTGTTTTGGCCTGTATTGCTGAGAAAAGCACCGATGTTTTTCAGATACCGGAAGACGATGAGCTGTTCACTGTAAAACTGACCAGTGTTGAAGGAGGGGCTTTTATTAACCCAAACCGCAGCAGCGTTCAAATCAGAATCAACAGGAATGACAGCCCCATAAAGTTTGCCCAGGCTCTACTGCTGGTGCCTGAGACTGCGGGCGTGGTCACGGTTGTAGTGACCCGAGGAAGGGACGAGGAGGACAAACTCATCGGCTCAGACGCTGCAGAGATCTCCATCGATTATACCATCGTCAGCGGCAACAGTACAGCCAGCGCCACGCTGAGATCCGACTTTGTCGACCTGCAGACCAACAGGACGATCGTGTTCCCCCCTCGGGTGTACGAAGTCCGACTGAGGTTCATGATCATAGACGACGCCGTCCCAGAAATAGCAGAGTCCTTCCAGGTGCTGTTAGTGGAGGACACGCTCAGGGGAGATGGGGTCCTGCTGAACCCCAGCGTTGTTCAGGTCACCATTGAGCCCAACGATAAACCCTATGGAGTGCTTTCAATCAGCAGTGGGCTTGTTGCTCAAACAGTGGTTATTAATGAAGATCTGACTCCCAGGTAGGCAGCTCCTTTTACAGTCGTATGACATTCTGTTTACATGTGAAGCTGTGCTGAAACTAACAATCCAAGACGTTTGCCGTTTCCTTTTTTTTATTTAAAGAGGACTCGCGGCGTCACATCACTCCTTCTCCTCTTTCACCTGTGGTGTCCGTGTGTTTTGCGCGCCGCCAGGTTCGACGGCATTTCCGTCGTGAGGATCGGTGGGACCCACGGCAATGTGTCGGTGGGGTGGGCCATCACGCGGAACAGCACCGACCCGTCCGCCGTGACCGCCGACTTGGCTCCGGCCGCGGGAACCCTGCGCTTCGCTGAGGGCCAGATGGCCGCGGCCCTGCAGGTCAGCATCACGCCCGATGACCTCCCCGAGGAAGCTGAGGCCTACCTCTTCAGACTCCTGCCCGGCACCGTTCAGGGGGGAGCAGAGGTGGATGAGCCAATGGAGGTCAGTAAACCAATACGGTGACGTGAGCAAACTCCTGTGTGCACCACAGCTGAACTAACCACTGTATTATAACAGCATTAACATGCCACTACTGATTATTCCTATTCCTATTCCTATTCCTATTCCAATTCCTCCATGCATTTCTGTCTAACATTTTATAGTCACAAACAATCCTAAAGCAAGATTTAGAGGGAGACCCACCTCATCTGCCATTGACCTTCCTCCTAGGTAATAAGAACCCGCCTGTAAAGCGAAGCACCGCTCATCTTTTCGAAAGACGCCAAGGGATCTTTAATGAACCAGGTTTCAGGGTCTTGGAGAACTGACGGAGAAAGTGTTATTGCCGCTAGTGAGTTCCTGGAGCTACGGGCTCCAAGGAGGATGAAGGGCATCTCAGCAGGTTGTTATTCCTCGGTGAGGACCACATGTTCTGTGCAGTGGGCACAGGGAGAACGAGAATCAGGAGTGAGCGTAGGGCTAGTTGGGAAGTGAACTGTTTTAGGTAACATGACTGAATTTAGTGCATATATTAGTGATTTCATTAGTATTTATTTTCTTTAAATCTGTCATTTTTTTCTATCTTGAAACCAGTGTTTCAGTGATGTCTTTGCCTTTACCTGTATTATGACTTTAAGTGCAACAAAGCAGAGGATTTCATAATATTACATTATTTTGTGAATCATGTTGCATGTTTCAGTTCCCTGTGCAATGTTGATATCACCTTTGTCAGGATTATTGGTCTTATTTCAACATTGGCCTTGCAGTATTGCATTGCATGTATCACCAAGATGAGCTTCTAGCAATTCTGCAAGTCTCTGAACTCCTAAAGTAGTTTCCTTATTTATAAATCCCATTTGTTGTTTTGTTTCATAGTCTATCCTATGTTTTCCTACAAACCCTGAATTTTCTCCTTATGTCCCTGTTTAATCAAGTATACTAGAAACAATGTTGAGAAATATGCGTAAAACGTAATCAGGGTTCTTTGTTAACACAGTATATTGTATATGAATAGTGCCAGTTTTAACACTAATTGAGTGAAGAGTTGGGTCCAACACCGAACAGCATCCTTCTAAATGAAAACAGATCCTCCCTCACAGGGTGGAAGATATTTGTAAAATCAACACTTGCAAGAAGAGCATCTGGGGTGCAGGAGCTGCAGAGGATGTGGACAGGAAGGATACAGATGTGTAGCACTGGCCACAGGATGATAGTACTCGCTATATGCTTTGCTGTTGCCTGGATCGCATTTTGTGTGGTTGTATTAAAAATAATTACATGAAAAGTTTAGTGGTTTACCGAGCAGGCAGTGCTTTTCCACCCCCTCACCGTCTAATTATTCAGTGATGCAACACAGAGCAAAAATGATTTAAGCTCGATGGGAAATGATTATCATCATGGGCCTGGATGTGTGAAACCTGATGGGCTCCAGGCATCAGTAGCACTTTTATTGAAACAACACTGTCTTCCCAACGGGAGGTAATGTTGGCAGGATGGGCTGTGCGTCACCACCCATTTTATGCCTTTCATATGTTCTTGTGCTCTGCACATTTCTCCCACTTCTGCAAGTCCCAGAAAACAGTATCTGTCGCATGGTAAATACATTCCTATACAGTACAGTATATTGTCAACAACTTTCGTTTTGCAGTATGTGGTGCCCTACATGGTATAGCAGTCAAAGGCACTGTACCTTTCAGGTTGTAATCCTTTCAGTTTGCTGCTGAAGATGTGAAATTCGTTCATTAACATGCAGGGGTCTGAGGAATAAACTACTGATGATAAGCAAGGGGATTTGCTTTTATTTCCCACAGGTAAAAAACAAACAATTTCCTAAAACATAGCGTTTATTACATTAAGGTTAGTTCATACTAAACAATGAGAAATGCCTGGAAAGTTGTCTTTTTATATGTACTGGAGGACTTCTAAGGGAATAGCCTTTAGCAGTAGCAGTGCTTGTGGGCATTGTCCGATGTTGCCTTGTCGCTTGCCTGAGGCGGACCGGCTCAGCTATGCTTCCTGTTGCTCAGGTGGTGTTCTACATTCAAGACAGCGATGATGTCTACGGGCTGGTCACGTTCCACCCCTCCGAGCATCAGAAGATCCAAAGCCACCCTTCCGGCCGCTTCCTCTCGCTCAGTTTCCTGCGACAGAAGGGCACGCTGGGAGACATTCAGCTGGACTACACCGCCCTGTACATCCCTGCTGGGCCGGTTGACCCAGCCCGGGCCAGAGACGGGGTTCTGAACACAACTAGGAGAAACAGCCTGACTTTCTCCGCAGGCCAGTCCCGGGCCCAGGTCACTCTGCCCATACGGAACGATGCCTTTCTCCAGAACGAAGCCCATTTCGTTGTCCAAGTGAGTTGTTTTTTTTCTTTGCTCTGTGCTGTCATTAGCAGGCACAAGATCCAAACCTTTCTTGTTAATAATGGTTCGCAGAAATGCAATGTGCTCTGTGTGACACGGTAAACAGGCAGGTTAGCACTATGGCCTCACAGGCCCCTGAGTTCAATTCCAACCTAAGGTACCTGGCTGTGTTAAGGTTCCAGGTTCTCCCCATTTGTATGGGTTTCCTCCTGTTGTTCAGGTTTCTTCCCACCTCACAGAAATATATAAGTTAGATTTGATTGAATACTATGAAGTTTCCAATTTGGAAGGAGGGTATGGGGGAGGGCAAGGGGAATTAGTAATTTGGAGGGTTTGCTCCCAGTACAGTCAGTTCTGACTATAGAGAGACAGGGTTCAGATGGCTTATCCCGTCTGATGTCCTTCTGCGCCTGACAGGTTCTGCTGCTTGCTGGCCTTGTTTGTTGATTGTGCTGAGCAGAGTCCCCAGAGTTGCTTTTGGATGCACACACCCACCCAGCACAGAAACACTGACGTTTTGGTTCAATATTCTTGGTTTATCAAGAGGTTGTGACAAACCTGTCGGTTACAAAAATAATCAGGCGAGTTGGATTTTATGTACTTTGCTGCATACGTACTTTACATCTCTCAGCATGAATTGCTTGGCCTTTGAGAGTATCGGGAAAGTCAGGATTTTTTAAAGATGCAGCCCGAAATCAGAGCCTCCATGCGCCCTGCTGGCGAGCTGCCCCTGCTTTTGTTGAGGTATATAAACAAACAGCCTCTATCAGGCGACACTAACAAAGTAACAGAATATAAAAGCCCTCGTTAAGAACTAATTGGTCCTGCACTGATGTTAGCGGCCTAGAGAGGAATGTTTAAAAGGAGAGGGCTTTAAGAAAGGGAGATCTTTGAAGCGGAGTCATTTTTATGGAGGCCACTTTGTATGATATAAAATGCAAATAAAATGGAGTTAGGGAAAATGTTTTGGAATCAAGCACTAGTGGAGATTACGAAATTAATGTTGTGCTTGTCTAAGCTCATTAAGTTGATTTTAAGCATGTTTCCCTAGCTCGTTCCCCAAGCTCGATGTATTTTTCTTTGGTCAGCTTGCTAGTACTGTATGTGTTCATTAAGACGTTTAATAGGGAATTCGTTTTTGAACTTTATATACTCACTAAAGTTAATCCACTAGCCTTTGTAAGATTTTAAACATATGTCTGCAAAGAGAGGAGCTGGCTGTCAGATTTCGCAACAATTACATTCCTGTCAAAAGGAACATAAAGTACTCTTCCCTTGGTCTTACCTTTCTTTAAAGGACAAATCAATCATGTCACCCAGACATTGGAAAGGAATAAAAGCGGAACTTATAACGCTTCCATTCATGCATTTTCCACCCACTTCATCGAGTACAGCGTGGCGGGTTAGCCAGAGCCTATCCCAGCAAGCACTGGGCACAAAGCAGGATACACCCCGGACAGGACGTCAGTCCACCACAGACAGGGCACTAACGTGCTCACGCTCACACCAGGGCCAATTGTACAGAAGCCAGTTAACCTACCAGTATGTCTTTGGACTGTGGGAAGAAACTAGAGCACCCAGAGGAAACCCACACAGACACAGGGCTTGAACCCAGGGTCCTGGTGCTGCAAGATAGCACTACTGCGCCAATGTGATATGATGGATGATTAATGTGAAACTCTATTTAAAAAGTTAAACTTTTTTTAATGATAATAGCTATAGGTGTGAAAATACCATCTCTGGATTTTTCACATTTGTTCTTTTCCCCAGTTCTCTCCTTTCTTTTTTTATGAAATATTTTTCCCTGTAAGTCTGGACCTCCAGAGGGAAAGTGGGCGTCTCTTCCATTTTTTCTCAGCCTGTGTCAGTAGCATTGAAAAGACAGCCCAGCAAATTTGCCTTTTGTACATTTGAATAAGTAACTTCTAAACCCACCTTCAAATAGCTGACTTATATAGAACATTGTCTCAAAATTGAGCCATCTCACTGATGGATTTCTTTAAAATAAATTAAAGCTTTTAAAATAGTTAATAGGCCACAAATTATTAGACTCCATTCATACCCTGGTTTAGGATACAAATGTTACCGTTTAACCTTCCACTACTCTTTTACACTGATGTTTTACACCGACCCTTGCTGATGCCAACTGTTAGTCAGTTTAATACATTTCTGTGAAGTCTGATCAATAAAACATTTCTACAATTTTGGCAGAATCTGCCAAAAATCATTTTGGCAGAATTTAACTTTTTCTTTGAGTTTGTTGCAGTAATAAGTGGGTTTCTTTTCATGCTCAGTGTTTGTAGAAGCAAACCAATTGCAGACTGAAATTTACCCTGAGGTTTGATTTGAAATACTCCATCTGGACTCTTAGCTGTCCATCGGCATCAGAGAGCAGAGTCAGACCTGGGAGTGATTCTGGATATAATGGCTGCTTTTCTAAAAGAACCAAAGCTTTCTTTTAGACATGTCATCGATGCTTTGTTGTATTTGTCATCCTGACACTTTTTTAATTTAAAAAAATAGTCTTATTTTAACTTTAAACAATGAAACTGCAAATCAAAGTCCGTCCTGAATGTTGGGAATCTCACTTTTTAGCAGAAAGTGAGCAATTTTTGGTCTGTAATATATCACTCTTTTTTTCTTGCAATGAGCACAATATTCTCATCTCCATGGAAACGCTTGGTATTGCTGCAGTCCTAGATGTGTTTGGGCTTTAGCCACTGTCAAACATTGCTGTTTCAGCTGGACAGTGTGGAGCTGGTCAGTATCGTCCCTCCCATCCCCTCAGTGAGTCCCAGGCTGGGGGGGGACCTCAATATTTCTCTGCTAGTCAGCCCGGACATCGCCAATGGAGAGATTGGTTTCACCAGCAACCAAACCCTGGCTGTGTACGAGCCGGAGAACGTCAACAGGAGTCTGGTAAGGCTTTTCCCCAGGCTCTGACACTTCAGTTTACAGTACGTAAGCTCACCAACCAATTCTTTGTTTGTTAAACTGTATATGTGCAACTTAACTTTTTCCCTTACAATTAAAATATCAAGAGTATCAAAACATAAAAAATATCAAAAAAATATCAAAAACCGTGTATCAGTTGTGAAAAATCACAGTTACTCTGTCCATTTTCTAAGAAGGCCAGATATTTCTCTAGATTTCTGCTCAAGATGAGCTTTGGATGAAGATTTAATGTAGAAGCTGTTTTCCGGATGTGCTGGTTAATACAGAGTAAAGCAGTGTCAACCAGAATCAACCAGACATGAGACTGTAGGTTCATCTGTAACTGCTCGCAGGCTCAGAGCGGGCTCCCTAGACAGAGGTGATCTCCTCTGAGCACGGTCACCAGTGGGCCCAGGACCACACAGTGCCACTCAGCTGCAGATTCCACAGTGACCCATTATTGTTCCTCTGCCACGGGAGAATTCTGCACTGAGTTTATATCAGTAATGTTACGTCTGTAACATGCTCAGTGCCGCCGCGCCCTCTTACACATTACTGGACACTGAAATCCTGCCTTCTAATGAGGATGTAGCTTCCAAATCACACGTCCAGTGAGGATTTGCATTAGAGCAGCAGGTGTCCACCTGTGGCCCTGAATGGCCCCTATCCGCCACACAGAGCAATGAGTCTTCTTGTCCTGATGTGCTACTGTAGATATCTCTTGCCCTGCGCCGTGATGGGACCGATGGCCAGGCGGTTGTGTTTTGGAGCCTCAAACCCACTGGTCTCAATCAGAGGGACGTGACCCCTGATGACCTGGGACCTTTCAGTGGCTCTGTGACATTCCTGTCGGGACAGAGCGATTCCTCCATCAACATCACCATCAAAGCAGACAGCATTCCTGAACTTAACGAGACGGTCATCATTTCGTTAGACAGGTACAAACTGTGCTGTTTCTTAAATTACATTTTTTTTTTGTATTCAAAAGAAATGCTCATCTCATCTCACCTCTGTATGTCCGTTCACTGTTGTGCATACCCTTCATATTATTTGCATTTTTACACTACTTAATATTGATAAGGACTTGTTATGGTTCATAATTTTACTAGTGTGAGCCCGTGGTACATCCTAGTGTGTTACAGGGGCACAACATGGAGACTTTTAACTGTTGTCAGCCTGTGGGTTTTCAATAGACTACGACTCTGTACTGACTCAATTGGCTATTAGCCAATATTAGAGGACCGTGCAGCCTTGTAGACTTTCCATCTGTGCTCGCTATGTTGTGAGTGAATGGGGCTCCACTAGGGAGCAGGTTTCTGGATATGGGACAGAATCACCAGCAACCGAAAGCAGTCTGGGGGGAAAACCACAGTTAGGCTAAGCCTCATCCCCTGTACGAATCAAAGTCAGAGGACAGAGATCTGCTTTGTTGTTTAAGTCTCGAACAGTCACAGAGACTTAGTCTCTTTCACTTCTTGTGAAATTTGTACCTTTCACGGGCCGTTAAAACACAGACTTTTTTACCCATTTACACCGGCAGTTATTAAGGCCTACATTGTAGGTTCCCCTGCTCTTGGTGCTGCTTATACAATGCTAATAGATTACTATGATGGAAAAAGACATCAAATCTGAACCAACAAGTAACTGTGTTTAAATACGCACTGCCTAAAATAGGATACTTCTTTTTTGTTTCTGAAATTTTTGCTGCCACACCGCTAATTAAGCAAGTTAAGCAATCCAGTTTGGCGTATTCCACATACTGTACTCCTGAACTGCGTTTGCTCAGCTGCTCCCTGAGAGTCCGGGGTGTGTGTGAGTGCGGCCCTTGACAGTCATCTCCATCACAGCCCAGGGCTGTGAATAGGCCTTGACAGACTGATTGGTCATGGGGTCACCTCTCACAAGTGGGAACGGGCGAACCTCCTGCTCGCGTTTGTCAACAGGACAGAACTCAGCCCCTGGGACCCCCATGAAGTGAGTGCCAGTAACGGTGGGGAGAGGAGGAGGGGAAAAAGAAGGGGGTCTGCCTTTCTTAGTCCTTCCTTTCTTCAAAGCTATTTTGTTATTCATGAACACTGAAGGGAATGGCGGTCTCATACCCTCCCACTCTGTGCCTGCAGGGTGGAAACGGCGAGGTTTGTAGTGTACTTTGGGTAAGTGGAGGAAGGCTGGCCTTTGTGTGCCGTGAATCAGTACTTTGTCTGAGAAGGGTCTGCTTTGAGGATGGTGGATTGGGGGTGGCGGTGGTGATGGGGGGCAGGGGTGTGTGTGTGGGGGGGTTATTTGTGTGTGTGAGTGTGCATGTAAAGATGGTGGGGGGGGGGTGCTCTTTATGTCTTGCACCTAATTTAGTACCAGGCTTTATGCCTTTCTCTATAGGCGCTGCTGTTTGTATGCATGCAGCGAGTGTACTGAAAGCATGTTGTTTGCAATGATTTTCTCCATCTCGCGCTTTGTTTTTTCATTTACCAATTACGTGGAACTTTTTCCCTGTGTCCCAACCCCCCCTCCCGCTCACCCCTGGGCAGCTCCAGTCTCTACTGACTCCCTCTTTCCCCTGCCGTGAGCGCAGCCCACAGAGGCTGAAAAACTCAGCACAGCTGCCAGCCACCCAGGCTCTCTTGCTGCCTGGGCACTCTCCCTCACTGCCCGTCGCTCACGAGTCTTTGAAGATCACAGGGAACCTTTATAGTTTTTGTGTCTTTCATTTTTTTTTTTTACTTCAGGCCTACGTGCTTTGCAGTTTGCAGATGTAGATATTTACACAGCGATTTGCACTATCAGTAACCCACATATGTAGATTTATTGGACATGTTATAAGACGCGGTAGGAAGTGTTTTCCTTCTGGAACGCCGATAAAAGTCCCCGTTTAGATTTTTCTTTAATTAAAAAGTCTGCCACGGGACAAACTGAAACAGGGTCTCCAGGACTAGAGCAGAAACCAGGAGGGAGAGCATGTTTAGGACAGAAAGTGGGAAGTACATACAAAGTATTCTATTGGTCTGGGCCAAACTGATCAGTGATGCTGGTGAAACATACAGTATCTACAGTATCTTCAATAACTAGCTGCGCGAGATCCTTGATTCAGTAAACTGCTGGAAACCAAATGAGCAAGGCAGGCCAGATGAAATAGCTAATGTCGCCGTAGTAAAGTCAAGGTCGTGAAAACCTGAGTCTTTACAACAGGTAGACTACAGCCTCTTAAAGTGGAAAACCAGGACACAAAAGGGGAAGTTGTACATTTTTAATATTTGCTTTTATCTTCCTTTGAATTTTTTCATAGGACTAATGTGGAGAACCAGATTCTTAAACCAGGATTCACCAGCAGGGAGATTGTCATCATTGAAAATGACAGTCCGGGTGGAGTGTTCGAATTTTCCCCTCGTTCAAGAGGACCATGGTTTATTAGTGTAAGCCTATGCTTTTTTCAGTAAGAGCTTTTAATTAATAAATGTATGACGTGGATTTCTTTATCATTTGATATGCCTTTCCAGCTGTTTTCATTAACTGAAGAGTTAAGAGAATCTCAGATAGACTCAGACAGGAATCCTTCTCAGGCTGCCTGAACTCCAGCCAATAAGCAGAGTGGTTGATTAATTATGGATGTTTTTATTAGGAAGGAGAAGCAGTGGAGCTGAGAGTGATTCGAACCCAAGGCTTGCTGCTGAAACAGCTGATCCGTTATGAAGTGATGCCCAGCAACACCTATGAGTTCTATGGCGCCACAGGCATCTTAGAGTTCAATCCAGGAGAGAGAGAGGTCGTAGTGGCACTCCTGGCTAGACCAGACGGGATCCCAGAGGTACATCATTGACCACCTTCAGTTCCTACCGGTTCAGCTCAGTATAATAGCCTGCGCAAACCTATAAAGCCCTGAAATTCTGATTTATTTGTATGGTTTGCAATGTATGTCTTCAGTGTCGAATGGTGCTTTGCTACAATCTGAAAAACATCAATAATTTGTTGTTGTTTTTTATATTGATCCCTTCTTCCCTTCCAGCAGACATGCAGGTTTAACTGCAATGTATTGCCTTGACCAATACACAGCAGAATTTGACAGTGCTCTGCCAACACTTAGAAACGGTAGACAGCGTGATGCACATGACATGACCCATAAATGTTACTCAGACCGAGTGGCTTACAAACTCTCTGCTACAGGCTATTGTACTCAGTATGCAGAAGGACTAGATTTCATTGTACAAACAAGCATTTATTAAGCATCATCTCGACAGACATCTTGAGATGCAGGACAGTGGATTCGTTTTCTGCTCTGCAGTCTAGCCAGGGCAGCGTAACTGAGTGCCTGGTCAGCTGTTCAGGATCTGAATTCCTCGGCCCTCCAGGCCCAGCGGTCACACCGGCACAGCGGAGATGCTCACGAGTCCCGCGGGGCTCCCTCTTGCCGCCCAGGTGGGGCTCCTCTCCCCGCGCTCTCTCACACGTCCCATGAACTGGTTTTCAGCTGGACGAGACGTTTTCCGTGGTGCTCAGCAGCCACGGCACGCCCGTCATCCAGCTGGGTGCCGCCAGGGAGGTGAACGTCACCATCCGGAAAAACGACGATCCCTACGGGGTGATAGAGTTCCACCCGCCCGGGGCGCTGGGCGTCCTCAATGAAAGCAAGGGCTCCGAGATGTACTCTGGTGAGTGGGCAAAACTCGCCAGGGCCACCGCAGGGCACACCCAGTCCTTAACCTCAGTCTTGTTTTTATCCAGTTACTCTACTGATTGCATGAAGCTGTACGAGGCCCTGGATATGGACAGGATCAGCTGGCGAACACATTAATAAGAGATTCTAAACGGATATAAAAAGAGATGTTCCTTCTCTCAGTTTTTTTTTTCCCCCACCCTTGACAGGTACACGCTGACTTGATCTAAAGTTCTCCTCAGTTTGATTGGAGACACGGTTTCTTCTCACTTCTCTATCGGAGCGGCTGTGCAGTGGGGCTGCTGGTACACAATATCTTCCGTGCGTCACTAGTGTCTCCTACAGTATATTCAAAGCACTTGGAGGTCCTTTGGGGTGAAATGTGCTATATAATTAAGAAATCAAGAACTGAATTGATTGACTGATTTATTGAGTGCAATGCTGGACAAAGCTTAATATTTTAAATGTTTCCAATTCTACCTATTTTTTTTTGCTTGTTCATTGATTGTCTTATTACAGAGTGCTTTTTGGATGTGTTTGTTTCTGTGTGATTACGTTATCTCCGCTTTTACAGCGACTTACACGATCATGAGGAACAGGGGGACCTTTGGAGAGGTGTCTGTTTCTTGGACCTTAAACCCAGCCTTTACTGGAGATGTCTTTCCAGTGCAAGGCACTGTCGTCTTCGCAGAGACTGAATTTTCCAAAAACCTCACGCTCACGTCCCTCCCAGATGAGGTAACATTATCACTGTCTATCACACTGCCTTAGTAAAGTGCATCTCAAGTTGAATGTGCTGTTGAGTGAACACAGCTCTTCATCGCATGCAACAGTTTCATATGGTTTTCAGTGAGCTTGGTATCACAGTGCTTATTGTAGGTTCATTGAAATGAAATGGATCAAGCTCCACTACCCATCTGGGTTTTCTAGTTAACTAGGTAGCTGTTGGTAGTTTGAGACAGGGTGTGATTTTCATGTTTTCATGTCATATTCTTGGAAGTGTCAGAAAACTGGAGTCTGTAAATGTTTTGTTGTCCATAAAGTATGTGTGCCTGAAAGATGGTTAAAGGGTTCATACTGACACAGAATCAATGTAACTGAACCAGGTTACCATAATATATATGAAGGTAATAAGGTAGTACTATAATATATAAGGTAATAGTATCTTATATACAAGGAAGGGAAGGATTTGATATACTGCAAGAAAATATAAATCTTACAATAATGTCTAAGAAACTTTGAACTTTCTAGTTTTAAACCGTTTTAAGCAAATGAAATTTTTTTGTGTGAAAAAATTTGTGTGACTGGCTAAACTTACCAATGAGCCTGAAGAGGTCACATCTTTTTGTGATTTTAAAAGTCTCTTATCTCCACAAAAGGTTCCGGAAGAGCTAGAAGATTTCACTGTCATGCTATTAAATGTCACAGGAGGTGCAAGATTAGGGAATGTACTGAATGTAACCCTGAAGATTAGAAAAAATGATGATCCTATTTACTTTGCAGGTAAGTTGTCTCAAGACTTTATCTCCACGTAAGGCTGCTCAGAGTATTGAATTTTATAATTCACCCTCCTCAAAAAGCCTTGGTCTTTCAAGAAATGCCTGTTAACCAGATTCTCTTGTCCTTAACTAACCTGTAAAGTGAGGCTAGATGGCTTTTGAATTGTTTAATGAAGAAGACCAGCTTTTTTTCTGCCTTCAAGAGCAATGGACTTCAACAATAAAGTTGTCCTTGACGTGGTTTTGAAGTGGTTTTGCCGGTGCAAAATGAAGCTCAGTGAACATACTTTAGCAGAAGAGCTTGAGCCCTGCATCACATAGCCTCAAATACTGAAAGGTTACAAAACTAATACTGTCAAAGCACCATCAATACATTTTTGCTTACTAAAGCCATACTAAATAGGACTTTTATTAAAATTTGATGGAATTCAAAGCTGCTTTTGAAATCATGTATAATCTGGCAGAACTATGTGTTCCAGTAAGGTAAATCCTAAATGTTATTCTTACATTTCTCTTTCCAAAAGACGGAGCAGCAGCACAACGTTCAGCTATGAGCTTTAGACAATGCACTTAAAGGGTTTAGAGTGACAAGACTGCTTGTGCTGACAGGCCATGCAAAATTAAAGAGTTTCCTGAGATTGTCATACCGTAGGTTCCCCCCCGAATTAAGACATCGAGCTCTGCAGGATGATGCTCATTCTGGAAATGGATGCATGATCCTGTTTTCCCCCAGACCCTGTGGTTGTCAGGGTGCAGGAGGGACAGGCGGTCACCTTAACGGTTCTGAGGAACGGCTCAGCGGACTTCGTTGCCACGGTGATGTACCGGGAGGCTGGCGGCAACGCCTCTCCTGGTGACTTCTTGCTCAATGGCAGCAGCGGCGGCGTCCTGGTCTTTGGACTGGGGGAGTGGGCAAAGAACATCTCTGTGGCCATCCCTGATGATGACGAACCCGAAGCCGATGAACCTTTTCACATCGTTCTCTACAATGCCACAGGTGCGACTCAGTAGCTTTACAAAACCCTTTGTTTACAAATCATTCATCAGCTCTTGTACGACTTCAGACCAAATAGAAATAAGGATGACAGAGGCTTGGATCTCTTTCACTCATTATGCTGATATTCCTCAGCCGCATGTGAATTTGTCAAGACTTTTTTTACTTTAAGTTTGAGTTACATCTGGATCTTATGATGAAATGTTTTCAATTTCTAAGAATTCTGTAATTGCTAAATCTTATAACCTTTATTTTACTACCATTTCTTTTTTAGAAAGTATCAGAATGGAACTTAGGTTTCGTTTTGTTTCCATTATTAGGTTTTAAACTAATGCAACTTTAGCTGCTAACATATTTTTCCCTGTTTTTGTGAAAACAAGACGTGAGTCAACATTAAAAGTAGAATTTTGGACTCATTGGATCTCATGACTATGAAAAGCGGTTTCATAAAGCCTGGCATTGTATAATAGGAATGCAGATGAAAGCAGGCAGTTCTTAACTACATTTTAAGACCAGATTCCTCAGAGTATTTCCTAACACAAGAAACAAAACCTTTGAAACTGAAAACAATAAAAAACAAACCCATTCAAGGTTTAATTAAGTGTGCATGGCCAGGATATTTGAAATAACAAAAGTGGCTCACAAAAGGGGTTGCTAATTTCTGTAAAAAACATTCTGTAGATCAGTGCTTTATGGATGTAGGCAGAATCATGCAGATCACAGCAGTCGAATGGAATAATGGAGTTTTCCTTGACGCTACACTGATTTTCTGTTGCAGGTGATACTGTGGTCTATGGTACTGACACGGCCACAGTGGTGATTGAGGCCAGTGACGACGCCAATGGTATCTTCTCCTTGGAGCCTGTTGGGAAGATTGTGCAGGAGGGCCAATCAAATAACTTTAAGTAAGCGTTTTATGATCCTGTTAAATCTCATAATCGGATGCAGCTCTCTAGAGGGCAATGTGCTAAACTTTTTCTGAGAGCACAATTTGATTTAACTGTGAAAGTACATGCAAGAGATTACAAAGGAGGGCCAGATTACTTACATATATTTTTTTCCATTTCACATAGTTTTGGAATTTTTTATCCACTAGGAGAGACAAAATGTACCCCGAAGTTTGCTCTTAATTGCAACTCCTTTAATAACATAACAGATTTTGTTCCAGATTTGTTTTTCTATGAAATTGATTCCTGGTGGGGCATAGACAAAGCCCATTGTGTACTTACTACATAGACAAGTTGTGCAGCATCTGTCATAGATGTCTCAGGAGCTGTGAAATGTCTTCTCATTGGTTACATTACTGGTACATTTTGATGTTTAAACAAATACTGCGTATTTGTAATACCCATTGCCCCTATAGTATGTTTAATTGCAAGACATAACACAATACAAAATATATTTAACCTAACATGAGTCCATTAACAAATGAGAGACATACAGTATGTGTATGATGAGAATGAAAAAATATATAAATAAAATAAAGCATAATCTAGTTCTTCAAATTAAGCAAGTTGATAGCTGTAGGGATAAAAGACAACATAATTCTATTGCAATTGAATCTGGGTAGTCTAAATCACAGCCCAGATGGAAGGAGTTTAAATTCACTGTGCATGGGTTGGTCATGACAGCCATTGATTATATTGGCCTTCTGCATTATTTGCTTAACATGGATATTGTGCACCAATAATTTTGCTGGCTGTCTTCACAATGCTGCTCAGTCTGTTTTTATTAGTGACCTGTATTAAGGTCACCAAACCAGGCTACTGCAGTTAATGTTGTGACAGATTCAATTAAATTCTAGATCCAAGAACAAAGTCAGTGTTGTAAGAGACACATTAAAAGCACAGAGTTTAGAAATGAACAATCGCTGGTGGCTCTTGTTTGTTTAATGGCATTTGTGTTTTCCTCAAAGGTTCGTTTGTAATTAACAATATGTTGGCAATTTCTTTCTTCAGTGTTTTGAGAGACAGGGGTCCATTTGGAATGGTCACTGTCTTCTGGCAGCTGTTTGTAAATGACACAGCCTTGGAGGCAGGGCAAGAGTTTTCTAACACCTCAGGGACTATTGTTTTCTCAACTGGAGACCGGACCAAGCCTATCACTCTGCAAGCTATTCCTGACCAAATCCCAGAGTTCAACGAGGTCTATAATCTGAGACTCATCAATGTTTCAGGTAACATTTTCATAGGACCAGCAGTGGTTTCTGGCATTGCTTTGTCAGGCATATTGTATGTGATAATGCAGGGTTATCTACTGTGTCACCCATGGTTTCATATTAACATTAAGGGTCATTGTAGGACGCCATCCGATAGTGTTGTGGAGAAGTACATATTTGGATCCTTGCACTTTAAAAGGGGGCCCTAGAAAACCATTGAGTTGTATTTTTAAGTGGTTAGAAAAAACATGTTTAGTAAATATAAGGCCTTATGGAAAATAGGTGGTTTAAAGGGAACTTCACTGCTGTAATTAAATCGATGTACAGGTATATGTACAGTAATTCATCCATCCATCCATCTTCTAGCTGCTTTATCTAGTACAGGGTCACAAGGCAGGGTACACCCTGGACGGGATGCCAATCCATCGCAGGACACTCACAGAGACGCAGAGAGACGCAGAGAGACGCAGAGAGACGCAGAGAGACGCAGAGACACGCAGAGACACGCAGAGACACGCAGAGACACGCAGAGACACGCAGAGACACGCAGAGACAGAGACACACCAGTTTTTGTCTTTGGACTGTGGGAGAAAACATGAACACCTTGAAGCAGCCCATAGGGAGCAAGTATAACTCCACAGAGTTCCTGGCACCCTAGGAACTGAGTTCAGGGCCCCAGCACTGTGTGGGCATGTCATCACATCGGTTTCTGGTTCTTTAACCAAACAGAGTTGCTCAATTACAGATATATTGCATAAAATTCTTAACATTCATGCTTTATTTACTTTATATTGCTGTTAGAACTTTTTTTTAATTCTTTGAACTTTTTTATATTTATAGTTGGATTCATGATTTCTTTATGCATTAAGTTATCTGCATTGAATAAATTATACAGATTCTATTTCTAGGGGAAATTCTGTACTGTAACGTAGACTCCAGGGACTAAATACAGCTCGTTCCATTAGAACGTAGGTTAGAGCCTATCAATTACATTGCAATACCATTAATTACTCTAGAGTAGTCACCTGCTGTTTATTGGTGTTGGCTTTGTATTCCGAAGAGACATTGTGAGTTTGTTTGCACTTTTAAAGATACATAAGAATTGAGAAACAAAGTAAAAGAATAAATATAATGGAAAGAGAAATTGTGCAGTAAATATCCATTCCACAGAACCTTTGCTTGAATTGAAGCTGATGAAGTTTACGGTTCCACATCTGCAGGAGAGATTACAGTATGTGTGTTAGCTTGTGTGGCACTTGCAGTTTGGCAGTGAGTTCTGTCTTGAAACCTTATTTCATTTTGGACATGAGCATGAATTCTTTCCTTCACAGCCATTGTATTTCAAATTGCCCAGCACTATCCCTGACTGTAGCATTAGCATTATAACCAGACAGCAGTTACAGTCATCTCAGGTAAACCTCTGGGTTTCATGTGCAATATTTCACTGAAATTATTTGCATTGAAAACATGAGGTATGTGATATTCCACTGCAGAGATTTAAATATGTTCCTTATTGCATTTGTGGTCCCCACAGATGGCACGTTATAACAAAACCCCATCTGTGGCCCATCTTTCTGTCGTGAAGTGTTTGATTTTCTAAAGTTGTTGCGATGCTGTTGGACATGTCTTCGGAATGAAGAACACTCCTTTTAATCTTGTTGTCTTATCCCCCCCCCTGTAGGTGGCGATCCCGGACAGGGCGGCAGGCTGGCCGATGTCAACCTGAGCGCGTCTGTTCTCATTCCGTTCAACGATGACCCATTCGGGGTGTTTGTGATCGACCCCCTCACCGCGGACCGGGAGGTGGCCGAAGACGTCCTCTCGGAGGATGACCTGTCCGATGTGACCAGCTTCACGGTCCTGCGGCAGCAGGGCACCTTCGGGGACGTCCGCGTGGGCTGGGAAATACTGTCGGACGCCTTCCGAGCCGGTCTGCCGCCAATGAGAGATTTGATTTTGACTGGGTCCTTCCCCAGTTCAGTGGAGCTCAGGCCGCACATGAGGCGGCACCACTCCGGAACCGACGCTCTGTATTTTTCGGGGTCCCCAGGTGCCTTTGGGAGTATCAACCCCAGTGAGCTGCTGAGCGTGAATGGAAGCCTGGCCAATTTCACCTTTTCGGCCTGGCTGATGCCCACCCGCAACACCGATGGCTTCGTCATTGCGAAGGAGAGTGGGAATGGCAGTGTGTACTACGGGGTGAAGACACAGACAAATGAGTCTCACGTTACCTTGTCGCTTCACTACACACCCCTGGGATCCAGTGTGGCGCAAGTGGCCAGAGCAACAGCAGCCAGGTTTCTGGAGGAGAACACCTGGCTGCACGTCCTCGTCACCCTTGACGATGGTATAATTGAGTTCTACCTGGATGGAAGCCCAGTACCCGGGGGACTGCGAAGTCTGAAGGGGGAAGCCATCGCTGATGGTGGGTCTGTCGCAGAATTTGCTTTGTCACGGCTTTTTTGTCTCCATTTCAGGTTGCAAATCTCCATTGACCGTCTCGCGCTGTTAGGATCACACCAGAAGAAAGGGCATTTCAAACTGAATTCTGAGAAACTGGTCCATGTAGATCCCTGACCTTCCTGTCTTGTGTGCCATAAAGAATGTGTGTCACTGGGCCTAACAATAAGCGTGTCTTGCAAACATCCATTTCAGTTGAGTCACTGGAAGCACAGTGTTCCTTGTGGTCTGTAAAGCAGCAGGGGGAATTGTGCTTGGAACTCTTTCTCCTTTCAGCACGGTATGTCGATCGTAAACCTTTACAGGGCGTTCATTGTTATTAAAACCAAGGCAAAGCCCTTCCCATTGTTTAGCAATTCCCACAGAGGAAATGAGGGAGTAGGTGTTTGTGGTCTCTTTCTAGTGACCATCATTAATCATGTGTCAAAGTAAGCAGTTACGGGAATGTATTACAAAGCTTAATGTTTCCACTTTGGAATCTTCTTGAACTCACTTTACAATGAAATCATTTGTAATTGTTTATATGCTGCTGAACATGAGTCTTTTTTTAAAGATACCAGTCAACAGTATGATCATTTGTAGGGTTAGGCAGCTACAATGGTCAACAGGCAAATGGTCAAAGCAAAAGAATCGATGTCGCTGAAAATAATGTAGTGTCAGAAAAATGCAGGTGATGGAAATGACTTCTTTCACTCATTGCTAATGGCTGATCTCGATTTTCTGCTTTGCCATTTGTAAAGATGAGCCTGGTCCTGAGCTATAGAAGAAAGTGAGTAATGTGATGCCGGGTAGGGGTGTCTGCAGGGTGTTCCTGTCCCGCGCTGACGTGCCTGTTGTGCTGCAGGGGCGGCGCCGCTGTGGATCGGGGCGGGGGCAGGCGGTGAGGATCGGTACACGGGAGCCATGCAGGATGTGAGGCTGTACTCCAGCAGGCTGAGCCGCGCGGAGATCCACGAGCTGCACAGCCAGCCCGCCAAGGCCGATCTGCGCAACGTCTCGGGCTACCTGCAGTACCGCCAGGGAGAGAGCCGCAAGTCCTTCATTGTGGAGGTGCGGGATGACACGGAGGAGGAGGGGGAGGAGCTCTTCGCCCTGAGGCTGGTCTCTGTGCACGGAGGAGCGAGGCTGCCTGAGCAGAGCACCGCCGCCCAGCTGAGGATACAGAAGAGCGACAACGCCAATGGCCTGTTTGGCTTCACAGGAACATGCATCCCTGATGTAAGGCATACTTAGTGTACACCATTAAAGAGTTGCACGCTTTGCCCAATAATTACAGACCCCAGCCATTGACGACTAAATGGTCCTCTGAGTTTTTCTCCAACCTGAGTTCATTGTTTGTTGAACAGGACAAACTGTACTACAATAAAGACTTTTCTTTTAAAGATCCTTTCCATTTAAAGGTGCACTTGATTCAGTCCTGAATCAGGCACAGCGCCTGCACTATATAGATGATGTCTTAGTTACGGTAGATAATTCCTGAATGTATCTAATAATCGGACAATTAAATCCATTAAGTAACTGAGACCCTCAGTGAAACAAAAGCCTGCGGACATTGCAGCCTTTCAGGCCTTCAGTTTTGAGACATAGCAAATAATTCAAAAGTCATTTACAGTTTTCCATGTTGTTACTGTTCTTTTATAGATTTGCATAGATGTAATCTAACCTCCAAATTATAGTATCTGAGTCTCCATATATATTTAATTGGGTTTCATGCCTGGGTGCAGCAGGGGTGCTTTGTTCCATGGGATGAGATTGCATTCGTGGCATCTTTGCTGGCTTGAGTCTATTAGCACAACAGATGGCAGCCGGGCTCAGGACATTCCTCCAGAAAGTCGATGTTTAAATGTTAACAAAGGGGTGCTGTGGGGTGTGACCTGTACATTTTCTTCAAATCACTTCTTAATATGTACTAAATAATTCAGTATGCGGCTTAAAAATCAACTCAAGGGAAAATGAAAAGTTTTTAAAAAATGTGAATGCAATGATCATTTATCAAAAGAATATAAGTAGAGTGCTGCTAACACAAGATACTTAACATGTAAAAGTAGAGCATATCTGAGTAGTGCATGTCTGCATTTTGGTGTACTGTTTTTTTATCTCCTGTTGGTTAGAATGAAATTTTCCCTCATGGCAATTCATTTCATTTTCATAAACAAAAGGAAAACTTAAACCACTCCCTAATGCATAAGATATTTAAACTTAACACCTATTAAGTTACCCTTTAAGTTAAGTTTACTTAGTGCCCTTTTACATAGCCAGGTCTCCAAACTAATTACAATTATTTCTTGGTTTCATCTTAGTGTTGCTGTTATTTCACATACAGTACTGTATATGTGTGGAGCCGAAGCAGGCTCCACAATGAGCAGGAGGGGTTTGTCCCCGCTTGCTGTGGCCTGCTGAGACCTCAGGGCTGTGAATGCCTAGTGACTCCCCGGCCTTTCTCTTCCTCTTATCACCAGTCATCAGAGGAAGGATCGACCATCTCCTGTGTAGTGGAGCGTACCAGAGGAGCCCTGGACTACGTGTTTGTAAACTACACCGTCACACAGGCCGATGCCGGCGGCGCTTCTTTCAGCACCGCGGACTTTGCCAACTCCAGCGGCTCGATCACGTTCCTGCCTGGGCAGCGGTCGGAGGTACGCAGGAAAGACCTGCCTCTCATCAATCATGGATGAGCCTTTCGCAGCAGCTGTGTGGGATTCCTTCTCTTGCTGAGGCACTACAACGCTCTGCAATTAGCCATTTTAGAAGGAAGCATGGGGGCAGCTTATACTGCCACGGGTCTAAGCTCTGAAAGGTGTACGGGGGAAGTACTGTGTGCAATCAGTAGGTTCCCTCCTCCATGCATTTGCAAGCACCTGTATATGCTGATTGGCGAGCAGGTACCAGCCCTTGAACTTGCACAGGTGTAGGATTTCTTTCTGAAGTGAGTGTTGTGCTGCTTTCATCCAGTCATGAAAAATTCTGAAACAGTCCCACAAAAAAAATTTTTTACAAGACTTTTCTTACCTTTGCACTCATTTAGGCAGCAGAATATTTTTCTGGGGAAATCTGAGTGAAAAACTTCTTCTCAAGAGTGCAATAGAGGCCCACCCAGTATTTGAAGGGTCTAAGCAGTACATGCTGGGTAGCAACTACAATAAATGCTAGTACTATTGTTGTTAGAAGACCAAAGTATCCATGTCTTGTCTTGACACACCTGAGGAGGGCTCCACATTGCTGCTTAATTAGTATCCTGACTAAATTCGAAAATCTAGACCCCAGGGTCTTGGCTAAATGCCACTCCGAATTTTATACAAGCTGTCCTTCCTAAATGTCCCCCTTCATTCAAATAGTAAAGCAATTTTCTACTTCCCCTGATCTGCTGGGCAGTCACCCAGGTGGGGGTGTGTCACCCAGGTGGGGGCTGCACTCCAGTACTGTAAAGTTATCTAACTGGGTAGCTGAGTCAGAGTGCAAAGGAACAAATTAAGGCTAATTCCACGCTGGAAAATGGGAAGGAAAAAGGCAAATATTTGGCTGTTGAGCCTTCTTTAGGTGTATTAACCTTTCCCTTTTCCTGTAATGTTATATCCTATATCTGAAGCAATTAGACTTCCTTGGGGATTAAAAAGTGCTGTATAAATGTATGGACATTTTATTATTGTCAGACTAATAAAATATCCACGTCCTGCTTGTGTAATATAGGCTTAGCCTCCACTTGTTGTACACTGATGCAGCTCCCCACACAAACTTCTAAAGACAGCGCATGCTGAGAAATGTGATCATTAGGTCTGCCTTTTACATGAGAGAAAGCCTGAAGTGCTGTTACGGTAAAAAACAACCTCTGAAGATATATTGAATCTTACACTAGTCACACAGGCCTGTACGAATATTAATGGTCTGTGCAAAAAAAAAGAGTTGAGCTTGTAAAGTCTGCCCCCGTGAGTTACAGTAATACAGAAATGAACTGACACTAGTGAAAACAAAGTACTCAGGTTTGAAACCTTCTTTTTATGGCCAGTACTTCATCATGCAGGTGTTATAACCCACCGTCTGCAGCGGTGAACCGACTGTCCCAGTACTTGTGCCTTTCTGTTTCAACGATAAATCTGTAGCCCTTGACTGATGGGATGAACAGATGACCCCCATCCAGCGACGAGTCTGAGAGCTGTGCTCCTGATCTACAGGGTCTATTCGATTAGCTGCAAGGTCAATTCGTTTAGCAGGTTTCAATAATGTGGCATCATGGTAGCCTTCATAATGGCGGACCTGACTTGAAGTTACTGTTTGCCTCAAGGACTTATTTTACTTATAAAAAGTATCGAAAACAGTTAATTTATTTACGAGTAATAAAGCACCAACATCTATTTCTATTACGTGCACGTTGCATGTTTTTTTATACAAAGTGCTTACTCTCTCAGAATACCTGTAAGAGTGAATTATTGATCTTTCATCTGTACTAGCTTCTGGCACCATCTGGTGGGTAAGACACACCCACCGTTCTGCCCAGTTAACTCCCTTAAAGCGCTCCGTCCTTCCTCAAAGCACTTTATCTGCAAATCGCGCAAATGCCAAGGGCCAGGGACCACATCGGCGTCATCATGGCTCATGGAAATGATGAAAGACTTTCATCGTGATTAGTTATTGCCTGACGGACATTACAAAAACAGCCACTGCTGTCCTCTTCTCTCTCCAGGTCCTCAACCTGCTTGCTCTGGACGATGACATTCCCGAGTTGGAGGAGCACTTCCGGGTCACTCTGGTGTCGGCGGAGTCCGGGGATGGAAAGAGAGGCTCTACCCCGACCAGCGGAGCCAGCATTGACCCCAGCAACGCTGCTACCAGGGTCGCCATCAAAGCCAGCGACCACCCCTACGGTAAGCAGCGCCAGCAGCTGGCGGCAGTTCATGATGACAATGGCAGACAGGAGCTCCGTGTTGGAGGGCGGAGGCTGGGCAGGTGTCTATGTAGTATGTATATATAAGAAGGGAAAGGAACTTGCCAGGCATGTCACTGTGGCCAGCAGGCCTGTGCCATGCACTTTCGAGGTCACCAAAGTCCCAAGAGTATGCCGACACCCGTCTATGAAAGTGAAATGAAGACAAGTCATGAAGGAAGATCATGAAAGGAGTTATCGTTGCATTCTCCTGTTACATATTCAAGTGAAACATGTTTCCACTCTCCTTACCCAGAGATGTTGACCGCCGTGTGTGGTCTCAGGGCACTGGTCCTCTAGAGTGCTTTCGGCCCGGCGTGACGTTGTGCCGTTGCAGTGTCGGGGGAGCGCGCACGTCATCGGTTTGTGCTCCCGCGCAGGTGTGCTGCAGTTCTCGCTCGGGCCCCCGCCCGGCCCCGCCGACGGAGCGATCAGACCCGCGCTCGTGGGGCCGCGGCTCGCGGTGCGAGAGGAAGACGGGAAGGTCAGCTTGCTGGTGGTGCGGGCGCAGGGCCTGCTGGGAAGGGTCATGGCGGGCTACCGGACCGTCCCATTGACTGCTGTCAGTCCCGACGACTTTGAGGTAACCTCTCAGGCAATGCTTCTGTCTCCGAAGTTAAAAGCCTCCATACGGTAGCAATCAGTCATAATCATTTAATTAAGCAAAGCAGAAGAATAATATGTAATATTATTATATGTAATATCCAGTTTTTTTAACTGGAGACAATTGCAGCAATATAAATTAGATGAAAGTGTAAATTGTGTCATTTCATGTGCAGGAGACAGAAGGCGTGTTGGACTTCTTACCTGGAGAGAAGTTTAAATACATCTATGTGAACATCACAGATAACTCAGTGCCTGAACTGGAAAAGACTTTCAGAGTGGAGCTCTACAACCCTGATGGAGGAGGTAACACACAAAAGAGCGCTCTTTTAATCAACTTTTTGATCTCTTAGAACTGAAAGCACACAGAGTTGTAGAAAAGTGATGTGTAATTATCAGGCATTACAAAAAAAACAATACATACAGTCGTTTTTAGCAACTGCATCGACCAGCTTTTTCCAAAAATGTTTTCATTGAACTACACGAATACACATTTTGAAGGTGACCAGTTCCAAGAAAGATGGGCAGGCACATTTACATTTACATAACATTTACCGCTCAGTCTTTCATATTAAATCTTATTTTGACGGCATCTCCGGCAAGTTTAAGGATCTTCAGCTTCAAACAACATGTACTGTTGCTCCCTAAATAATAATGTGCAAATCAACTTGAAAAACACCAACATTTTAAACTTCAGGGATTTTTCTCTTTTTTTTTTTGTATGTGAACATTGAAACGTTTGTGCTCTATCTGTGTTGTGGGACCAGTGACTTCCTCTGGGCACTGAGCTCTGTTCTGAACAGCTGGGCTCCACAGCCGCCTCTTCTCTCCTGTTAACTGTGTCCGCTGTCTGTGTTTTATCAATGTGTGTGTCCCTGTGTGCTCCTGAAGTTGATGAACTCTTTAGGAGTGAGGGCAGTGGCAGTGGAGAAAGTGACGCTGACTTCTTCCTCCCAACTCGACACCATCGTGGTAAGAACCCCTGAGCAACACCACACACCCTCCCTGTCAAGAGCCACCCAGAGCCGCAGTTTCAAATAGGGAAGCCGAGCCGCCCTCTGCCTTGTACGGGATAGACAGGGATGAGCATCAGCCATCAGAATCCAGGGAAGCCTGTTATTTGTGGGAGAAATGATTGCCCATTCAGTGTAAATTGAAGGTGCAAATTCTTTGCCATAGTAAGTCCATGTTGTGGTTATACTCTCCTTGTGTATAGTATAAGAAGTTAGGCATATAAATCTAAAAACATCAAATGTTTACAAATGAGAGGAGGCCATTCAGTCCATCTGTCAATTTGGTAGTAAGTAACCAAGTGACCTGAGGATCTCAGCCAGGATACACCCTTTCACACCCTTGAAAGAAGTGGGTGTATTGCCCTCAGCAGCATGGCTGGGCAGTTTGTTCCACACTCCCACAACTCTGTTGGTAAAGAGCACCTCCTGTTTTCCATTTTAAATGTTCTTTCACATGGTTTCCACTTGTGTCCTCTGGTTCATGTTTCACTACCTAAACGCAATACTGTCTAACTGCTGTAGCACCTGGTCTGGACAGACAATGTGGACAAATGACGTTTTACGTTAGATCAATCAAAAAAAATTCAAAAAGTTAATTGTCAATAGACAGTTATGTATCATGAAAGATCTACCATTCACAAAGCAGTCCTTGCTGTTATCTGAAGCAGTGCATTTTCCTAAAGTGCTAAACAAGAAAGGAAAAATAAACATTTTTCTTGAATGAGGCTTAATTGTGTAAAACACATTCATAACTCCTTCACAAACTGCACAACATTGTAATACAGCATACACAATCTTTTACAACCATGTGCCCAAATGACATCTCAGCCACGTTGTTATTTAGAATGGCTCATCAGAAGGCATACATTTCAGCAAATAAACAATGAAACGATCAAACAACTGACATAAAAGCCCTGCAGGACATTAAAGTTAATGTATAGTACAAAAGTATCTATTGTGACTCCAAGGAAAGCAATTACATACAGTAACAAATTTAAACATTTACCTGAAGGCTCTCTGTGTTCAGTGCAAAGAGCAGGCCTACAGTACCTTAGTTTTCTAGTTTTCTCCAGATGTACAGTATGCAGGACAGCTGTTCATACAAACCAGCCCTCTACAGCAGGAAGACTGTTGTGGTGAGTCCAGTGAATAAGTGCCCAAAGACACAATTGTCCAAAGATGTGAAAGTAAAAAACAAAATGTCTGGTGTAAGTAAATGGTTAAAAAATGCTACAGAATACACTGTTTCTTGTTGCCTGTTGAACTTGGCATTTTTTTACTCCCATTGCTGAGCAAGCTTACTGTTCTGAGGGGATGGTTTACATTGATGTGGTTTAAATGACCTTTTTGGCTTACATATTGGGGAACAGACATACCACATAGTTTTTCCACATTCAGTTGTATTTGTTTAAACTACTCTTTGACAAGGATCTTTGTGGCATAAATTAGATATACAGTATCGTATAATTAGCATTTTATCCTAAACATGATAAGCAGGGCAGACAAGTGACTTCCTGAGCTGCTTTTTGCTTTTGGCTCTGTCCTCCTCCTACTGCTCCCTGCAGTATCGTAATGGCATTGTTCCGGAAGAAGAAACTGAACCCAGGTCTTTGTCCACAGCCAGCCTGGGGATAGCGTCTCACATCAACGTGACCATAGCTGCCTCCGACGATGCCCATGGTGTCTTCCAGTTCAGCACCAGCTCACTGAGAGTGAGTGGGACAGAGCCAGAGGGAGACCACAGCACCGTCATACTGCAGGTCTGATATTCATTGAGGCCCATTTGTAAATTTATCAATCTTAAAAGCTCTGTTTTTGTCAAGTGGAGCTATTACGTTCAGGTCATTCAGATGGCATTATTTGCTTTTAGTTTATGGTCGGAAATTCCCAATAATCATGCAAAGTAAGCAATGATTAAAAAAACAGAATATTCCAAGTTATTCCTTTGACATCGGGGGATATAGGAACAGCACGTTTGTTAATAATTTGTCATTTGCCACGGTGATTTTTTCAAATGTTATGGAAATATATCTTATCAGGGAATCATAACCTTGTTCTTAACCATTTGCTATGCAGACCTCACAGTGAGATGCATGCCTGCTCCATGCATCATCCCCATACTGAAACAAGCAGCAAGTTCAAGCTCCAAACTAAAATGGAGATACATTTTAGCTGTAAAGGCTGAGTCGGCTTGGCTGTAGAGCTGTACCCCAAGAGTGAAAGACTGAGTATTTCACTCTTTTCCGTGTCCTCTTTTTATCCTCTTTTTTAGATTAATCTCCTTTTGTCCCTTTTGTAGCCAGCGCGCGGAAGCGTCTCCTCACTCTAATCGCTGCCTTGTTGTCTGTCTTGCGATCTGTTACGTCAGGTGGTTCGCACTGGTGGAGCCCTGTCCAGGGTGACTCTGTTTTGGGAGGCGGACCTGAGTGCAGAGGCAGACCTCGTTCACAGAGCTGGCAATGTCACCTTTGAGGTTGGGCAGACGGAAGGGGATGTCGTGGTCCGGGTGGCCTCAGATGACATCCCTGAGCTGGACAAAAGCTTCGCCCTACTCCTTTCCAATGTGTCGCATGGACGCCTGGGAAACCTGACCAATGCCACGTTCACTATACTGGCAAGCGACGATCCCTACGGGCTGTTTGTGTTTTCGGAGGAAAGTCGGCCCATTCGTGTCCCAGAAGGGAACAGAGATGTGACACTTGTGATCGAGAGACAGAAGGGGCTGATGGGATCCGTGCAGGTCCAATACAGAAGCCTGAGAGACAGTGAAATGTCACCGGACATCCCACCTGGTGTTGCCAGGGCAAAGGAGGGGAGCGACTACATTGCCCTGCTGGACTCTGTGATCTTTTCAGCCAATCAGAGAGAAGCCCACATCAGCCTTCGTGTGCTGGATGACGAGGAACCCGAACAAGCAGAATCTGTCTTCATACAGCTGATCAGCGCTATTCTTATTAAAGGAGTTCAAGATAGACCTAGTAAGGGATTTCCTCTCGGTCTTTCAGAGCACTGTCTATCAATGTCTAAAGTGTGCTTTTGCTGTCACCCTACCAGTTCTATATAGAATATAAATACTTATGTTCTAGATGATCTTTTAATGTTTGTTTTTCAAACTATTAAACTAAATAAAGGATTTGTTCCTAAAAAAGAATAAGCAAAAGTAAACACTAGCGTTTAAGTGCAAATACTGTATCTTACGGTACTGTAAAAATTATTGGACCAGTGATGCACCTGGTTATTAATATTTTCTAGCTTTATTAAAATGATTGAATTTGTTTCTTTTTCTGCCTTGAAGTTCCTCTCTCCCCTCGTCTCGGCCTGAAGAACAGCACGGTGGCCCAGGTTGTAATTGAAGCCAGTGATGATGCCTTTGGGGTCTTGCAGTTGTCCTCTTCGGCGGTGAGTGTGGCAGAGTTCTATGTGGGGCCCATTGTCAACGTCACCCGGACTGGAGGAATCTTCGCTGACGTCTCGGTGAAGTTCCGGGCAGTGCCGATGACTGCAAGAGTTGGTAAGCCAAGCTTGTAGTTTTCTGCCATCCAAGAGTGCCCCTTTTCAAAACTATGTCTGATGACGGTTTCTTACTGGGAGTTCCAGTTGTTTTGAGTTGGCGGGCATTACGGTAGTTGTTTTGATATTATATAGCAAGTTACAAAATAACATGATATCCAAATTGGCAGTATAAACCTGCAAAAAAATAATGCCTGGAATAAACACTCTTCACAGATGCATGCATTTCATTCAGTAAACCAATGAGGAAGTGCCGTAGTTTATTTCTGGCACTGTGCTGACTGAGTTAGTGTCATTTTTTCCATATGCCAGGGGAAGACTACAGTGTGGCCTCATCTGATGTCGTCCTGCTGGAGGGAGAGACTAGCAAGCCTGTGCCAATCTACGTCATCAATGACATCATCCCAGAACTGGAGGAGAAATTTCGCATTGAACTCCTCAACCAGACCACAGGGGGCGCTCTGCTTGGAGAACTCACCCAGAGTGTCATCACCATCGAACCCTCCGATGATCCCTTTGGGTCTTTTGGTTAGCTTTCATGTTTGCCTTTACTATGTCATGTTGCCTTAAAAATAAGAAAATCAGACTCATATTCTCCTTTATTTGTCAAGTACATTTCATACACGAGGAATTTACTCTTGCATACCTGGTGCTGCAAAAGACATTCTGCATATACCATACACAAGCCCGAATAATAGACAGCATTAAACAGTGCAGATCAGTGATGGTTCTATTTTAACAGATGAGTAGAGTCTTCCAGTCAGTTGTAGCCGCGGACTTTAATCTTGTCACCTGAATAATTAATCTGCATGTTTATAGTGTGAATGCAGAACAAAATGACAATAAAGAGAAATTATTCAGCCCTCCAGCAGCTTCCACAACTGTCTCTTAGCATCCCCTTTGCCTCATTCTCTAGTAGGTGTAAAGTCAGTCTTCCGGTGTCTGCCCCTCGGCTCTGAGCTTCAGCGGCTCAGACATTTGGCTCAGATGTTTTCTCCAGAGTTCCTGGTGCACAGTAATCTTCCTGTCCTTGGCTATATCGCCCTACTTTGTATGAAATCTGCAAACTGGGGCTCCTGCATAGCTCAACTGGTAAAGTCACTTGCCTGCTCTGAGGTTGGACTCCAGGAATCAGACATCGCAGGCTCGAGACTGGGCCATGTCAGTGGTCCACTGTGATCGGAATCCCCCTACCAGGGGAATGGTGGGTTTAGTCAACAGCAACCCCTGTGGCTTCCCAGGGTCCCGCAAGTGAAAGACACTAACTTCTCAGTCATCTCTGAACCTCCCCTGTGGGATGTCTCCACTGTTGCCAGTGGCACGTTGAAATCCGAGTTAGTGAAACAGTTTAAAGGCTCAGCTCTCTCCAGGTTAGGACTGCTCAAGGTGGAACCTTTTGTATTTATTTTTATCCCTAAGCACAGTAGGATCTATTTTGTTTTTATCCCTCAGCAATGCAGAATGTTATGCCTGAACTAATCAGTTTTCCACATTTTCTGTGGTTCCTGTGGTTTGTTTCTGCTGATTTTGTAAGTGCCCTAGAGTATTGTGAATACTTGATTCAGGTCCCCTTTAATCTGATTAGTGACAATACAAGATTGAAGATCATTGACATAAATTAGGAAGAGCAGTGGCCCTAATTCAGATTCTTGTGGTACTAATTATATCAAATCTGTTGGAGCATTGTTTCAGGTCATTGTCTGCATTGTACTGCATGGTGAAGCATATCCAATATCCTCTATTTGGTGCTATTGGAGGAGTCTGTCTACACTTCCATTCTCCCCCAGTGTGCGACTATGGGGTTTATCAAAGCAGTCATCTTAATTGGAAGTAATTCATTACATACGTTGCAATGTGGATCAATATACAATGATCATACGTTAAATGTTTACATGATTCTGTTTGGTAGTTTTTCAGGCTGCTTCCATCACAGTAGAGGAGCCCGATGTCAACTCCACCAAGATAAACTTTCCCATCATAAGGAATGCTGGAACGCTGGGTAATGTGACCGTTCGATGGGCAGCCACTGTTAGCGGGCAGCCTGCTATTGGGGACCTTCAGCCTGTCTCAGGCCAGATCATCTTTGCTCCTGGAGAAACCATGAAGACTCTGGCTGTCGAGGTGTTGGCAGATGATGTTCCAGAGAACGAAGAGGTAGGAAGGCATACTGTATATGCAGAGAACAACATGTTTGCTTGCTGTGTGTGCAGCAGAGAAAGAAAGTGACATCACATGTCTTTCCCAGATAATCCGCCTGGAGCTGATAGGAGCCTCAAATGGAGGCAGCATTGGGGCTGAGAGAATGGTGAACATCCTGGTTCCTCCCAATGATAATCCTTATGGGACAGTGTCCTTCAGGCAGTCGGTGTACCGCTTCCAAGAGCCTCTGGAGGGAGCCATGACAGTTAATATCACTGTCAGGAGAAGGTTTGTTGCTGGGCTGTTAAATTCACTACTGTTGCCAAGCATTTTAAACATTTCTGCATTTACCCTTATTACAGCAAGGCAACATGGGACTGCAGGCAACGACTTTCGGGCATAAGGATAACAGACAACCAAAACATCAGCTTTCGGTTATTTTATTCCTATCTTTTGATTGTTATTTACTATCTACTGGCTATCTGATACTTAAAAACAATGGAAGATCGAAGACTATCCGATAATCAGTAGATAGTAAATAATAATCAAAAGATAGGAATTGTTTGAAACAAGAGGAAAGCTAATTTCAACCGGTCTTGAATTTAAGAACAATTAAACTGGAGGTTAAAAATCCCAGGGCGTTTTCTCGAAAAGAGTAGGGGTACAACCCTGGCTTCCTGACCAAATTTCGCATTGTCCCTTACCAATCATGGCCTCTTTATAATCCCCATGTATGAATTGGCTTCATTACTCAACTCTCCTCCCCACTGAGAGCTGGTGTGGGGTGAGTGTTCTGGCGCACTATGGCTGCCGTCACATCATCCAGGTGGGGCTGCACACTGGTGGTGGTGGAGGGGATCCCCATTACCTGTAAAGCGCTTTGAGTGGAGTGTCCAGAAGAGCGCTATATAAGTGTAGGCTATTATTATTGTTATTAATCATCCTGTTGCACCTCCGTCTCTGTTTCTTCTTTTCATCTCCTTCCAGCGGGGGACTGTTTGGACGCCTGCAGATCTTGTACAGCACCGCGGAGACGGATGTCGTGGGCCGGGCTTTGAGAGAGGGGCAGGACGTTCTGGTTTACTATGACCCTCCGGTGCGGGCCGTGCCGAACAGCCCCCTCCGACAGCCGATCAACGTCTCTTCCCAAAGCGAGCCGCTGCCCGCCTGTGCCGCCGCCTGCCTGCGGGATCGCGCCTGCCTGGCGTTTTCCTTCTCTAACGTCTCCGGGGTCCCCAGGTGTGACTGGGTGGCGTCTGTTGGCATCGCGCTGACCAACAGCTCGGCGGTTCTCACCTTCGTCAAAAACACCACTGCGGCCTCCTCCTTGTTCAGCTCGCAAGCCGTCGCGGGAAGCGACTACGAGCCTGTGACCACCAAGGCAGCCTACGTGTTGGAAGGAGAGGGCACGGCCAACCTCACCGTGACCCTCCTGACGGACGCCTTCCCGGAAGTGGACGAGACGTTCTCCGTCCGCCTCCTGAAAGTCGATCTGGTGAACCTGACCGCCGCCCCCCGGAACAACCCCACCATAGGCCAGCCCGACACAGCCGCCGTCACGATCGCCATGAACGGGGATGCCTTTGGCGTCTTCCTGATCTACAGCGCGAGCCGCAACGCCACGGACAGCGGGCGGTACCTGGAGGTGAAGGAGGAGCCCAGGGCCTCCGTGCTGCTGGTGATCGAGAGAAGAGGAGGCAGCCTGGGGCAGGTGACTGTGGAGTGGAGCGTGGTGGGGGGCACTGCCGCACCTGGTGTCGATTTCAACGGGACTGGGGAGATCCTCACTTTTGCAGAAGGTGAGTCTGTTGTAATTCAACATTAGTTCAGTTCAGTTTATTTGTCATGTGCACAAGTGCAGTGAAATGCTAAGATGCATGTGTGCTCCCATACAAAAACTAAGGAATCCACAAAAACACATAAACACAGAACAGCGGCAGCAACATCAACACAAGTTGAATAAGCTTTGAAAAAGCAAGTCAGACAAGCAGTGTGAGACGAGCAGTGCTTGTCTGACTTTGTTTTTAAGTTGCGTGTTATTTAGCTTGTTGTTGCTGCTGCTGTTTTGTTGATCTTTTTTAGTGGATTCCTTAATGTCTTTGTATGGGAGAATACATGCAAATCTAATTTCAAATCTAAAATCTACTCTACACCTACTATGTACAAATATGCAGTCGATTTGAGTTTCTGCTAATATTTAATTCGTGATATTTCCAAAACAGATTTTTCTGCTGTTTTAGCTTGTTATATTAGTCTATAAATTCCAAAATAATTATATTTCTTTAATACAAAAATGACTGATATATGATAAGATCACTTTATTGGCCATATACAATTTTTTTGTATTAGGAATTTGTCTTTTCACATACCCCAGCTTGCTCTCCATGAGACACACAGACAGGGAGAGAAGCTGGGGGTCAGAGCACAGGGTCAGCCATTTATACAGCATCCCTAGAGCAGTTGGGGTTAAGGGCCTTGCTGAGGGGACAACGGAGTAGGATTCCACTGCCAATCGCGGGATTTGAACCGGCAACTTCCTAGCCACAGGCGCAGATCCTTAGCCCCAGAACCCCCGCTCCGACTGATATGTGTTGCAAGTACACAGCAATGGCAGGGCAAAACAAGTAAAATATTAATCCTAAAAAAGCAACCGATTCTCCCGTCCTGCTCCTGCAACGGTCATTTGTCTGTGTTGTCCGAAGGCGATGTGATGAAGACCGTCGAGCTGTCCATTGTGGACGACGCCGAGCCAGAGGACAACGAAACGATCGTGATCGGTCTGACGAACACGGAAGGAGGGAGCCGCATTCTCCCGAGCTCGGACACCGTCACCATTGTCATTCTGGCCAATGACTATGTGGCTGGGGTGGTGGGGTTCCACACCGCCTCCAGATCGGTCGTCGCTCAAGAAGGTGGGTCGCTGTGCCTGCTGACCGCGCTCCTGGTGTTCCTCATGAGCCCCCACACTAACGCTCTCTCTTTAGTCCCGACCCCACCACACCGACAGCTTCCTGCTGCTCCAAGAACGTAACTGCAGCGCTGCAAGTTTCTTTTTTAAACACATGTTAAAGAAGACACGTTCTGAATTTCTCATCCAGATGTTTGGCTTTATACGATAGTTGTGACTTACCTTTGCGGTTGTGTCTTTTCTTGCCAAGCAGTAATGAGGACTATGGAAAGAACAGACCTTTTGGGTTTTTTTTTACTCTTTTTTTTTTACTTAATGAAACTACCTTCTTCCTGTCGGTCTTTTGAAAAGCATGTTTTTTTTTTGTTCACAGCACACGATACAGTGCAGATTTGAGTAAATAAGATACCCAAGGTGAAGACCTGTTTATTCTGATACTGAATGTACCAGTAGCACTGGAAGAATATGTTTGAGATTAATATTAATAATATTGATCTGCGATTCTGGTATTTGGGACTGATGGTCATTTCTGGTGTGGGAATATAACTCATAGCAAAGAATCAGCTTACTGCAACAGGTGTCTAGAGATTTTTTGAGAATAGCCTTTACTTGCTCAGTACACGAACAACCTGCAAGAGGGTCTTCTGCCTGATTCAATCAGTAGAGATCTTACTAAATAGGGTCTTTTTTTCTTTTTTTTGAAGCTGGTTCCCCCAGGTTACAGTCCTCTTGCAGGACAAAGATGTAATGAGGTAAAGAGAGTCACAGCTGCCTAATCATGAGACATAAACCCCACCAAACCTGTGCAGCCTGTACTCTGGCTATTCCTGCTAAAACATCCCAGTAAACCCTAAGGGACACCCCAAAAAAGACTGGCTTGTACTGTTCGTGAATTGCTGTCTGTCAAAACGTCTATCAGGAGTCCTTGAGAGACAAAGTGTGAACCTTACTCTTGTTTTACTGCCTGTGCGAGGAGAGTAAAGAGGTTTTCATTTCAAGTGGGGGTATCTCTGTTTACTTCTTTCTGCTCCCTGTATTACCACATTCCTGCTTGGCGCCACGTTTAAAAGCTCTGTCTTTGACACGTGCAGTACAGAAACAACTGTTTTTAGGTACCATTTCCAAGTATGCAGTGTACAAATACTAATAAAATACATATGTATACTGTAATTTAATACAGTGCAGCACAAAGTCCAATACTGTTGTTCAGTCCTGCGGGTGGGGTTGTGGTTTATGTGGATTTAGTGCCCGTGTGTGCTGCTTTCCTTCCATTCATGGCTCTCCTGGAGAAACATCAATCCGCCATCGTCAGTAACGCGCGAGAGCCATTAATGAGGCTGTAAATTCACATGAACCACGATCGACAGACCTGAGCGGCTGTCTTCATTGAGAATGTTAAATGAGTGCCTACCAGGCATTGGCTTAAAAATAAAAAATCATGAAATGCAAGTGAATCCTACATCTAATGACTCTAAATGGTGTCGGGTCCAAGTATAACGATTTAAAGCTCAGAATTGACAGGAGCAATTTATATAATTTAACAAGTTGTTGTTTTTTTCTTCGTTTATATAAGAGAGCCATTCCTTTATTTCAGAAGGAGTTTCCACAATGTGACAGGAGATCTGTGAGGAATTGGCTCCCAGGGTGTAATTCATGATTTTTTAAAGCCATGTGGGAACGTCCTTTTTAAAGCCAATGTCATTATGCATGTACTGACCAGATGAAAAGTGCAGAAACCGGAAGATATAATTAATACTGTAACTGTTAAACAAAACACAAAGGATAAGAAATTAAAAATCTCCTACTCTTGAATGTTTTTTCAATATTTCATACCAGCAGTGATGACAAAAAACACACTCCTTAGCACTGCGATCCAGTGTGCTTTATGTACTGCATACCATGGTCCGGTGTTAGTAATGAACCGCCACAGTAATACAGCAGTGGTAACTAATGTGCTTTCTTTATTTCATCTCCTGATGGCTGAACAGTAACCCTTTATTCATTTCTAGGTGCCTCCCCAGGCACATGTACATGAAAAATAAACAAAAACTTATTGTGTGGATTGCTAGAACACACTTACCACACATTTAAAATATTCTGAGGTTCAGGTAAAATGAGAGAAGAATAAATATCTTTTTGAAGGTAATTGTGTTTTTCTCAGCATCTTTGATGTTCAGAAATAGAGCTCATCTATACTGTAATTAATACTCCTGCTCGTAATTGAGTCTCATAGTTTCTTCAGTGTTCGAATAAAGGTTGGCCTGTGAAATGAACAGTAGTGTTCTGTGCACGTGTCTAAAAAATGTAAGTCTAATCGTGCACTAAGAGCTTGGTTTCCACTTCCTGTACTTCCGGAACCTCAGCATGTGGGATTTGTCTGTGCATGACGGCCACTCCTGACAGTGTCTTGATGATTTCTTGATGAAGCCGTGCATGAAATGTTGGCACATACTGACTTCTTTCATTAGTCTCTGTTTCTGTCATATGATTTATGTAAATATTTAATTAATATTATTATTTGGTATATTATTTAATATTTACATAACAAATTACAAGGACTAAAGGTAATTATTTGTATGCAGTGTTTATATTGTGCACATTCCTAGCTAATGCGAAAAAAAAAAAGATATTTCTGCTTGCCTTGTATTTACATTAAAAGTCACATCCACTGCACAAGCTTTGCATTCTTATATTTTTGGTCCAGAACAGGTTTGAAAACAGCCAAACCCTTTTGTTCCTCAGATGAGGTTAAAGCTCTCAATCTTCCTTTGAATTAGGTACTAAGTAGCATGCATAATACCTTCATATAATTCATATAATGTCATAACATGCATAATCCTTTGTTCCGAAAGACATACAATATATATGTTTTAGGTTTACATTTGTTGGGGTTAGCATTAAGTGTTAGTATTGGCATTATTATGAAAATCGACAATATCTTATAACCGGTCATGTCTTTTGGAAGAATTGTCATTCCGGCTTATAGATGTTGTTACAACATGCTATGTAGCGGCTAAGAAGGTTTCATAACAGTATTATGCAGGCTGCATAAAGTCTAATTCAAAGAAAGAATGACCAAAATCTACTTCTCTCTCACCCCGCTTGTCTTTCAAATCATCTAGATTTCAGTTACACATTATTTTACCTGATTGAATAAAGACAAAAATAATACATTCCTAAATAATATACAGTGCATTGCCTGTTGAGATTCAGAAATATATTTCATATACCAGGGAAAAAGATGAAAGTCTTGTGATTGCAGAACAAATTTTTGGGTCTTACGTTTCAAGCTGCAGGATCTTAAACTCTCCAAAATGTTTATTTTCCATTTCCATTTGAAAACGTGACCTTTTTTTTTTGCCCAATCAATCAAATAAAACACGTATAAGAAACTGAAGCTTTTAAAAGCTTCAGATGGAGCTGGTGTGCAATGGGACTTTCTCTTAGCCTCCCTCTGTTCAGTATAGCGGTGGGGTGTGTTTGCATGGATTGTCCTCTGTGTGGTTTGTTTTCTGGAGGCTGTTCCCGCGGCCGTCTCGCTGTAAGCGCTCTCGCTCTGTCTCTTGAAGGGGAGACGCTGCGACTGCTGGTGACGAGGACCCCTCCTGGTCTGGGCAACGTCACTGCGGCCTGGCGAGTCGAGGGGCCCCGCGTGGCGCAGAACTTCGCCAACGTCTCCGGAGTACTCGTCTTCCCCGAGGTGAAACAGACTAAAGATGGAAAATGTTCGCTGGAGAAGGATAGCAAAACCTTCTTCTTAGCTTCAGATGTGCTGTGCTTGTTGTGCCATATCAGTGTAGGGTAAAATGCGTAGGAAGTTTGCTCTCCACAGAATTTAAAACATTCATTCCTTATGCAAAGCAGCCATAGTACTCTTCTAGTACTCTTTCAATCAAGGCACAGCAATGCAAGGGCCAGTTTGACAAAGAAGAGCTCAGAACGCTTTGGTTTCTCTTGAACATCACCTTGCAGGGCTCCTTGAATGCGACTATAGTCCTGCGGCTGCTGGATGATGGAGTTCCCGAGGAGAAGGAAGAATACAGCGTTGTCCTGTCTAACATTCGTACCGAAGGTAACCTCGCTCTTGTCAACTACGGATTTTGTTTCGCATAATAACAGCTATTATCCATCCAGCAATGACTGGAACACAATCTGTCCAAAGAAAAAAGGAACCCACAAGTGACACCCTCATAAATGAACTCCAAAATCCCCAGTAAATGAACAAAAAGGAGCTTCCTGTTTCGTGTCACATTCTCAGCTAAGTCCGATCATCCAGGCAGGTTTCCTTCTGCCATGCTGAAGGAAGGACTCAGTGCCACCCTTAAGTTGTCTAGTGCATCCTCTTCAGGCTTGATGGCCCCAAACAATTTGTTCTATTACATTTACCCTATCTTGCTTTCTGCAACAAATACAGGGTAGGAGAAGGAAAAGGCCACTAAGTTATTCAGACTTACCATAAGGATCACAACTCCCTTCCCCAACCTCACTCCATCTATGAATCCATCGATCGGAAGGTAATTTGGTCTCAATGAATTATGGATATGAATATTAATAAGATCTCATCCAGTCAGAATGCCACAGGAGGAATAATTGTCATAAAAGTGTCTTTTGTTCTGCCTGTTTCCTCTTAGAAAGTCAAAGTTAGCAAAGTTAGTCCAGCTGACTCTCTACTTTTCTCTAGCAACAGAAGAGTCTCTCAGTCCAGGAGTCCAGGATAGGCTTTTCAGCTTTCAGTGATCTGTATCTCCATGTGGGAATTTTATAAAAGCAGTCAGCGAGTGAAGGGGTGATGTTGTGTGTATTCCTGTCCAGGGGTCCCTCCCACAGGACTAGCTGTGCTGGACAGACAGGGCTCTCAGGCTGTGGTGACGGTGGAGGCCAGCGACGAGCCGTACGGTGTGCTGAACTTCGCCCCCTCCTCACGCGTGGTCTCCACACAGGAGAAGAACACCACCATCCAGCTCTTCATCAACAGGGAGTTTGGATCCTTGGGTTAGTCTCAGTATCACCACTGTGATGATCATTCACATCTGATGACTGTCTACGCAGAAGGGAGGTTCATTTCAACCTGATGTCAGATGTCCTTTTGATTGTCTTCAAATCAAAAAGCAATACTATGCAAATTATGATTAAGCACTCAGTCTGTGGAGCCCTTGCCTTTTAGATCAATAAAGTTTTAAGGTACAATATTGTACCTCATTGGGAATGTCCTTATGGACTCCTTATGGTACTCCATTAGAATTAACAATACAGTATGTACCTGTAATGAGATTTCTCTGGTAGAATGAAGTATAATCTTAATCACAGCTGCAGATCTCTGTGCTACTAACGTATTTTGAAGTTAAAGTGTCAGGGCTGTATGTCACAGATGCAGCTGGAACTCATCTTCCTTACTTATAAAAAAATGTTGATTTTCAGTCCACAGACAGTATCCATCGAGGCCTCATTTATTCCCACTTCCGTTCATCTGAGCATTGTTACAGCTCGTTAACAAAAATCCTCTGCTCGTAAGCGCAGCGTGACGTAGCCGTGAAATCAGCCGCCATGATGCAGAGCGCTCTCTTCGACTTTGTTGCCAGGAGCCATCAACATCAGCTATGCAACAGCGCGGGGGTCGCTGCGAGACCCGAACGTGACAGAGGGCTCGCTGGCCGAGCCGGGCCTGGACTTCCTCCCCGCGGACGGGTCTGTGCTGCTGCGAGAGGGGCAAACCTCGGCCTCCATCAGCATCACCATCCTTGATGTAAGAGAGCAACCCTCCCGCTTGTGTTACGATGCGTAGTTTAGGACCCTGTGCAGACGGTAGAATCCGGAAGTGACTGGAAAACGCTACGGGGAAAACGCGGTTAGGAGGGAATGGAAGGGATGGCGAACAGGGGGCGTTGCCGACAGGGAATCCAGGTGCAGGGGGGGAGCCGCTGGCAAACAAGTCCAAGGAAGTCCGAAAGGGAAACCGGGGCGCAGTCCACAATCCAAAACCGGGAGGTCCATCCAAGACAAGGACGATTAAAATCCCCGGGATGGGGGAACTCGAACAGGAACGCGGAGGTTAGAAATGGAGTGACGAGGCCAGGCCTCTGGGTGTCCGTCTTCCAATGCAGAGCCCCGAGCTTCCGGAGCACCGGGTATAAATAAAGGACGGAACGGGGGGGCAGGCGAACATGATAATAAAAAGGGTGGGAGCGCCCTCTAGAGGAGGGATGGCGATCGTGACAGATTGACCGTTGGCAGCGTGCCGGCCTGTGGTTGAGCTGCAGGTGGTCAGGGCTGGGTGAAGGGCACTCACAGAAAACCTGAAGTGCTGAGTTAGGATGCTCATCAAATAATAACTGGTAAAAAATGGAGCTGACATCCATTGAAGGTGACAAAAACAGTCTGCAATGCGCTAAAACATCGTGATGCAAGAACAGAGGAAAAGGAAGGGGTGTCGCTGTGGGTCCAGCAGGGACATAAAGCGCTGTACCGGAAGGCCCAAAAGTCATAAGCAGCTCGTGCATCTCTGTCATCCCGATGGTGACGTTTCTGTGAGTTTCAAATACTGTGTTTCAGGACGACATCCCTGAATTGCAGGAGTTTTTTCTCGTGAACATCACGTCTGCAGTTCTCATCACAACCTCTCTCACGGCTTCCAAGTTTGGTAAGGGGCATTTTACCGACTGTGCAGTTTGAAGTGTGAATGTTGATCCTCTCTTTCAGACTTGTGTTACTTTGCTGTAGTTTAAAGGACATATTGGAAGAGTAATATCTCAGGCACCATTAACTTTTGTGGGCCTGACACCAAAATAATTAGTGGGCCTTTTTTATTGTGGAACAATGGAAATCTGGAAAAGCTTACTAATAAAAAAAACATTCTGTAAATATCTGGAAAAGCTTACTAAGAAAAAAAAACATTGTGTAAATAATACATAAAACATTTTAACAGCAGACGGTTTCCAAAACATCCCCGACGTCCTCTGAAAACGCAGCAGTATAAAAACACACACTTTGCTCCACTTGAAACTTTGTCTTTTTTGTCTTTCTGCTCTTCACCATGTAATTGACTTCTGTCATTCTTTGTGGCTCCTTTTCTCTAGCTGTTTAAAGTTGTTTAAATACAAACATATATTTAGAAAAGCCCATCTTCCTCCGCTGATAGTTTAGAAGCTAAGGGAAGTTAAAACTTTACCCAGGCATTTCAGAGCCCAGAATTTGTTCTACACTAGTCTGGCTGGGAAGTCTGAGTTCCCCATATCTCTTTGTGTAAATCAGCATTTCTTTTTCTCTGTGGTGAATTAATTCCATGTTAGTTTCCTGTTTGGACCTGTATCCTTGTCTTAGGTTGACACCATTTATATTTCCTAGGATTTTATATGTTCCTTTCAGTCTTTTTTGTGCTAGACAGAAGAGACGCATCTCCTTTATCCTGTCTGTCCATGGCAAATCCCTGAGACCAGCATCAAAAGCATCAGTCTTGTTGCTTTTCTTCGATCATGGATTGTTTTACACTTTTGACAAAGTCCAGGCCAGTCCTTATTTTCAAACTTATTTTCTAACGAACTGTTGATATACTGTATGTCAAATAGAGCAACGAGTCTAAAATTAATCCCTGTAGCACGCCACTGTGTTAATTTAAAAAAATTAGGAATGTGTATAAACAAGCATTGAAAAAAACAATATTTTAAGTACTGCAAGGAAAGCAGAAGATGGGATGAAGCCATTGGAGGAGCCTGGAAAATGAGATGTTCTGCTTCAACAACCAGCAGGCCAGTCCATATAAACCAGCTCTGTGAGGGAGGTCCACATCCTGGAATGCAGAGGGTAAACACACTGCCCTGTGACAGGAAAGTCAGCCACACTTGATCCATTTGTATAATCGCTTTCCAACTGCGGTGGCTACTGCAGAAGACATTGAAGGACAAAAATGAGCTGCAGGACGGTAGCTCATTGTCTGCATGACATTCTAGATACAAGTGAGCTGATGCAAGTATTCACAATCCTCAAAGGCAGTGACAAAATCAACTCAGTGGATTTCTTCAGAACGAGCAGCAAAATAGTGCCTCCATCATGGACCACTGGAGATTTACATAATTTCAGGGCTTTCCATGATAGTCTTAGTGTGAACACAGGTGTTCAGAAAGTGAGTGCAATTTTCTTTAGAAGGTATTGTTCAGCAACATTAGATGAAAGACAAGTACTGTATGTGTCATTCTGTATAATTTTCTTTCCTGCGCTTTTTAAACGTTTCTTCTTTCTCTTCATCTGTGCTCCTGCCTCTGTCGCCTCAAGATGTGGTTCATTATACTCTTAAAGGTAACACTGAAACAGTCATGTTCTATAATATCTCAGACACTAAATTGGACTTCAACCCAGTCGCAATACATGGGACCCAATAGCTAATAGCAGAGATTCCCAAAAAATCTTTTCAGGATTTCACACCTATCAATATATACAAAATACAGATATGAAATTAGATTTTCTAAGAATGTCATGGCTTTTACTAATAATGATGACACATCACAATATTTCCTTTAACTATTGTTAAAGGAAAATATTACACCACTTGTGCTGGCAGAGACATCATAGAATATACAATAAGTATGAGGATATTTTCCAACTTTTACAAGGATATTTTACCCCTTGATTAGCTTGTACATTATTATGAGAAGTACAGTAGTTGTGAAAACAATGGCAAAAAACCTCTATGAACAGCTTTGTAGAGGAACAAAGTCAAATCACAGTCAGTTCTCAATGCACTAGAAGACAGTTCTGGGTCTCAGATGATACCTTAAAAGAATCTTAACCCATGCATAGCAGCATAAGGCTGTTGTAGCTGTGTGTTATAAAAGTTATTTTGGGAAAGTTAAATTGGGAAAAGTCCAAACTGAATACCAATTGCGTGTTTCTAGATGTCGGGGGTCTTGTGGCACAGGTCACAATCGAAGCCAATGATGGGATCAGAGGAATCATCGAATGGCAAAGTGTGAAGTAAGTGCCACCTTGATGTAATACTGTAACTGAACAACAGCTGTATACGCTAAAAATCCATTTTACCTGTTTTTATTTTTTATTGTGTTCAAATGATGTTTATTGGGTTTTATTTTTAAAAGTGGACAACGTTTGTCATGAGAGAGTCTGTTAGTCAAGTTCCTCTGGGACTTCAGGTGGGTCCTGCTTCACTTGACTAATTGACAAACGTTGCCCACTGCTGTAGAGAAGGTACAGAAGCCGGTGTACATTAAGGATGCTCCTGCTGCATGTCACTCTTGTACACTGCCTTTTTATTGTTCTTTCAGCTTTGAAATCAATGAAACAATAGGCAGCTTGACCCTAGTGGCCTACAGGGACAGAGGGACCTATGGGAATGTGTCTCTCTTCTTTTATGCTCAAAATCTCGAGGCGCAGCTGGGCCTTGATTACAACGCAACATCTTCGGTAAAGGCATCCGAACACAAGAGCACCTTTGTTTCTTCACCAATTGATATATAATAAGGGGGAAATAAGCATTCTTTCTGAAGGCTCAATTAAGAGATCTGATGATCCCACTTCAACAGTATTTCAAAACCTTGTAGGTCAGGGCTCTCCAGTCCAAGTCCTGAAGTTTTGTGGATCATGGTTAAACCAATTTCTAAGGAGATGGAGCAAACCCACTGTGATCAATGAAGCTTTAACTAATATAATATAATTAGAAATCATTTAGGACAAAAACTAAAGCACTCTGTAGGCCTCAAGGACCAGAGATCTCTTTATTCAAGCGATTACTTGTTTGGTTCGTCGGGAGCTCACAGATGTTGCTAAACTTTAAAAACAGGTGACCTATGAGTAACTGAATTGGGGCTCTCCAGGGCCAGGGCTGGAGACCCTGGTTATAGAACAAATACATATTGACAAGGAAGGCAATAATATTCCCCTTGCTATGGGCTCCTTCAGAGCAGATTGACACATACTGTAGCTGTTTATAACATCCAGATGTTTTAGTGATAGTTTTAGTTAGTGTAGTGCTGCCTACAATAAACCAGTGAGACTTCTTCCACCTACTTAAAGTTTCACATAATTGAAAGTAGCCTTCTAGCATTGTTGATCAGACTATAATGACAAATGTAGATTTGACATGACTATGAGCCAAATCTCTGTACAGTTATTCCCATCTTTTTTTACCATTGTATTAATTTATTTTAAATGATTTTTTATTTATTCCTAATAAATAATAAATAAATTAGATAATTCTATATTATATAATTTTATATAATATGTACTAATTTATTTATGGCTTATTTCTTTTTATTTTAATTGTAGTAATTCATTATGCATTTATTTTCCAATATCATAAGTCTTTATGATTTAGAAGTGATTTATTGTGAACATCCCATAAACTGCAGATCGTCCACTTCGCTAATGGTGAGAGATACAAATTCATCGACATCCAGATCTTTGATGATGCCATACCTGAGGGTGATGAGAGGTTCCAGCTGGTTTTGGCCAATCCCTCTTTCGGGCTTGAGCTGGGAGACGGAACAACAGGTACAGAATTCCCTGTGTACGGCACCTAACAGGAGAACTGGGCATTTGATTGTTTCCGATTTATGCCACTGGACAAATTAAACATTGAGGCAGAGAGACCGAGTGTTATATCAATCAACTATAATCTCAGTGATTATTTGTATGTCTCATATCTATCATTTTTAAACCTGTTTAAATAAGCAGTGTTGAAACACAAAAAACAGGTGGAAAAACCTCTTTCATCCCTCTGTTTTGCGTAGCTACCGTGACTGTCCTTGCCAACGATGATGGTCATGGGGTCATCTCCTTCAACAACAGCCAGCACTTCTTCCTAAGAGAGCCCACTTCCCTGTCTGGCCTGTCGGAGAGCGTGGCCACTCTGTACATCGTCCGCGACCCCCGGCAGGGGACTTTTGGTACAGTCACTGTCCACTACCTCATCACCGACACCAACGGGACAGAAGCAATGGGGGACCTGGTTCCTTCGCAGGGCTTCGTCATCCTAGAAGATGGAGTAAGATTCAAGGTAGAGAGAACTGTGGGTAGATCTGTAACTTTAAGGGGTAAGGGCTCCTGTACCAGAAGGGACAATGTTAAGCATTTTCTGATTGCGGTCTTCTCTTAGGTTTTAAGACAGATGTGTGTTAGGACCCTGGGAAGAGGGGAAAATGCTGCAGAAGATGTGAAGGCTGAGGAAACTCCTTTGCTTTCAAGCGCACAATTGTGCAAGAATCTGTAACATCGCTGACCTTGTATTGTAGAAACCACTGAAACGCGTTTCAGGTTATGAAGTTCAAAGAAAAGTTTTTTTTTCTCTACAATGCTATAGGATTTGTGGCCAAGAAATTAAAAAGAGAGAAATCAAACAATGAAGTGTTCATTTTAAAGAAAAAAATTGACAAGGATTCAATTTTCAGTTTATGTATAACTACAAAAATAAATTTACATTTTGCCATGACAACTTGTTCTTTGCCCTCCTGTGAGTTGTGACATTTTAACTTTGGAAAAGAAAAGGCAAAGCTATGAGTTTTGCAGTGTGAGCGACGTGTCTGGTCCCCCTTGTCTCCTCAGACCCTGCAGATCTGGGCTGTGCTGGATGAGGAGCCAGAGGTGAACGAGACCTTCGCCATCACTCTGTCCAGCCCCACCGGAGGAGCCCGGCTGGGACAGAGCCTGCAGACCCTCATCACTGTGCTGCAGAACCAGGCTCCACTCGGGCTCTTCAGGCTGTTCCCCCTCAATAACAGGTCTGGAAAATGACTGCGAAGTGCTGCTATTCTGTACTTTAAAAGATGTAGAATAAACCAATAGCCAATTGCATCACACGGGGGAGAAGAAGACTCCTCTACCCTGCCCACCATATGAATCATTAATTTAATATGTCCCAGGCTACACTGCCCATAATATAAATATGCTGTATTCTGTACTACACGCATGCTACTGCTCCATTCTTGCAAAAAAAATGAATTTTCCACGTTTATCAAAATCTTATCCACTGACTGAAGGTGATCAGTCAGTAAACCCAGCACAATTTTTGTAATTCCCCAAATCATTGTAAATGAATTAATGATTCGTACAATCATTTTTATGTGCCTGAAGCACATGAACCTACGTTTGGAAGTGCGTCTTCATGCCGGTGAGCAGTAATTAATGTGGAAGATGTAAAAGCTGCAATATGAAGATTGTGAAAATCCTTGGCATCTTGTGATTGACGGCCCGTGCAGTGTTTCAGGCATATCGGCCCATAACCAGTTATGTAGACCATTTTGTTTGGGATCTGACAGGCTGAGGTTGGCCGTTTTTAGAGTGCGCGATGATGGCGGCAGTAAGGTTCTCTCCGCCCTGCAGGACAAGCTCGGTGACCGTTCAGGAAGGCAACGCGCCCGTGTACCTGACAGTGTCCCGCAGCAACGGCTTGGACACCGCCGTCAGCGTGGAGTGGGAATCGCAGTCGGACACCGCCCATGGCATGAGTAAGAGCACTGAGCGCTGTAGTCCTGAGTGGCTAGGCCACTTCCCAGTCTGTACATTCTCCCCTGCTGTAGACCCACTCTGTACTCTACCGAGGAATCGGATATTTCATGGCAAACACAGCCATGATCTAAAGATCTGAAATGTGTCTCTCGGCTAATATCCGGAAATGCTTTGCCGTACCCTTTGGTATCCTGAGACAGACTTAAATGAAAACAGCTGTGTTTAAGCAGCTCCTTAATACTCTTAATATTCAATTATATTAATCCTCTTCTAATATTCATACTTAATGGATGGTGAAGTACTCTTATAACAGTGTCCCATCTTCATTCAGTACTGTACATGTAAAATAGGACAACTATCAAGAACAGTTGCCTGTATTTTTAATTGCATGATGTTCACATCCATTTATACCCCAGCAAGCTGTCTTTTATTAACCCTGTTATGGCTTTCATAACTTCAAAGAGGTGCTTTATGGTGCCTTTTAATAAATAAGAGTGATTACAAACGACAGGAAGCCATAATGCAGCAACAACATGGCTGGGTAGCTTAGTCTGTACTCCAGCAAAGATTTGGGTAGTGACATTGTTAGGACATTGCTAACAGGGCTCTGTATCTGATTCTTGACTATATCATTGGCCTGTAAGCATTGTCTGGGAAGTGACAGAGATGTGACAGTGTGGGTCCTGTGTTTTCAGGAGGGGACTTCCCGGTGATGTCCGTGGTCCAGAGCTTTGCTGGACAGCCGTCCTCCGGCTGGTGTGCCCTGAGTCACGCAGACAACCTGCTGGCCCTGCAGCTTGGCAAGGATCGTCCTGGTGGTGCTGGGGAGGCCCTGTCCACACTCTACAAGTGGCAGGGTGTATTTGCACCTCTCCAGGTAACCCCCCCTCGTGCTCACAGTCTTCCAGGTCCGCCTGCATGTCCTTCTAGCACAGCTTTGGTTGTTCTCTCTGACTTTTCAATCCACCGAGTTACGCGGGGACTTTTGACCTCAAGGGTCCAGGTTTTCAGATGCTAAAGCCCAATGAATACCAGAACAGATACTAAACAATTCGGCACAGAGTGGAATTTCAGGATAAAAATGAATTCCCAACCTGACATTGGGGCAAGTGGGAAGGCTTTCCTGCTAGGACAGGTTGAGCTCTGTACGGTCAGGATTTCGAGCCCGGATCATGTCACTTGCCAACTGTGATGTGACCGGGATTATCCGAGCGGTGGCTCACAGTCGGCCGAGCACCGCCAAGGCTGGGACTGGATTAGTCGACCGGGACTCTCTCGGCTCTCGGTGGCACAGTGAATCCTGTGGCCTCCTGGTCACCCGCAAGCACGTGGGGCTCTTGGTGAGGGACACAGCTCTGCTCCAGCAGGGGCAGCGCTGCTTGTCAAGCGTCTCAAAGATGGGTGTGGTGGAGGAGTCTGACTACAGCTCCTCATTCTGTACCTGGGGGTCAAGACATGAATAACAGGCTGTTCTAAATCAAAGGAGTATAACAAAATAGTCGGTGATTTTAATTTTCTAAGAAAAATAAGCCATCATAGAAATCTAAATAATTAACCTTCGTGCTGTCATATTAGTATGATTCTGATGCATTACATGACTTCATTGTGTCATTTTATTTTTTTAGTTCTTGAAAATCCAAGATCCAAGACGGTGCATTGCTTTTGTCATGAATGGTTCCTCCTACGTTGCAGTCACCCATGGGGGACAGGAGGTGTCCAGAGCAGCAAATATTAGCCTCTTCAGACTGGGCCCTCATCTGAACTTGACCTTGGTGATTAACATAACTTTGCTAACACATCTCTCCATAGTTTTTGAAATCTTTGACTTCCGTCTAGTTGTAAGAACTGCTTTTTGTATGTTTGTTTAGTTTTTTTTTCTATGGCTATGAAAAAATACTTCAATCTGGAACACACAAAACCATTTTTTACAAATTTGTAAACTGTGCATTCGTTGATAATAATGAAGTGTGATTTAACATCATGAGGAAATTCATTCGTATACAGTATGTGTACCACAGAAATGTTAAACAGCTATTTTCACACTATAGCCACAAAAGATTTAAAAAAAACAATGATTTAATTAAAATATTGTTTCAATAAATCGGTGCTAATGTAATTCAAGTTTTCATGTCATCATTCTACTCTCTTTAACCACTTTTTATTTCTATTTTTTGTAAACAGGAACAATCCTTCAGTGTTGAAGCCTTTGATGTAAAACACTTTTCGGTGGAAAATAACAATTATTTAATAATATCCACCCAGGTAAGTGTTTCTATAAGGAGAAGTGTACAATGGGGAAACTGACTTTCATTGGGTTCAAAGATGTTCAAGCAGTGTTGACAACTCAGGGTTTCTTAGAAGAGACGTTTCGCTGCACTCTCCTGACCAGTGTGAAATGAGTTTATTCTGATGATGACTTCTTCAGAATAAGCAGTGAAACACAAACCAGATGACATAAGTGGAAAGTCTGTGTGTGTACATTTAAAACCCAGAACAGGATGCGCTTCTGTACGTTATTAAGGCTGGCATCTTTCAAGAAACAGCTGGTTGGGATCCTTGGATCAGTTAGTGACTAACTACCCAATTGACTAGTTGAGCCAAAGGCTGGGTAGTTTGTTCCATACTCCCACAACCCTTTCTGTAAAGAAATACCTCCTGTTCCTGGTCTGCAATACTCTTCTACATTCCCACTTCTGTCCTTTGGTTCAACATTCAGCTAGTTACATTCATTTTAGAAGTATAATAGCATCTCTGCCCTTAAACATATAAAAGTTGTGTACGTAGGTATGTTTTTGAATTTTCAAAAAGGGGCTTTTACTAACAAGAATTTGTTAAAAAACATAGAGTATGATTCAACTTAAGAAAATTACATTTTTTGAAATACTCTTGTTGCTGGGTGACACGTGAAACTTTTTTGATTTTTTTATTTATTTAAACCCATACCACAACATCCTTAAAAGCTAACTGTGCAAGTACTCAGGATTCAGCGTACCTCTGCATCTATACTTCTGACACCCTACCACATGTTCATTGTTCTGTTTGTTAATTATCTCTACATATGGGCAGTGTTTCTAATTTACTGTTTTGCGGTGTGCTGTCCACGTTGTGTGGTGTTACCTGCTATACTGCGTTGTCTGTTGCACTGAGAGAATGGCGTGAATAGGAATCCCAGTGTCCATGTACTGTACATATGACAAATAAACTCCTCTATCAGTAGACACCGACGTGATTTTTTTAACGGGCAGAATCTGATGAGAGCTTCAGAACTCAACACATTTTGCTGTTGTTGTTGTTGTTGTGGGCCACAAGTTCACACGTTAAAACCCGTCTCCACAGGTCTTCCGGCAGATGGGGGGCGCGTTTGTCTTCCATCAGGCACTGGACCTCCAGGAAGCCACCGGCGTGTCTCTGTTCCTCAGGGGAAGCTCCTTGTACCTGGCCGTCTCCCTCCGCAGCCCTGGGAACGGCTGCGTGCTCTACCGCTGGGCCGCCGGCCAGTTCCGGGACCCCCAGCCCCTCCCCACGGCCGCTCCGGCCACGCAGGTGGACACATTCCACCTGGGGGCCGACACCTACCTGCTCCTCGTCACTCCAGGTAGCGGAGGCTCTCGGAGACGGAGCCGGCCGTGCGAGCCGGGGAGCCCCACGCTTCCGGGGCCCGCGCGCGGCCGGCCTCCCCTGACGCGGCCGCCTGTGTCTGTCCCGCAGGGCCCGCCTCGGCGTGCGAGGTGTTCGTGTGGAGGCCGCGGCAGCCCTCCTTCCGGCCCTCGCAGTCCCTTCCCCTGGGGGAGCTGGCCTCCGCCCACAGCTTCACAGCCTCCTCGGGCATCCGTAAGCACCGGACAGCAGGCTCCCGGGACACCGGGCCCGGATTGCAGAACACCCCTCTGACATATTGCTTTGCAGTAATAAACTATAGTAATAGTTTAACATAGTCATTTTAAATAGTAATTAACAGTAATAAAAACAGTAATAAACGTTTTAATACAGAAGGTCATTTCACCTTTGAAATGCACCCTCAGAACGTACTGTTGCTTTAAAAGTGGAACACAAAATAGTTTCATCCGAGGAAATATTTACTGGAATAACCACTTTATTAGATATTCTGCGTTCGGTTTTTGTGGAATTTGCCAGACCCAAAATGCATTTTTACATTCCAAAGAAATCTCCCATAACCATTACTTTTAACGGTGCTTTATCGTTTCAAGGCTTTTCCCATTGTTGTCTTAATGTAATGTTTTTCCCTCCCACTCTCCTGTTAAAACCTCTTGGCTTGTGTGTCTTTCAGAGCACATCATGCTGGCTGGCAGAAATAAGTCTTCTCTTTATTCCTGGAGTTTGGAACTGAACCTGTTTTCCCTGGTGCTGGAGTCTGCGCCAGCCCAACAGCTGCTCTCTGTCCAGCCCCTGGACCTCAACTCCACGAAGACATTCCTCATTGCTTCTGGAGACTCTGACTCCACAGTATATGAGCTGACATCCGTCTCAAACCAGTCTGATTTCATACCGAGGTGCGTTCTGATCCACACTGCCGTGCAAAAGTCTGATTCATGTCTGACACAATCAATACATACAGTACAATACTTGTGTGTTATGGTAATTAATTACTTATTCAAAGCATTCACGATTGCATTCTGCACTTGTTACAGCTTTGACTGTTAGCAATACTGTACTGTTTGGGTAGGAACAAGAATGTAGTAGCTAATCCATACTCACCAATCAGATGTAAGGACTCTTTGTCAGGAGGTCCTCATCATCATATAATTTGTTCCACTCACATCCCTAAACCTAAAACTTTACTTTTTCGACTACCAAGTAAATTATTCCATGATTGCATGTTTCCTGTCAAATAAGTAAGGGAACCACTGAGTGGAAAGAGTAAATTGATGCAAAACATCTCAGACTTTCGCACAGCTGTGTATGTAATGTTTTGTTTAATTATCCAAATTCAAACTATAGTTATGATTAGAGTATTTAGAATATGCCTTCCTTTAAGAGTACTTACTCTGTATTAGTCAGTGTTTGTCTTAGAGAGGGAAACTTGATAATTCTCAGTTACTTTGTTAATGGTAATGTAAGCGGAGCATTACAATGATATTATGAACTGATTGAGTAGCATTTTCGCAATATATAAACAGCACATAATATAAACAGCAGCATGATCAATTACTGTAAGGTAATTTGTATTAATGATTAGCGTTATTAAAAAAAAAACACACAATGTATGTTTACCTCGACAGGAAGTACGTACCATTTTTTATTGCCACTGAATTAATATTACTTTCTGAGATCTCTTCCACTTCTGAAATGAAAATAAACCTTTATTCTTCACAAGGTGTGTGGCTGGATGAAATCCTTGGTTCAGTTAACTGAGCAATCAGGCCCCACAGGCCACATGGCCCTTTCTCATTTGTAGCCATTCCTATGTTCTTCCGAACTGATGTATCATAAAAAACAGACGGTAATTAAAATTTCTTGATTATTCCCTTCTGGCTTTAAGAAAACCGATTGGTCAACATTGATTTTATTAACATTTTTAGTTCGTGTCTAGCGTTTAAAACAGTTCTTGGCAGAGCCAGGACTTCATAGGAGGCTTCCACCGGCCTGTGTTGTTTTGCTATCAGTTCAGGCGAGCTGCGGTTCGACCCTGGAGACAGGGAGCTGGTGATTGCGGTGAACGTCATTGACGACAACATCCCAGAGGAGGAGGAGACATTCAGCGTCCGTCTCAAGAACCCCAGAGGAGGAGCCGAGATCGGACCCAATGGTCAGGTGACCATAGTGATCCCGTCCAATGATGAAGCCCACGGCATTGTGGGATTTGCACAGGTACAGCCATCTTCAGCGGGGACTGTGGTTAGGAAAAAAACGGAAAGATGCTTTTTTTTTTAACAACATGCCTCTTTCTTCAAGAATTCACTGCGCAGGGACGTTGACGAGCTGGAAGAAGATAATCTTTTCACGCTGAATATCGAGCGATTGAGAGGGACCTTCGGGAAGATCACGGTACACTGGGTAGCCAACGGGAGTCTGAATGACATCTTCCCCGGCTCTGGAGTGGTGAGGATTTCCAATGCCATTGTGAAGCCATTACCTTTAACTCAATGGTTAAGAAGCTTTTCGAGAAAGCACTTCTACATTTTAAGAACGGTTGTCCTACTTGTTCATTTACTGAGATATTCAGAGAAATGGTAGAATGTTGGACTTTTATTATTGCTATGTTATTAGTAATATATTCATGCCTTCATGAAAAGCAGTCAATAATAAAACATCTTAACCTTGTAGTAATCTTGCCAATTAAGCCTCACATCACCCATGCTTTCATTCTCAGCTTAATTAATGTTCTCATTTGTTTTGGGGTTGTCATTTTTGTGTGGTCGATGCGACATTTGTTTTTAGTTTATTTCTGAGCTGGTGATGACTAAATCAGGGAGAAATCAAAAAAGCTTAACTTCGTAATGGTGATATCAAGAGGCGCTAAGAAAACTTAGGTGAGCTGAAAGAGTAGTGCAAGGAGACCTGATGTGTGTTGTTCCTTTTCCCAGGTGTCTTTTTCAGACAGTCAGGCGCTTGCTGCAATCTCACTGACAGTTCTGGCAGACCAGGTGCCTGAGCTTGCCGAGACGGTCACCATCACCCTCACTGGGGTCACCACTGTGGGGATTAAAGACCCCACACAGGGCGCAGTGATTGACCCACGCAGGAACAAGGCTCAGATCACCATCCTCACTAACGACTCTCCCTATGGGGTGATCAGCTGGCGTTCGGACTCCCTCTTTTCCACCACACAGGAGCCACAGTGTAAGTTTTCTGCTTTGTTAAACTTGATCTTAAGACCAGACAGGACAGCTTACCCTTTAAGCACCTTTTAAAGATCATTCCAACAGGGCTAGTTTGCGTGAAGAGCCTGGCTTAATTTTGAATTCCAATCACTACAATTACGTGACTTGAGTTTTGTATCAATCTTAATTGTACCACATTTATAAGTGGAAAAAATAAAACATTGGAGCTACACGTACATATCTGCAAGTGCAGCGCATTAAATGGCTTTAGTATAAAACTCTACCTATATTCTTTGTGACAAGAGTGATTGCATGAACACAGTCAGTCACAGATTTATTTTGGATATATGTTATTATTACAGATGGCCCGAGCAACATCACTTTAACCATTGTAAGAGAGCAGGGCTTTGTTGGGGATGTCGCAGTACATTTCAGAACAAAGCCTGCTTTGTCACAACTGCCGGTGAATCAGGCAACAGAAAACGAGGACTATGTTGCTAAAGAAGAGACCGTGATAATGAAGGAAAATGTGACTGCTGTCCATGTCTACATCACTATACTGCCTGTAAGTTGAGTCTCATTTCTTTTCTGACCGAAGTTGGTTGAGATATGTTTGATGGCTTTTCCTAGTAATGGGCCATTCTTTTCCCTGTGTGGTCAAACAGCCTGCCTAATTCATTGACTGGGGAGAAGGATGTTAGAAACTATTAAATTAACATCACTGGGTGAACTAGTATGAAAGGAATACAGCTGTTTTCATATTTTTTACATGCTGAATACTGGCCTGTTATTGTGTATAGTTTTTTTTAATGTATTGTAGGTATTTTAGGATGTTTCGGTATTATTTCTGTGATTTCTGTGCACCTTAGTACCAGTCCAATCAAGTATTTTTTTCCATGTGTTTAACACAAACATAATCTTACAACTTTGTCAGCTCTTGCACGTGCGCACAAAGGTGAGATTACCACAGTATGTGTTTTTGGAAATAGAGGAGACTGTCCTCTTCTGCTTGGTCTCCCTTGCTTGAAAGAAATATTCCCTGCCGAATGGCAGGTGAGCAATTCAGTTTTAAGAACGAAAAAATGTAAAAGGGAGACAAGGCAGTTGATTCCGAGGAGGCCGAAACCATCACAATGACGGGGATGACAACGACAACGACGGGAGAGGTTAGCCTCCCTGTCGTTCTCACAGCTGTCCAAGTATGAACAGACGTCTGGTCTCGTGTGTCCCTCTCCTCCAGGACGATGCTCCTGAACTAGCGGAAACCTTCTGGGTCAACATCACCGGAGTGGAGCTGCTGAGGGCAGTGGAAGGTGGAGGACAGCCCAGTGTCAGGAGGCCGGGAATGGAGACAGTGGAAATCACCATTCTGGAGAATGACGATCCCCGGGGAGTTGTACAGTTCAACGTTTCTAAGGTACAGAACGTGCTGATTGGATGATGAACGTGCAGGTGTGATAATATCTGCACATTTCGGCTGCTGCACTCAAGGCTTATTTGATGCCCCTAGCAGGTATACTTGTACCTCTCTGGCATGACAGGCGAAGGCTGAGTCTGTTTAATTTATTGTGGCTAGCTACACTGTAGAGGAAATCTTATCGCGCCTGAAGGTTCAACAAAGCAGCAGTACTTAGGTTGTTCTGTAGGATAGTAGTCTTTCTTTTTGCAGTAAGAGGTGCAAACGGCTGTGGTCTCACAAAAAAGGATTTCTGTTTTTTTCTCTACTGTGGTAATGCTTACATGGTCATATATAAGAACACCTTGTCTCCTTTTTGATGATTGTTTCTGGATGTATATAGAGAGAGAAGCCAGCAAGTCCTGTACTTTAGCTGTCTCATCTGATCTAGCCAGCGCTCTGGTCTTGTGACTGAACTGTGCCGTTCCCCAGTCCCGAGGGGGTCACTGTTGTACCTTTTCACAAGGTCCTTCACTCAGATTTGCGATACTCAGCTGCCTCCACAAGCTTAAGTTGCTTTGACTTGAAGAGCCAGTCTAATTAAATAAAAAATATTTTTCTCCAAAGATACTAAACTTTAGAATTCCTCTGTATGTGGGCACCATGATTCAGCAGACAAGCTTTTCTAGGTAACAGCTAGAGGTTTCCTCATAGTTGGGTGTTTTACACATGGCCTCATGCCACTATGGTTTTGTGTAGTAAAAGTGGTTCTTGTTTAATCACCTTATTTGAATTCCTTTATATCTTTGTATTTCCAATACTTCCCACCAATGGTAAGTCGGGACTAGTTTACACATACTCTTAGTCATGTTGGAGGTTATTACCTGTTTGAAAAATGTACTTTCAGGTTCTTACGTGCTCATACAATTTTTTTGTGGATTCTTCATAATGAAGTTGTAAAAAGTGACTTTTTTTCTGGGTAGTCAATTGAAAGGGAGAATCGTCACTTCTGATTTCAGGATATGATTGGCAGAGTTGTGGCCTATGAAGTTGTTCCTCCAGGCAATCTCCTGCAGTTATCTGTCGTCCGATTGGCTGGCCAGACTGGCAGGGTGGTGGTGTACTGGGAAGCTCAGCCCATCTCTGCCAGCCTCGAAGACTTTAGTCCAGCTTCTGGAAATATCACACTTAATGATAGACAGGTATTTACAGTTCTGTCCTGTTTTTCAATACAGACTCCATGTTAAAAACAAACCAACATTCAAACACAAAAATTCATCATTTACACAGAAATAAAAATGATGTAATAATGTAAGTTTTGTCTGTTTGGTCTTTGATGTAATAGGCATTCTGTCATGCAATATATTACTTTCCCTTTGCATTTTAGCTACATTTGCTAACTACATTTAACAATAGTGTAATCAAAGTTACAAAACCATACAATCATATAGGCTAAATTATTACAAAAAGAAAAAGCCATGCGTACATAGCATGGTAATTAATTAATTTTATTTGTGTTCAACATTGCCTTCCGCTATTGCATGTAGTTTTTGTAGAAAGCCTCAGAAGTCATTGGAAATCACCAAACATTTCTTTTTTACATATATGCTTGGGCGTGAAATGTCTCAACAGGACAAGAGCTTTATTGAAATCGCCATATTGGATGACAACATTGTTGAATTCGCGGAGACTTTCAGTGTTGCTTTAACTGCTGTGGCTGGGGGGGCCAGACTGGGGAATGAATCCTCTCTGATTGTGACCATCCCTCCCAATGACTCGCCTGTGGGCATGTTTGGATTTGACCTGCGAGAGGTGAGAATCAGCTTTTTACTTTTATCAGGGGTCCCTCACTCTTGACTCCCGGGCAGATTTGGAACTGTGATATTCTGGCTTCAGTAACTAACAACTTGTCACGTTTATCAGCTCACAGAGTTAAAGCGCTCACCGAACCACAGGTGCTCTGTGTCACGTTTGAATTAGGAAAATGACTGTATAGGTTCCTCTCGATCAAGAGACTTCCTCAGCTGATAAATTGAAACGGTTATTTAAAACAAATTACGATCCTGCTAAAGCACAGCCAAAACAAATCCAGGGTGGATAAAAATCCTTTGTTATTATTAATACTTGGGCAAAGTTAGAAATCAGATATACCACCCAGTCTGTAATTTTTTCAAGCATTTCATAGGAGATTTACCATCACCACCACTACCACCATCATCGTTGTTGTTGAATTCTTTATTGGTGTGTTACCAGCGGGTGCAGTGATATCCCTATGAGCCGCAGCAGTTGTGCTAAAAAGATGGCAGATGTTTCTTTTATAAAGCGTGGGCAGCACAACGGATTACTTGATGGCAGCAAAGAATGGCTTGATCCTACTAGATTTAGATAGATGGGCCCTCGTGTGCAGTGTAGGTGTAACGGGGCTGCCGGATGTGGACAGCTGCAGTGACGCAGCTTGCTGTGATGCAGGTGACGGTGCGGGAGCCTCAGTTTCCCGGTGACCCTGCTGCCATGGCAACACTGACAGTGGCGCGCAGCCCCGGTGGCTCAGGGTCGGTTCACCTTGTGTGGCTCGTGGAGGAAGCAGCCAGAGAGGACCTGACACCCCTCAACGGGACTCTGTTCTTTAATGAGGTACAGCTCACAGGCGGGCTCGCAGGACTCCGTGGGGTCTGCAGTAATGCAGCCGTGAAAGGGAAGTGGGATCATGGTACTCCGGCTTGCTAAAGGGGCTCAAGCAGGGAGCTGCATCAGCATGCGTAGGCTGCAAAGGAACAAGTGAAGGTTTATTGCAAGCCGAGTAGAGAAGAAAAGAAACACAACAATTAGGCTGTGGAGCCTTTTTCAAGTGTGAACCTGAAACCTGAAACCTGAAGAACGCTCCACAGCCGAAACATTCTGTCTCTGATCTCCACTCTTTCGAGAAAACAAGTCTACAGGAGCAAATTGCGTTGTTGGCTTTCTCCTGAAGTAAACGCAGGTTTGTTTATGTATGATACATGATAGCTACTTTAAACATTTACTTAACCTCCTTAACAAAGTCCCCATTTGATTTAGTTTTCAGCCATGTACTGTAAGGGCAGAAATGCCTGAAATATGCACTGTCAAGTATTGTGAAGCTGTTGATAAAGCTTCTGTAAATAAATAATGGGGTTAGATTATTAGTGGGTGAACATGCAGAAGCGACATGTAATTGGTCGTTTCTCTCTAGACCGAATCCAGGAAGACTCTGTTTGTGCGTGCTCTGCCAGATGCTGTGCTAGAGGGAGATGAGAGATTCACCATTCAGCTCCTGTCGGCCACAAGCGACGCCCTCATCAGCCCCATTGACGGTCAGTGCAACAGCAGGGCACTCAGTATGGAAGGGCATATGATGTTTGTTGAACATTTCTCAGCCTTGACAAGAACAACTTTTCTTCTAGGTTTTGCCTCTGTTGTTATTCTGGGAGACCAGGGAGCTCTTGGGACGGTGGAGATTGCCAAGTCCTCCCAAAACATTCTGATTGGAGAACCAGTGGGGACTTACAATGGGTCAGCCCTTGTCAGGTATCGTGTAGTCTTGTTTTATCTTTCCTCCGAGTTTGACTAGGTGTATTTTAATGTGGGCTTAATTGAGTTCTTCTTTTCTCCCAGCATTGTGCGTGGTCCTGGGATTTTTGGTGAGATCACCGTTTACTGGAACATAACTCCCCCCATTGCGAGCGAATTTGAGGAGACATCTGGGAAGGTGGTCATGAGGGACAGGCAGTCTGCTGCCACCATCAGAATACAGGCAAGGAGCTAACGAGGGTGCAGGTGGATTTTTCTTTGGGAGTTTAGGCAAATCCCATCAAAGCACCTTTTAGCAAAGATGACACCACTAATGCATGCATATCACGCACGTGTATCACTGCAGCCTGGCCTTAAACAGACACTTATTTTGTGACAGTAACAGATACTTCATTTATGAGGTTGCATGCCTTGTTCCATTAAACCTTCTCGCTGATCAGTTCCACTGCAGTGCACCTCAACACCCCATTACTGGAAATGTGAACAAGGGAGGTGCCCGGAAATGAGGTAAAAGTAATAATTTTGTGTTGTGTCCTATCTCCTTCGTTGGCCCGTTTGACCCCTGCTGTCATGCAGGCCCTGGACGATGACATTCCCGAGGAGAGGCGCTCGTACCAGCTGGTCCTGAGCTCGGTGAGCCAGGGCGCCGAGATCAACCAGTCCAGCAGGAGTGCCAACATCACCCTGGCCGCCAGTGACTTCCCTCACGGCTGCTTCTCCCTGGCGCGGGAGCTCCTGCAGACCTCGGAGGAGGAGAGAAGGGTGAGCTGTGGGCCGTGAGCCGCAGCAGTGCAGTGCATCCAAAAAATACTGCATGCTTTTGCTTTACTCCACACCACAGTTTGGAAGTACTGTATTGTGATCTATGTCTTTTTCTTACATATTTGAATTGTACATGATTACCAAATTCATTTTTAATTCATTTTCAACAGTATGGCATCCAGATCGGCACTTTTTTATGCATCTTCTCCTTCTGTTTCTTCTCCTGGAAAACTTTGCTCGTTTCTTGCGATGGCGGTCATTTACAGTAGTGCTGTGTTCAGGGGCGGAGCGGTGGCTCTGTGGCTAAGGATCTGCACCTGTGGCTGGAAGGTTGCCAGTTCAAATCCTGTGGCCGGCAGAAGAATCCTGCTCCGTTGGGCTCCTCAGTAGGGCCCTTAACCCCAGCTGCTCCAGGGGCGCTGACCCTGACAATGGCTGACCCTGCGCTCTGACCCCAAACTTCTCTCCCTATCTGTGTGTCTCATAAAGAGAGCTAGCCGGGGTATTTGAAAAGACAAATTCCTAATGCAAGAAATTGTATAGGGCTAATAAAGTGATCTTATCTTCATAGTGCTGTTGCCGGGAAGAGGAAATCTAATATAAACAGGACAGGGGCAGATGGCACTGGGTGTCCTGAACTTTGTTTTAAAACCTTTAGCATTTCCGATTCCGTGCTCCTTCCCTGTTTGCCTGTGTAGGTGAACATCACAGTGCTGCGGTCTCAGGGCCATATTGGGAGTGTGCTGGTTTGGTACCAGACCACCAGTGGCAGTGCGGAGAGCGACTCGGACTTCACCGCTGTGTCCGGGCAGCTGCTGTTCCTCCCGTCAGTCTCTGTCCACACCGTCCCCGTGGAAATCCTCAATGATGACCTGCCCGAGGGCCCGGAGCAGTTCTACCTCAATATCACCAGAGCAGAGCTTGTCAATGCCAGGTTGGTAGTGCCTTCTAGCAAGCCAATGATTTCACATTGAGCAAAAAATAAAACAAAAAACTTGCTATAATTTTTCTGGTTTATGATAGAGCTTCTCTCATTTTCCTGTTGTGGTACTTCTTACTTTTGTTTCCCGTTGAGAATTGAGTGTAGGGTCCTCTCCCCTGTACAATTAAGATGCTTGAACCTTGCCTCATGTTACTGTATAGTTTGAGTTCTCATGAGATCATTAATTTTGTTCTGGCCCAGTGGTACCAGCCACCATGCTGTTGATCTACAGAATTTGACCCCTTTCCAATGCTGGAATTCCAGACTTGTTTGAGCAGTAATCAGTTTTCAGAACAATTCACACTCAGCAAGGCTGCAGTTGACTGAAGAAGCGCTCACACTCTCATGCTTGACCATGATAGTGCTCAGTAAACCGTTTGGAAAAGGGTACAGTTAAAAAGCATGAAATGAAACAATGGTTATTGAGTGGGGAGCATCCAAGCAAAAATGAAAGGAAAGAATGGGAAAACCTATTGCCAGTGCACTTCTTTTTCCCTGTTTCACAATGAATTAAAACAGATACATTTCTCTGTGTGCTGTCTCAATTGAAGTGATTCTGACTTCACAATAAGAGAGCAAGGGCTTCAGCGAGACCAGCCTCCCGCAATAGGGAACATCTCGTCCACAAGGATCGTCATACAGAAGAACGACAATGCTGAGGGCATCATTGAGTTTGACCCCCAGTACAGAAGGATCACTGGTGAGCTTCAGACGCGCTCCATTCACAGAGCAATGTTCATTTTCTAATTGGCACAAGATAAAAAAATCAGTGGTGACACAATAAATATGAAATTCGTGCAGTAAATCTACAGTACATTTCTTTGCACCAGAGGGACTTGTAACAGAGTTTTGAAGTACAGTATGTGGTGGAAATAAATTAATGGTTTTTAATTGTGTGACTACACGTCCGTATTCAGGATGTTATGTGATACATTAAAAAGTTTTGATTTGCTTCTGACGTGGCTCTTGGTTGGCCTCCCAGTGGAAGAGGATGCTGGTACAGTTCTGATCCCGGTGCTAAGGAGACGAGGCTCGTTGGGAGTGGTGATGGCAGATTTCATCTCCCGCAGTGTGACGGCTCTTCCCAATGGGATAGACTTCAGCCTCCCCAACAGCTCTGTCACTTTCTACCACGGGCAGAACCTCACCCACATCAACGTGTCCATTGTTGACGATGCAGACAGGTGATAACTTTATTTCAGCCTTGATGAGTGAAACATTGTTACAACCATGTTGCACATATGTCAAAAAGCCTCTAATAAGGCAAAAGAAATGAGTTAAGCTAGTACTAAGAGGGAGGAGGACAGGGGAGAAGACATTGCTGTGGTAAGAAGTTGATATAAGAAAGCCTACAATCAAGAGGATGACATTGAGCTCATATAGCCTGTTTAATAAATAGCAGGTGACCGATCCCAGGATCTCGTCCTTGAAGAAGCCAGGCTGCTGTCTGCCACAACATGGCTGAGTAGCTTGTCCCAGACACCTGCCACTCTTTCTGTAAACACTGGCCGCCTGTTCTCAGTTTTGCACCTCCACATAGTTTCCGCTGTGGGTCCTGTGGTTCATCTTTCACTGTTGATTCAGGACAAGTCCAGTGAGCTGCTGGTGTTAGTGCCTCCGAGGTGCCCTTGTCGTTATTCTTTGTTCAGGTCTCAAAGGGGACTCTTCCTTTACCCTGTCAGTACAGGACATTTTAATTCTGTATTCTAAGCAGAATATAATATGATTTCTTTTCTCTGAATTGATTTGACAAAACAGCCTTTGATTTAAAGTCTACACTTTTAACTGTAATTGCTAACATTTTCCATGCCCTTTTTTAATTGCTTCTCCACGTTGTCTAGAATGCACCAAAGCAGATGCCGTAGTCATTCATTTACCAGATGGAAACTGCAGGAAGGTAGATAGAAAACAAGAGGCACTCTTTTACACAGAACTGCAGGAGTGTGGGACAAGCAACCCAGCCATGGTGTTGAATCCAGTACCCTGGCTTCTTTCAAGAAACGTCTGGAGGAATCAGTTTGTTTCCATCCACCAGAAGGGCCAAGAGGCTGGCTGTCATCGGGAACCTTATGTTCTGATGCGTTGTTTTCTTTTTTAGCTAAAACAAGATACTAAATAAAAATATGAAAATGAAACCTCCCCTTCGTCTTTGAGAATTAAAATCAGAATAGAGAAAACACATTAAAAATGGTTATTGTTGTATTACGTGGTGTATTTCAGTATCATTGATACACTGTATAAGCTAGTTTTTGGGGAAAGCTGTTTTAATTTAGTAAAGGATGCCACTGTGCATATCATTGTAAGCACTCAAATTGCAGACAGTATTGGTGCGACAATTAGGCCTGCTTCCTCTTAGCCGTTGGGTCCTGGGTTCAGTTCTGCACTGGGATAGCTGTCTGCGTCGAGTTTTAGCTTCTCCCCATAGTTACACGCGGTTTCTCTGGGCGCTCCGCTTTGGTGATGTCCCATCCCATATGCAGTCTTGCCTGCACTCTGAGCTCCTGCGTTAGACTCTGGATTTCTGTCACCGTTGTCATGGGTTGACCGTTGGCCCCTGATGAATAATTCAATGAAGCACAGCAATTTCTAAGCAGCAGCTCCTACAATCAGCGCACGTAGGCATCCGATATATTTGCATGGCTGTGTGGTTTGTGGCAGTGAATGGAAGACTGGAATATTTGGATTTTGCAGGGAATACGAAGAGCTGTTTGAGATCCAGCTAACAGGAGCCAGTGGGGGAGCCGTGCTGGGAACCCATTTGGTTTCTCAAATAGCCATTGCCAAAAGCGACTCTCCCAACGGGCTCATCCGGTTCCTTAACAAGAGCGAGCTCGTAATCCCCAACCCCAACAGCACCCAAGTGCTGACGCTGGTCCTGGAGAGGACAGGGGGGCTGACTGGAACAGCCACGGTGAGTTCCTGACAGCGGTGTGTTCACTCTGATTATCGGCTAGCTTGCACAGTGTGTAATTGTATGGGACGCACATGTACAGTTTCATTATACTGATTGGATTCTGCATTCTATTAAAAGTATGTATGATATAAATTTATTTTATTTAAGTTTATTAGATATATCATCAAAGTATTAGGAGAAATTAATTTGGAGCAATGCCTATTATATTTTCAAAAGATTGATTTTAGATGTACTAATTTATTTTTTCTCTAATTTGGAAGCAAGCTTTTATTATTATTTTTATTAATATTGATTGTTACCGTTTGTTTGCTGGTGTTATTAAATTATACCTGGAAGTTAACCATCACAATTAACTCTGAAATCTGATTACCTTCCCTCAGATAAAATGGAACATTCTAGGTCCCAATTCAAAAGAGGTTTTGCCTGCAATAAACACAGACTTTGGTGAACCTGTGAATGGATCCTTCCATTTCAGAGATGGGGAGGGAGGAACCCGTGCCATTGACCTGATGGTCTTCCCCCACGGGGAGGTGGAAGTGCGGGAGACTTTCACTGTGTCGCTGAGCCTCCTGTCGGGGGAAGCCGACATTGACTCTAAGGCACACAGTGTGGCCCTCACGGTGAGTCACGGCACGCAGACGAGCTCCCGGCTGTCTTTTCATGCTGGCAGGGATGTTACCCTGTGTGAACAGGAGGTTCTGGCCGAAAGCCTGGAGTTCTGGACAGAGAAGCAGCCAAGTCCACCCAAGACCAGGGCCGTCCCACAGGCACTGTCACAATTCATGTACGCACCTTGGCACCGCTCGGCACGAAAGGGGTCCAGCTTAATCAGGTGCTACTATGAAGATGTCGATGGAAGTTGTAGATGAGATCCTCTGGACCGAAATATGCAGGCATAGTGGCCAAAGGAGGTTGCAGGGCAGTAGATTTGAGCTGTAGGCAGCATCCAATTCAAAGCCTTTGAGTCCAGCCGCCTTGTCCAGCTGTAAGTAGGACAGTGGGCCGGTTTGGAAATGACAGCATTGAAGCTGACTTTGGGTCTCATTCACACTGTTGTTGTTTTTTTTTTCTCTCCCGCTACAGATCGAGAAGTTTGGGGATCCCAATGGTATCGTGCAGTTCAGCCCGCAGGCCCTCGTAGAGAGGAGCTACGTGGAGCCCAGTGAAATGGAGGGCCCTCTGAACATCTCCTTCCTCATCACTCGGAGGGAAGGGCTCATGGGGAATGTCACGGTCAGTGCCTTTCGCTGCAGAGACCGTGAAGAGAAGGAGCTGGTCTTCCTAGTGAACGACCCAAATAAATGTAGACAAAGCTGTCTTCAATAAAAGGCAGCTGCTGAAGTGGACTTAGACTGTTCCATGATTTATTCACGGAAACAATTTATTTTTTTAAATCCATCCATTTTAGCATCGGGATATCCTAAAAACAGATGGGTTTACAGAGTGTTTCTGTCTCTGTTAATCTTCTCTAAAAATGAGAGGAGAGCATCAGTCTGCCCATTTTTCTCTCATTTAGTAGAAAATCGGTTTCAGCAGCTGCTGGGTAACTTGTTCCAGACATTCACAGCCCTTTGCATATAACATTAATGGCAGATTAAACATATTTTCAAAGTGTCTTTCTGAAAAAATACTAATAATTTTGTTACTTTCTGTATTTTCTTAGAAGCCCTTTAAAAGTACACCATACAATACACATGTCACATGTACTTTGCCGTTAGTGATGTAGTGAGAGGTGGCTTTAAGGTAACCACCATCTTGGCTCAAATTTTTGTTGCATTGAGCAGAGACGGACACCTTCTAAGTGAGAGGCAGAATTAGACAAAGCTGGTTTGAGTGAGTCTCTGGTGCTGGGAGGGAGTTTCCTCCAAATGGAGGAAAGGACCTATCAGGATATTCCACATGGAATTAGCCACTCCTCTGGTCCAATTAAACATTCTGAGGATGTTAAGTCAAGATGGTGGCTTCTCTTGCAGACTGTAATCATTACACCATTACATGACACTCTTGCAATACAAGAATGAAATTGAAATTCCCAGGAGTGATCATGCGCGTACAACAAGACCAGTACAAGCTGAGAGAGCAAAATAATAAAACCGTGATAACAGAATAATGGAAGGATAGAAATACAGTAAATTACAGAATGATTAAGAAAAAAAATTGTTAACCTGAAAAAAGAATAACTTGTCAAATGGGGAAATGTGTCTCACCTGTACTCTCCTTCTCATGCAGGTGTCTTGGGAGCTGTCCAGTGGCTCTGACATTGCAGGTGACTTTGTTGCCCGTCGAGGGCAGGCTGTGATTCTAAATGGGCAGAGATCAGCCGAAATACTGGTCCACCTCTTGCCAGACAACATACCCGAGCTGGACGAGCTGTACACCATCAGACTGACCTCTGTGGAGGGAGGTGCGGACCTGGATGCCGATAAAAGCACCTCCAGGTTCTCAGTGAAAGCCAACGATGAGCCCCATGGCGTCTTCGCCATCTATCCTGGCCTGCAGTCTGTAACAGTGGGCAGGGACCTCGGCCGGGAAATTTCCCTCAATGTCTCTCGACATGCAGGAACATTTGGGAACGCCACGGTGGAGTACAAGATCACTGCCAACGGCCAAGGACAGAACTTCTTCATGGACACTGTTCTGGGAAACCTCTTGGTTAAAGATGGTGCCAGTTTCGGAAGCAGTGCAGTGCCAATCAGTAATCAGGTAGGTTTTCATTGGTGACATCGCGACCATGACGTCATTATCATCAGTGCCAGAGCAGAAGCCTCTCCAAACGTCCACCTCCTTCCCTTGTGAAGTTCTACATTGGCTATTTTTGGTCCCCCCAACATGCAATTGTTGGTTCTGAGCTACTGCACATTTAACCTGCTGCAGTTCACACTCTGGAGCAGGAGAGATGACGGCAGCAGTATGTGCATTCATTGCAATGGGGCATTGGTTTCTCCTGGCAAATTGCAATGGTGATGTCACATTTGGTCAATGAAGTAGTCTAGTTGTGTTCTGGCAGTGCCGGGGCTACAGGACCCACTCTGAACACACAGGCTTTTTGCTTCCTTTTGGAAGCATCCCTGTTACCTAACCTGCCAGGGCCGAGTCAGAGTTCCAGGTCGACCTGCGGTTGTAACCTTGCCAGTACCATAACACCAGCACGTACAGGCACTGTGATTTGTTGCGTCCTGACTTCTTGAGTGGTTTTGCCCCCTGCCGTGTACTCCACTGTATCTTTTGTTGTAGGCTTTCTTTCCTACGGGTTTCAACTTCACCGTCGAGCTTTCCAACGTGACCCTGATAGGTGAGGTTTCTGGGAGCCCTCCTCGGGTCCTGCAGGAGGCGAAGATGGCTCTGGTGTCTGTCCCCGAAGCGGCTGCAAATTCAGAGGTGAGTCACAGAGTCCCTCCATCTTGCTTTCTTCTGCTCCCAAATGCTTATTGACTTGACTGGTTCTCCAGATGTAACATGTTTAATTATTATTGCTTGGTCCGATGTTTTGTAGCAGGAAAGGAAAATGCTAATTAGAAAATGAATCAGTGTTAAGCTGACTTGTAATTGATTCGTGTACTCCAGGAGACTCTGAGATGTTTCTTGTCTGAAACCCGTAATCAATACTGAAAGCAATATGGTGATGTGCTGTTTCTTTTTCCAGAGTTCATTCCTCATATATTTCATATATTCGTATATTTCTGGATGAAAATCAACAGCTGTGGGGTTATGTGTGGTTTTAAGCATTTATGCCATTTTCCATTGAGTTATCTTTTCAAAATATTCTTTCTAATCTGCCTGAAGGAACTTAACCAAATGACAGAGAAACCCTGGCGCCATGTCAGTGGCAGCAAAAATTATATTTTATTTACTTGTTATAAAATAATTAATGGGGACATAATAACTACATGTCAGGTGCAGTGGTGTGCTTTGCTGCCTTGCAGCACTGGGGCCCTGGGTTCGATTTCAGATGTGGGGTGCTACAGTATGTGTGTGGAGTATGTACAGTAATGTACGTTCTCCCCGTGTTCATGTGGGTTTCCTGCAGGTGCTCTGGTTTCCACCCAAAGACATACAGTAGCAGTTGGTTAATTGGCTTCTGTGAAATCTGAAGTACAATAGTTCAAGAAGGGAGCAAGTAAAGGTTTATTCCATGCTTGAAAAGAGAAGAAAAGAAACACAAGGTTTCAGCTGTGCAGCCCTTCTTCGTATGTTTTCTGTGAATACTGGCCCTGGTGTGAGTGTGTCTATCTTTGCGTTTGTCTGCCCCGTGACAGGCTGGCCCATCCAGGTTGTATCTCTGTTTTGCGCCTGTTGCTTACCGGGATAAGCTCTGGAGCCCTTTTAACCTTGTATTTGGATAAAGTGGTTAGAAATTACCAATAAACCTGCCTTCCCTTCCCTTCCCTTCCTCTCTGTCTTTCTCCAGCACAACCTCACACCCCGACTCAATATGAGAGCATTATATTGTTTACAAAGGAGACAAGGTGCTTTGACCCACCTAGCTCATTTCTTTAATTAGTAGTCTAGGATTTTGTTGATCCGAATATCCCATACGGCTGTTTCCTGAAAGAAGCCAGTATCAGCTTCAACACTATGGCTGGGTAGCTTGTTCCACCCTCCCACTATGCTTTGTGTGACAGTTTTAAATGCCCTTCTTTGCAGTTTCCACTTGTGTCCTCCGATTCGTGTTTCACTCTACGGTCGTGTGTCCACAATCGGATGTCCACAAGACGGAACTGAGTTCTAATAAGGTTCCCCTAGAGATCATCCAGACTTGGGTATACATCACAGCCACAGACTGTCTTCTTTCTCCCTGCTGTGTGTGCTGCAGGTGGGGTTTGAATCAGTCGCTCTCCAGGTCTCGAGCCTTGTGACCGGCAGCACTGAAGCGGTGATATCCAGGAGAGGGCTGTATGGACACCTGAGTGTAGACTGGAGTACCGGCTACCCCCCTGGTCAGGCACCTTCTGGCTACCAGCTTGGCCAAATCAGCCCCTCTTCAGGTGAGGCTCTGCATCCTGCCCAGCTTGTTTGGCTGTTCTGTGGGTGTCTAGAGCCGCTGACTTTAAATCTGAAACAGTGCAGAGAACAGCTGTCCTCTTTGGATAAAGGAGAAAGCAAATCACCAGTTTATTTGGTGACGCTTTTAATCCAAAGTGATTTACATTCACACCCATTAATACAGCTGGGAACTTTACTGGAGCAATTCAGGTGGGAACTTTACTGGAGCAATTCAGGTGGGAACTTTACTGGAGCAATTCAGGTGAAGTACAGTACCTGGATCATGGGTACAACACTCACTGGGATTGTTTCCAGTTCCTCACTGGGATTTGAACCCACAACCTTCTGGTTACAAGGCCACAAACCACTACTTCACTTTCCAATCCTCTCCATGCTTACACTTTATTACACTTTGCTTTGCTTTACCATGGCATTGCACATGCCTCAGATCTGATCTCTTTTAAAGACAGGAGTCTTGTGCTCTAAGCTAGTCTTCATAGAATAATGATTCGTATGTAAGAATGTTCTAGTTCTAGTGAAGTGGACTCACCTATGAAAGTTGCTCTGAGGACAAAAAGCACAGTGCATACTGGGATATTGCATATGTAATGGTTATAGTCTTGCTTTTTCAGAATGTTTTATTATGATCTCATGAGTCCGTCATCTGTTTTATTTCACCTCATTTTGATAAAACATTGCAATTCCATCTTATTTATATGGCACCTTGTAATGCCAAAGCATCTGAATGCACTCAGCTAAAAAAACAGTTTCTTAGCCCACAGGAAGCCCCAGGAATTCAGCGTCAATGGAAGTTCTTAATTTAATTTATTTATTGAAGAAAGGCAAGGTCTGCACAAACACATTCCATTGCCCGGGGCTGATTCAGAGAAGGTCCCTGTCCTGCAGAAAATAACAAATAAAGAGACTAAGACAATTAGCACAACAGATACAGGAGAAAGGAAGAAAGAAAGTGTTTCCAATTAAAACAAATTAAAAGACTGGGCACAGAACGCAGGAAAGAAGGACGGAGGGGGATTTTCTGCTGAACCTGTTCGCTTTTGCTCTGTTTCGGAGTGAGCGAGTGAGCCTGCCAGAATCACAACAGGTCCCAATCCTACTGGGAGATGGAGGAGGGAACTCAGTTGAACTGGCAGCCCAGTATGTGATCTCCTGTTACAGTCTGGGAAACAGTGAGTCTGTCTCCCAGTAATGCTCCATATGTCTTTATGTAAATATTTAATGAGGTGTCTTCATTGTAAATATCTGTAGATTTTTTTTTTGGGGGGGGTTGTTTTAAGTTAACTGTATTTGTTTTGCTTTGGCAACACTGATTGTACTCATCGGTCAAGTCAATAAAGCACCCTGAATTGAATTAGATAGATAGATACTTTATTGATCCCGTGAGGGAAATTGCAGTGCAACAGCAGCTTAACACACACAACACAGCCACAGTGTAACAAATTATATAATAATAGTACAATACATACAATACATACAATACAATACAAGAGTTACTCACAGTCCGGACACACAAAGAACAAACTAGAACAGAACAGTACACAGAAAAATATGAATATAAATACATATGAATATAAATATAGATGTATTGCACAGGTCCCTGGCATATATTGCACAAAAAATGGTTGTAAACGGGAAAAAGAAAAAGAGAACAGATGTAGCAGTAGATGTGTAGATGCGTTTAGTCCAGAAACAGGTCACTGTCGATGTTGCCTCTGCCAAGACGCAAGATGGATGCGTTGTACAGTCTTATGACAGAAGGCATGAATGACCTCCTGTAGCGCTGAATTGAGTTGAACTGAGTGAGCTGCCATGTGTGCTATTTTTCCAGGGACAGTGCAGCTGGCTCATGGTGAGAAGAGCAGGGCGATAGCTCTCGCTGCCGTCTCGAACATCTCCAGCCCCGAGGCCTTCGCTGTGCATCTGACCGCAGTGCAGTCCGGCGTGCCCGGTGGGGCTCGGTTCAGGTACAGTCCCCGAGCCCGCAGACATGGACACATCAACGTGCTCTTTGTCAGCGTCTCTTTGGCCTCTCTTTCTGTAATTCGTGGAATCGTTGTAGTTTGCAGACGTATGAATCCCGACGATGGATGTGTACCATCAGTGGAATGAACGTGCAGCTCTGCCTATTCTAGATTGTTAAAGAAGCCAGCTCATTTTTAACGATGTGGGCATGCGCTTACAGCATTGGCAGTAGGTCTCCCTGTAGCTTTTAGTCTTAGTCCATATTGGCTTTTACTCGTATTCCTAGTGCCTTGTATTTCAAATGAAGAGAAGTAAAGAAATAATAATTCCTGCCATGTTTAATTTCAGACGTTTTCCGAACTCTGCTTTAGGCATGCCATTTTTTTCTTTTTGTATATTGTCATGCTTTATTTTCTATAACATTGTGCACAATCACTCAGAAATTGTATATGGCCAATAAAGTGATCTTATAGATTCCCCACCAGTGTGACAGCATTCACACAGGAACTGAATCCTTTCAAGTCTGGATCATTTTTTTTTTCCTCTGCTACCATTTTACCCCACAAGAGAGAAAAATATGCAGGATTAAGTGTGCACACTTAACACATCCAGGTTAAAATCTAAAATTAAAATGTAATTACTCACTTTCAGTGTGACATTTATATATATATAATGAAGGATGCAGTTCTCATTCTGTTTGTGCTGAAGAGCAGTAACTGAAAGCAAACACTCAAGGCTGTTTATTTTCCACTAGGCCGGGATTCACTGTAGCTGAAATCGAGCCACTGGGAGTCTTTCAGTTTGCGCCAAACTCAAGACAGCTTGTGGTTGAAGAAGACGTGCAGACAATCACTTTATACGTTCAGAGGTGGTTCGGTTTCCGGAGCAACCAGACCAGGCTGACGTACCTGACGTCAGCAGGCAGTGCCAAACCCAACGAAGACTTTGCTGCTGTCCCGAACGGAGAGCTTGTTTTCGGGTCCCGCCAGACCACCGCCGCGATCGGGCTCTCCGTGTGGAACGACAACGTCACCGAAGAGGACGAGTCCTTCTTCGTCAACCTGACGAGCGCCGACGTTTTGCACGGCGGCCCCCCTGCCCCCGACGCGAGGCCGCGGCTCGTCCCGGAGCACAGCGTCGCCGCGGTGACGATTTTGTCCAACGACGCCGTCAGAGGCTTGCTGAGCATCGGGCCGACCTTGGCGCAGACCCTGGAGGACATGGACAACGCCACTCCGCGGAGCGTGGTGCTGCGCGTGCGCCGGTCCGCGGGGTTCGCTGGGGCTGTGAGGGTGAGGGCACAGACTTTCGGGGGCAGGCGTGTGGCGGCGGGCCTGCAGGGCACTCCTTTCGAGAACGCCCTGGCCAACGGGAGCTTCACCTGGGCCACCGAGGGAGAGGACTTCCAGCCACAGGCTGTGGTCCTCACGCTGCTGGAGGGACAGAGGGAGGCGGAGGTGGCACTCCGCATCCTGGACGACGACGTTCCAGAGGGCCAGGAGGTGTTCTTCGTCTACCTCACTGACCCCGAGGGAGGGGCGCAGGTTGTGGAAGGGCTGGACGAGCACGGATTCGCTGCTTTTGCAAAAATCATCATCTTGGGTAAACTTTCGCTTTCCTGGTGAAGATCCATGCTTTCTTTACTGAACAGGATACCGTATATAAGAAACTTATTTCTCTCATTATTTACCAGTTGGGCATACTGGTTTTCGATGCTTTTTCCCCTTTTTTCTTCTAACTAGCAGTTAGTGGCAAAATGTTATGTTCTGAACACACTAATTTCCGAAACGACCAATATTTTAGAACTACTTAAACAGAATCCTCTCTCAGGGGCACCTGTGTAAAAAACACAATCTCATAACTTTTCTAGAAGTGCAAAATAGCCATCAATAAAACTTTTATTTGCTATCTCACCCTTTAGAACAGATTTTTTGGCTTTACAGAGTTGTGTGATAGTTAACAATGTAGTATAATAACAGCAGACCGTGTGGGCAAGTTATGTCAAAGACAACAATAACACAGGCTTATTTATCAGCAAGCATTGTTTCCTATAAACATATTATTCTCACCACTGCACTGCCAGTGGACCAGTAGACACTGTGATTAATCTGTCAGGGAAGCAGAGACCCCTGCTGGACTCCAGTTGAAATACAACTATATCGAAAGGAGCCAATTCTGGATCCTTTTGATCCACTTGTCATTGCTAGTCTTTCTTCCAGTTATTCCTTAAGTATTCAATGTGATCTAAAGCACTTGGGTTAATTCAGCTGCTGCTTCCTGAACAAAGATGCAAGTCAATGATAAATGCAGTGAAAATGTGTGAAATGAAACCTAGAAGACCTTCTCACCCACAAGGCCCAGATGTCAAGAGCACGGATCTGCGTTCACAGCTTTCTCATCGGTACAGACGCTCCCTCTCTCTGTGTAACAACGTCCCCTGAAAACAACCCTCCTGGCGTCTCTCTGTTGCAGGGAGCGATCTGCAGAACGGCATTGTGGGCTTCACTTGGGCCTCTCAGGCCGGGGCAGTGCTGGACGAGGACTCTGGGAACAGAACAGCTCTGCTGACTGTGCAGAGGCAGGAGAACAGGTAGGAAATGAGAATTTCAGAGGAAGATGTCATTGTGCCCAACATAACCTGACTGCAGGACAGTCCACTTCTCTCCTCTAGTCTTCACAGATGATCTGCAATTTTTTTATTCTTTATGTGCTTTTACTCTACAGTTCATTGGGAGGGCTGGTGCTAACCGCTTTTTATAATTAAAGTTAAGAGTGATTGAATTCAAGCTCAATTGTCTGGGACAAGAGGTTACAGTGTAGTGCAGTTTTCTCAAATACAGTACAAATTGTTCCATCCAATTATATATAAATATTTATAAATATTCCCTGACATTTCCTCTTCTGGATTTCAGAGCGTTTGAAGATGTTGCAGTGTTCTGGCGTGTAACGCTGAACCAGACCAGCCCCTCACTAGTGAGCCATGATGTGAATCTCACTAAGGAGTTGCTGTATACCTCAGGAACAGCCCTGTGCAGGAAAGGAGAAGTATTATGTTTCTTTAGTCTGGAAATCAGACCTGACAAGGTGAGTTTCTTAAATGGTTGATCTGTTATCTCCATCGGTAGAAAGGCTTCAGTGTTGGAAAAACAATATTTATATTGTCCCTGTTAAATACATTCACTTTCGGTATATGATCATTTTTTAAAATAATTTTATTTAGTTACCTAGACGCACTCAGTTTCAACAACAATAAAACTCTTAGTAAGCCTTTCATGGAGATATAATGACTTCTCTTGTTGTTAATCTTTTGTTATTATGGGCTTAGAGAAAACTGATTTTTTTTCCAGAAAGTTTTTAGAAATCCACTATTTCTGTATTTGTTACAGACAAATGAGGAGTCATATACAGTACATGCCAGATTTTATTTCATGTGTGGTTTTGTAACACGAGTAGCTTCTCTTTTGCTTTTATGCTAGGAAAATGTACAAATTTCTCCCTGGCACTACATAAAACATTTATGCTTTATATTACTTCTGCTGACCCCAAATTATTTTAAAAAACGGAAACATTTCATGTTATATTTCCTTTCATGGTTTGGACTGTGATTTCCCCTAAGCATTTTCAGGCTGCCTTGTACAAATGCCCAAGACTACAGTGACAACTCTCACATTAAACGTTTCATTTTGCTGAAGCTCAATATATAGGCTAACAGTACATAAAAATACACCATGAAAACATATTTTAGTCACATACTGACTGTCCTCAGAGCTTTCAAGTTTAAAAAAAAAAACATTTTATCATTGTTTATCTTTGTCAAAAGCAAACAAAAATCAGAAGGTCTTAGCACCGTGGCTAAGGATCTGTGCCTGTGGCTGGAAGGTTGCCGTTTCAAATCCCTCATGTTCATGTTAAACCACAACGTGTGACCAGAGTGGGCTCGGTTAGGTTTCTATACCTTAAGCAGGTGTTTTATAGATAACTTGATCACCAGTTATCTTACTTCAGATTTTATTTTTGAAGGTTGTGAGAATTTGTTTGAAAGCTCAAAACTGTGTACGTACTGTACCACATGGCTCCGAGACATGCACATGTACAATTCTGACCATGAGCCACCAGGGGGCTCTCTTGTAAAACAGCTGAAAAGAGGTCGCCCTCCTGTCTGAGGCAAGCAGGTCTGAGGAGCCCCTCAAATTACAGATTACTTTCTAAAATATTCCTGCTAAACTAGACTTGAATGCCTTTGGAAAGCAAGCAATTTGAATGCCAAATCACAAATAAAACTATCTGTTCTCCGTGAGTTAAATAGTTTTCCCCTTTTCATTTCTTTAGTGTTTGGTTCCCCAAAAATGCTTCACATATAGAAGGGAACCCACTTCATTGCTGAAGTGTCACCCCCACCTGGGAGACACATACAAGCCACTCTGCCGAATTGAAAGGGAACTGTGGGTACAGTAGTCCAGTCTGTACAAATCCGGTGAACCCAGAGGGGATATTAGCCAGGACGTCAGGATTAACACCTCTGCTCTTACGATCAGTGCCATGGGATGGGATGTGTAATGTTTTAAGATCTTACAGATGTAAGCCTTGTTTTAAATTGCACTGATGGTGTGGGGTGTTGTTTGTTATCGTCCTTCATGTCTTCTCATTTGCGGTGAAGGTTTTCTGCTGCACCTGCTTTTACAAGTGGTTCTTGTTCCGTAAAGGAAGGGACTCCTGTGGCTGCCCTGACATCTGACTTCACTCATGCCGCTCAAAAGTGGAAAGTTCCCCGGCTGCATGCCTGCATTGGCATTAGAAAATGTGCTTGGCGTATCAGTGCGTGTCAGGCCTTTCTTTTCAACCCCAAGTGCAAGATTTCAGCTATTTCTCCTGTTTACCACCTCGCTGATGAGAAGGGTTACAAATGTGAGGAGGGTTGTTTTGATAGTCAGCTGCTAAATCAATCCCAAAGTGTCATGCAGGTGTTTCTTGCAGAGAGTCCACCTCAACAGCCGTTGATACCCCTAATTGCGTTCTTTGAAATCAACTTTTCCTCCTTTAACTTTACTGCAAGACAAATAAAATGTATAGGACGTGGGAGTGAAGAGCGAAGAGCAGAGGAGGGTCTGTTTGAAAAGCTCTGCTCTCTTGTGCTCTGCTCGCCAGGTGCCAGAGTTTGAGTCGTGGTTTTGGGTGGAGATCTACCAGGTCGGCGCTGGGGCCGAGATCAACGACAGCGCCCGCTTTGCCAACATCACCGTGCCGGAGAGCGACAGCCCTCGAGGGCTCATCTACTTTGCGGTGGGCTCCCGCGTGCCCGCAGCCCACCAGAAGACCACCTTCCTCAGCCTGCAGGTGGCCAGAGAGGCCAGCAGCAGCTCCATCGTCTCTGTGCGCTACAGCATGCAGGTGAGGGCCTGGTCTCAGGTGTGTTTATTGCCGCACAAAATATTTCCCACTGTGTGCAAAAATGTCATTTTTGACTTGTCTGTTCAGAAAACATTCTTTCAGTAGCCTTGTGCATCATCCTGCTGCTCTTTGGCAAACATGAGACAGGCAATTATATTCTTTTCAGAGAGTAATAGTTTCTTCCTGGCTATCCTCCCATTAAAACCAGTCCTTTTTCAGATGGCTGAGGCATGAACACTGACATTAGCCAATGTGAGAGAGGCCTGCTGAATTGTTATTTTGTGGCTCTCCATGACTTTCTGGATGGTTTTCTGGTTTGGTTTTGGGTAAATCTTGACAGGACGACCAGTGCTGGGGAAAATACTTTCCATGTATTGATCATTTGTCTGTCAGCAAATGAATGGAGCCCAAATACTGTATTTCCGTCAGAAGAATGAGAATAGACCAAGTCAAAGTCTGGACCCAAACCTTAATGAAATGTTATGGCAGGAGCTGAATTGAGGAAACTGTCAAATGTCTCTGACTGTAAGGAAGAATGAGCCACTGCAGGAGATGTATTGACAGTTCCAGGAAATGTCTAGTTGAACCCATTGCTGCTCAAGGAGGTGCCACCACTAACTGAACTAATACGTACATGTATTTGTGTAATACAGGATGTTTAATCAGGCTATTTTAACCTTTTATTGAGAATTTCACAAAGATCTAATTACGTTTTAAGTCTAAAATATATGAGAATGCCAACCAACCTAGGGTGTTCACAAAAAATGTCTGAGAACTGTATACTATACTACTCAAATAAACATATGGATGTGCTCATACAAAATATATTCAGTATTGACTTGAAACTAACTGCAGCACACCACATTAAAATGTTTTAACTGGCAACTAAGAAAAAACAGTTGCGATAAACACTTCTAAGTTCACAAAAGTTTAAATAAGTGATTTCTTTAATCAGCTCTTTACATGGCTGAATGAACGTTTTTCAAACTGATGATGATTAAAGACCTCTAATTAAGAATGAAACCACCCCTGTGCTGAATGACCTCCTAGACCCGTTTCTCTCCCAATTCAATTCCTTCGCTCTGTAACTTGTTACAGTTCTCCAGCTCCCACTGCTCCACTCCACAATTTGTGTGGAATTGAATTCTTGGAAAATCCCAAGTGCAATTGGGTTTTTACTACAAGTTTATTTATACACCCATAGATATACAGGGATTTGCAGAGCAGGTGCACGGGTTCGAGCTGAGAAACATTTTTGTGATCTTAATAAATCAAACCTGTTACCTGGGGAGGGATACTTGTCTCTTGTGAGATGGGGGCCCTGTTGACATAAAGGGTAGTGCATTGTTGAAATACAGAAACACGATTGATATTTGTAACATTCCTGTGTATTATAATATATTTAAATATAAGGAAAAAGGCAATGTTTATTCCATGCTGAAAAGAGAAGACAAGGAACACAACATTTTAGCTGTGGAGCCTTCTTCGGGTGTGATTCTTCGGGTGTTCACAGGCTCCACAGCTAAAATGTTGTGTTTCCTTTTCTTCCCTTTTCCTCCTTTGCAGCAGGGAATAAACCTTTACCTGTTCCTTTGCAGCCTACGCATGTTGACACAGCTCCCTACTTGAACTATTCAAGTATTACTTTCCAATAACATAGCAGTATCATAATTCAACAGATTCCTTTAAGATTTAACACTAGCTCATTCATTTTAGTAACAGTAACAGATGCTTAAATTGTCTCAGAATGCTGTGGGTTATGTTGGCAGCAGACATTGAGCTGAGGAAGACTCTTCTTGACACCAAGTTACAAAATGCCTCTGAATTCCACGTTCAAGGGCACCCTTGGCTTTGTTAGCAAGGGCCAGTGGGACTAGCAAGAACTGTTTTCAAAGAGGATCAAACCACCAGTTTAATGAACTTGTTATCAGCCGTTACAGCTCGTTGGCTGCCTTGCTCTGACCGCTAGAAGCACTTCTGTGCTCGCGGTCTGTGTGGTCCGTGACTCAGGAGGAGGGAATGCGATTAGCTGTGTTAGACAGGTCAAAGACACCCGGGCTTTTTCATTTCTTCTTCAACCCCAGTTTCCTGCACTGAGAGGCAACTTTTTGGTTGAAATAAGCAGAGTAGCGTGCTTGGATCTCAGGATAAACGAATGTGCAGAGGATGCGACACTTCATATGCAGTATCACGCTGTTCTGCAGAACTGGGCCTACAGCGCCAGGCACGCAATGCTTTGAAGCATGTTGTAACGCAGCTTCTGGGAAAGGAACTGTTACATTAGGGTTTAGTGTGACAGAACCTGTGTAGAAGCTCCTAGGACACCAGGAGTTCAACATTTCACAAATTTACTGATTATGAGGGAACCGGATTGGTTTAAGCAGGAGCTCCATTACACCAGGTGCTACTTTGAACCCAGCAGCTGATGATCTACATTGGCCAGGAAAACGTATCTTACCAACTTGTGAGGTGTGGATCACAAGCAGCCTTGGTTCCTCATGAAATCCACAAGATTCTGTTGTGGTCGTAGCTGTGATCACCGAGACATGGGCAGTTGGAGTAGTGAGGATAGAGTGTCTGTTGTAGGGGGAGGTGGGGACATGCATTGCTGGGAGGTGATACCTGTGCTGGACTGAATACCCCATGTATGTGCACCTCTAAATATCCCTCTAACTATGAACCAACAAAAAACCATTGAAAGTGCAACAGAAGCACTCCAGACCTGTGAAGAGATGTCCAGGGGTCTTCCCATCTCCCTGTGAAAGGAGACACTCAGTATCCGCGTGCAACACTGCGGTTAAGATGAGTGAAATGTGAAGACTACAGACCAGCGATCACTGACCGTGGGCTTTAGAGGCAGTTAGTCTGAACAGTGTTTTTTTTCACTATGGGAGAAAATGGAACAGCAGCAGAAGAATCACATAAACATGAGGGAACATGCAAACTTCACACAAACGCACCCCAGGACAGAATCAAACACAGGACCCAGTAATGTGATACAACAGCTTTATCAACCTAATCACCATGCCTCTCCACTGCATTAACATCAACTCTTTGCCGCTATGTTTTATGAGTGTTTGTAAAATTATTTTGTACCCGCGTTGAGCCTCCAGGGATTTTAACTTGTGAAATCTGTTTTAATAACAATAAACCCCGAACCCATGATGTTTCATTTAATACCATATTGCAATAATCTTTTCAGTACCAAGAAATACATCTGCAGTTGACATGTCCTGTCAAAGCCTGGCATTAGACAAGGGAAATATTTACTTTATGCAACACTGAGCTTTAAATTTCCTTTGCCCTTTTCCCAGATATGATCAGTCTAGAATGTTTTGTTTCACAAAGCCCCACTGGCTGCAGCTTTTGCATCATGAAGTGCTTCGAGAGGCTGGTCATTCCAAACACACTGGACCCGTACCAATTTGCCTGCTTGCCCAACAGATCCACAGATGACGCAATCTCCATTGCCATACACACTGCCCTAACCCATCTGGATAAAAAGAACACATACGCAACACTACTATTCATCGACTTCAGCTCAGCTTTTAACACTATCATTCCAGAGAAACTAGTCAAGAAACTCAGTGCACTTGGTCTCAACACCACCCTCTGCAACTGGATTCGGGACTTTCTGACAGGCAGACCTCAGGCTGTCAGGCTTGGAAACCACACCTCTGGCACACTAACTCTGAACACTGGGGTCCCCCAGGGGTGTGTGCTTAGTCCAATGCTCTACTCCCTCTACACCCACGACTGTAAGGACAAACACAACACCAACTCCATCATCAAGTTTGCCGATGACACCACAGTTGTAGGTTTGATCACAGACAATGATAAGAGGGCCTACAGGGAGGAGGTCAATCTCCTTACAACGTGGTGTGAAGACAACAACCTCACCCTCAATGTCAGCAACACCAAGGAGCTGATCGTTGATTTCAGAAAACTACAAAACGGTCATGCCCCTATCCACATCAACGGGACTGAAGTGGAAAGGGTCAGTAACTTCAAATTCCTTGGCATCCATATCACCGAGGACCTCACATGGTCTCTCAACGCCACCTGTCTGATCAAGAAAGCGCAACAGCGCCTGTACTTCCTAAGACGGTTGAAGAAGGCTAAGATATGTCCCCAGGTCCTCACTAACTTTTACAGATGCACTACAGAAAGCACACTGACAGGCTGCATCACAGTGTGGTGTGGCAACTGCAGTATTGCTGACTGCAAAGCCCTGCAGCAGGTGGTGAAAACTGCCCAGTCCATCACTGGGGTTGCCCTCCCATCCATACAGGACATTTATGACAGACGGTGCTAAGCATCATCAAAGACCCCACACACACCAGCTACAGACTGTATGACCCTCTACCATCTGGAAAATGGTACTGGAGCATTCGGGCCTGGACTACCAGACTCAGAGACAGTTTTTACCCCCGTACTATCAAACTATTAAACTCCCAGCCTGTCTCGCCTATGATCTGAACCTCACGGTGCCTTCTTTCTTACCAAAAACTCAAACACACATTGAAATCTACCTCTACCACACATGTCAAGAAGCTCACTCCCCAGAATTTCTATCCTTTATTTCATTCTGTTGATGCATGTTTTTGCACATCTCTTGTTGTTTTGCACATTACCTGTTGTCTCTGTCTTTCTTTTATTATACAGTTGTATTGTTGTTGTTGTTTTTTGTACTACTTATCGTCTGAGAGCTAGCTAAATAGCATTTCGTTATACCATATAACTGTATATGAGTATAATGACAATAAACTTGAACTTAATATATACAGTAATATATATATATTGCTTTTATTGTGCTTCAGGAACTGAAGAAAGCTGAGCCAGCGGTACCCACATCAATCTGGCCGGCAGTAGCTGGGATGGATTTTGTGAAATCGGAGGGGCTGTTGACTTTTGAAGCTGGGCAAAGAAGCACAGTACTGGACATCTCCCTCACCCCTGACCGGGCCTCTTCCAACCCCCTGCCCAAAAGGTTCCAGGTGGTGCTCTCTGAGCCCACAGGGGGCGCCAAAGTGCACCCAGAGTTTAGTGTTGCCAATGTGACCATTGTGTCCGACCCAGAGACACAGGCTGTGTGGGCTCTGGTGGAGCAGCTGCAGCAGCCTCTGGAAGAGAGCATCATCAACCGCGTCCTGCAGAACCTGGCCAGCAAGGTCGTGGCAGAGGTCACCAAGGAGCAGCTGACAGCTGTCACCACTGCTCTAGCGAAGGTGAGAAGCAGCATCATTGCTCTTTTTTTTCTTTAGATCACTTTATTGGACATATACAATTTCTTGTATTGGGAATTTGTCTTTTCGCATACCCCAGCTTGCTCTCCATGAGACACACAGACAGGGAGAGAAGCTGGGAGTCAGAGCGCAGGGTCAGCCATTTATACGGCACCCCTGGAGCAGTTGGGGTTAAGGGCCTTGCTCAGGGGTCCAACAGAGTAGGATTCCTCTGCCAGGGGCCACGGGATATGAACCGGCAACCTTCCAGCCACAGGCGCAGATCCTTAGCCACAGAGACACTGCACCGATTCTTCCTAGCAAAGCCATGTTTAATTCCACTGTCTGTATCGCCAAGGACTCTTAGCCTCAGACTCTGCAGAAAATGTCCAGTTTGGAGTTCACATCATTCAGAATGTATTTCCCATGTTCTGTGCAGATCAGTGCAAATTCAACATTTAAAACTTCAGTCTCACCTTAGGGCTTCCTTCCATCCATATAAAGGCATTTTTATTGGAAGTTCAAGGAAAACTCCTAGAACTTAAAAGTTGGGTTCTATGAATTATGTTAATTAGACCATTTATCATTAATATGGTGTAACTAGAAAAGGCCTTTTTGAAGTTGACGTTTTGAAGTATCATTTATAATATTATACATTATGTTCTGCTTCATCTGTTATTATGCTAAGCTGTAAGAAAAACCTGTTTGCAGCTTTCCAGTCTCCAGGTTTAAACTATGCAGCTTGCTAGCTCTCTAGCCTGGTAGCCCTTGATAAATGAAGGATAAATGATTTGGTAATTCGATGCACCACACTTGAGGACAGGAGCTCCCGATCCTGGTTCTGGGCACTCACGCACCTGCTGCTTTTCATTCCAGCTGAGCTCTTTACTTAACTGGGTCCTTAACTGAACTAACAAGTGGCTGGATCGGAACTTTTGCAAGCGTTCTTTTTTTTCTGCTCAACATTTTTTATTACGTTCCTGATTAAAAGACCGACTCTTATCATGATCAGGAACTGAAAACAATCGCCGTGTTCAGATCGATCAAAGTATTAGATTAATTAAGGATTCGATTATGTAACTGACAGCTCAACTGGATTCAAAACATGTTTTGTAATAATACCATCTGTGAAGTAGTATGTTACTGAAACATTATTGACCTCTTGTAATCACTCAAAGCTATCAGCAGAAGTATCAGTATCAGTTTCTCTTCTCAGACTTTTCTCTTTCAAGTCTTATGACGTGCAGAAATGTAAAAAATCTTAATGTATTTATCTCTGCCGTACTGCTGCCTGAGAGACCTCCAGATAAGCGCAGCATGTTCTCCTGCTGATCTTATAAATGGGATTAGTAAACCAGTACTAAACCAGTAGGTGGCGATCTTCCATCCAGATCAGAACCTCCATTGCAATGTCCCATAAAGGCACCAACCTTTTGTTCTGACAGCTCTCAGATGGAAGTGCCAGCTCTCAGATGGGGCTTTAAACTGAGGTCATTAAAGATCCCTTATCACTGTTCGTCAGCTCATAACACCGAGCTCAACACTTCAGTGTCCTTCGGTGTCCTAGCTAAATTCCCCCCCTGGGTTGTACAATCTGGCCTCCCCGAAGTTCCTCCTTAATAGATCCACTGTGCAGTCCGACTGCTGGTGCAGAATAGCTGCCGTGTGGCACTTGGGTGTGTGCTGCTGTTCAGTAGCCAATGAAATGCTGAAGGCAGGATAGGGACAGTAGACTTAACCTTAAGAGTTTTTTTGAAACTCAAAAGTTAGCTATTCCTAAAGTGCTGAACCACACTTTATCTGGCGACTAAAAGTGCCTGTACAACTGCAGAGGGGCAACAGACACTGTGTACCTTTGTGCTGGGGCACTCGGGGAACCCTAGCAACCATGAGTGGGAACCGGCAATGAAGGAAACACATCTGGTCCTACAGTAGCTCACTCCAAAACAAAGTTTGCTCTTTGTTGCCAAGTTTCAGTTTTTTGTTTTATTCTTCCTTTATTCATCTGTTAGTTCAAGTGCAGGGGAAGATTAATATGGCAGAGGAAACAGCTGTCCCTGAGGGCTTGGTAAAAATAAATTAAAGATATATATGTTAGCTCCAGTCTTCTTCCAGGTTGTCAACAATAGGCAATGTAGGCCTGGTGTTATAGTGTGTCTGCATTCCTATTGCTTTCAAGGCAGTATAATTTAATCTCTCCTTTTTTTGTACAAAACAATTTCATTCTGCCACATTTCAGTCGTTAAGCATAAGCATTAATATAACTGACCTTCACTGTGGTTACGAAAGATTGAACAATAACGGCACATACAGTAGAATCCATTCACCTGTTCAGGTGTAAATACCGAAACAGAGAAAATGTCAACAACGACCAAAGGAAACCTGTTTCCCTTCTAAATGCAAAGTATGTGTGAAGTGGCTCTAATCATACTGTGATAACTGTATAACAACTAGTTGTTGTTGATTATTAGCTCTTACATTATTCATCTCTTACTGAAAAAACCTTTTCAGCCCATTTTGTGTAATATTTCATGCAATCAGCATGAGGAAGAGTACCATTATAACTTTGTACATCTTAAAGCAGAAGTATCCTGTTGAGAATTGATTGTTAAACTCATTTTAAGAGCTCTGGGCCGGGGTCTGGTACAATAAGTATGGGATCATAATAAAATATATCATTCTGAATTCTCTGACATTCACAGTGTGCCAGAACTCCATTTGTAGATGGTACACAAGGTGGAGATTTGCCAGAAATAAGACTGATGGAACTTTGGCTTGTCATGTCCCCATAAGAACATTATAGAAACTATTGAAAACCTACTCAAAAAAGGTTTCAAAACCTCGCTTTTCCTCAGGCACTTATCATTTCTCACATAGACAAGTAGCATTTGAAAGGTAAAGAAGAAAGTTAAATCTCATTGATGGTGCCTACCCAGCACCAATGAGGTTATTAGTACTGAAATTTCTCCTGGAATTTCAACATCTGTGACATTAATCTGAATCCATTGAGGATATTTTTTCTAACACTTGACTGAGAAATATCAGAATTGTCAATTTCGGTGCTTCTGCTAATCCCAGCCTTAAAAAAGGGCTCTTTGGTTGGCACTTACAGTAAATAAATTAAATTAACACCACAGATCTGCATGTGTAATTTCTGGACTTGTGCAGAATATTAAATGCCGAAGGATCTTAGTATGGTATCGCCTGACATGCACATATTTTCAGAAGCCCTGGCAAAACAAGATAAACTGTGCTAAGGTACATCTGAGACTGCAGGAGATTAAAGATAACGAAGCTGTTCAGCTCTTTAACTAAAGCATCTTAAAATGATCTTTCTTTTTCATTCTGCATTCTTTATACAATACTGTTCACGATGAGACATTGGGCAGTGAACCGCTCTTGTGCAGCTGGCCTGTATTCCAGGAGTCCTCTGATTTCGTTTCATCCTGACTAACCTCATGTGCTTGGGTGTGTCCTAGGTGCTGATGGAGGGCGAGCAGAGCTCTCTGGCGGACAGCAGTAGGAGCTTGACCTATGACCTCCTGTGTGCTATGGCCAACCCCACCCGCAAAGACACACGAGGCCTCAGCCAGCTGTCTGAGGTCACAGAGCGGTTCGCTCTCTCCCTCCTCACTGACACAGCCTGTGGCTCCCAGGGAATCAGGTAACGCCATTGCATGATGGCCTGTCCGACACTTGCTTTGCTTATTCTGAGTAGAGTCCACGGCTGCCTGAGAGTTTAGATGGACTGTTGACAATGTTAATGTAAGAAGACCTGTAGTTTTCACTCATCCAAATACAGCTTCTGTTCATACAATCCACATTTGTCATGCTGCAGGAGTATTTTTAGAAACAGCGATTACCTGGTGGGCTTAATCATCTGTATTGCGCAAACGATTTCCTCGGGCTTCCTCAGGAAATGGCAGTATGAGGTTCTCAGATCAATACGCTGCTAACAACCAAACAAACAAGATGGGCAAAACGACCTTTCCCCCTTGTAATTTTTCATCTAGTGATCTGTTATTGTTATAAAAGGCTGAGAAAGGACCGATACTAAGCAAAAGAACACAAAAGCTTAACCAGCATTTTTTTTATTATGGTTTCTATTGCAATCGGGGCTCATAAACAGCCAATTATCAACTTTCCCTCACTTCCCTGAGAAAAACAACAACAATCCATCCCCTGCAGATATTCTTAGTTAAACCGTATTAGTCTTTCCATGCACTGAACCAAAGTAAACAGTAAGACTGAACAAAGAAGGAGCCAGGGCACTTTCACTGTAAAACCCTGCCAGTCCCCCCAGTGAGTGAACCCATTTGGTGGCTCAGACTCCACTGAGGTTGGCTGGCAGTATCTTTCCGTGGAAGCTTTGCTTTACAAGCTACTGCGGAGCTCCTCATATCAATACGTTTTTGAAACAAGACAAGCAGATAAAAAGCGACAACACAGACTGGACGGCAATCCATTTCATTCGTCCGCAGTCGGCCACGCGGCACATTTTCAGAGTACAGGATGCTTCAGTGCTCTTATCTTCTCTTTTCTGTCTGAGCTACTCTGAACACTTGTAGATTCAGAATAATGCACCGCTGTGACCCGTGGCGTTTTTATAGACGTGAACTTTTAGATCACAGAATAGCCCCTGCTGTTTTGCTGACATCTGTAAAACACAATACTTTACGGTCCTTTTGTGCAGCAGTTGAGTAACAGGGCCATTTGGCCTCCCAGCAGCCTGCCAACAGCTAGCCTAGCCCATTCCAGGACGGGGGCTGACTTCCTTTATCTCGCCTGGAAGAAGCAGCCCCTCGGTGCGGTCCTGCGTCGGTCCCAGCGCAGCGGGCGGCGCAGGCAGAGCGGGGGAGCGCGGCGTGACGCGAGCCGCGAGCCGGCCTGCGTCACGGAGGAGAGGGGCAGGAGGAGTGTTTACAGAGCAGGGCGCTGCAGGGCAGCACCCAGGAGAGCCAGCACAGGCTTGCTTAGAGCACTCATCATAGACAAAGGGGCTTTTTTTTTTTTTATTCGTGCCATTAAGTAAGAACATTGGAGATAAAAAAAAGGGAAACAAGATAAGGGTGATTGATTTCAGTGTCTGTTAATGGGCTGTTTATGTAAGAAGCTTGGAACCGGGCTCATGAGACTTCACTGAGGGCCCCCTGCCAATCTCTGCGCTTACGCTTGGACAGGGCTCACTGTGGGAGCCTGGAAGGACACGGAGTGCCTACAGCGAAGTATGCCTCCCATCGGCCAGAGATTTTTATTTTTGGATCCAAATTAAAGTCCAGCGTTTCATTCCGCGAAACAGCAAACACCCTACTGCCAAGTTTCCTTTCGGTATTTTATCTCTGGCTGACGTGAGCCTCTTGCGGATTGCCCGTATCGCTCTCAGAGCTCCTTAATCTTCGGCGGTTACGGTACAATCAGCATTCTGGGATAAAATGCTGAGCCCTGCGTTAGAACGGGTTCATTCTACCCTTTGTAAGTAACACCGATTCACACTCTGATCCGTTTACAGTGTTGCTTCAGTGCCCTGCTCTTGCAGAAGTGCTCCCAGACTGAAAGGCAAAGAAAAAGCCTTTTAACCAATTCAGGTGTAATGAGTGTCATTTTGAGACATATATGAGAGAGACCCCTTTCAGCATTGTTTATGGCATTAAAAAGCATCCCAGTCAATTAAGGACTTGCCCAATAATTGAATTACTCTGATATTTCAATTAATTTACCAAAAAAGAGAGAGTTTTGCTTGATCCCTTCTCGTCTTTTCCTGATGCAGTCTGACTGTCCTCATTGTCTTGCCTTGCCTTCCAGGGGTAAGACCATACTAGACACCTGCCCATACATTTCTATTGGGGCCTTCCACTGGTACCCTCAGCAGATCAATGGGCACGCCTTTGAAGGGAAGGACGGGGACTCAATCCAGGTCCCAGAAGCCCTGCTGGAGGTACCAGCTCTGCCTCCTGACCGCGTCCCCACGGCTGCCTGCGAGAAAGTGCAATTCACAGAGTACAGCAGCCAGCAGTGGTTTCTCACTGACAGCAAGCCCACGGCGCTCAACAACAAGGCAAGCTCATTACACAGGGGGAACCAATACAGAGGCAGACTTTTTTTCTGTGCTCCTGCTCGTTTTTCACAGCATGGCTTCTTTTCAGTGTGCAATCTGTTGATCTTTTCAACAGCAGATATCAGGAAGATGCTGAAGGTTTCTTAAATGTGTGCAAGTGCACCGTGCTTTTCATTCCATAGTCTGGATTATAGCTGTTGTGTTAATCAACCGTAGTGTATTTATCTGAAAAATGCTCAGCTTTATGTTTATTGCCCTCTTTTTAGTGTGCTTTAAATCTCAGTCTATCAAAAAAGGAAGTTTTTTATCTTGACATTTTACTTAGACTGCTGTACACCTACAGTAAGCATCATGTTGCCAATAGCCAAGGGCACAGATTTTTTTTTAAATAATGTAAACCAGGAAGTGTAATGTTAGACAGACAAGAGTGAGCCTCATTTCCAGTGCAAATACAAAATATACAGTGATAACCAACATAATGCAATAGAGTTGTATTTTTTAAAGTATTTACTTAAAATTACATTATAAAATAATCCACTATACCAGTATTTCTCATTTACTCAACATTTGCCACCATAATTCTCTCCCAGTCCAATCCCTTTCCTTGGGCTAAATGCCTGTACAGGATGAGAAAATACTAACTTTACTACCTTACTTTGATGATGTTGAGGATTTTAAAATACCTAAACCGAGTCTGCACTGGAAGTTGCTGCAGTGGGGAAGATGTTCTGTTGGGTTAAAATTTTAAGGAGTTTACGTTTTAAGAAGCTGATGCCAATTGTACCAGTCCTGCGTTTTTAAGTCCTCTTGTTGTCTCCTAGATCTTTTCTCTGAGTCTCAAAGGCCGTGGATCCCAGCCCCTCTCAAGTAATAATGAGGTCAAGTATCGCATTCACACTCCCGCTGGGCGCCTCAAGCCAGGCCAGTCCCTGTGCCTCCTGTGGAACCAGGCTTCTGAAAGGTACTGTCCTACTCAGAGTGCGACGCCCCAGAGCACAGACACTAGATGGGCCGGGTGGCTGGTTCCAGATTCCCACTCATTCCAGGGAAAGATCCGTTACATTGGTTGTGTTGATGTTGATACGACAGATCTTTTCTAAATCTTGAGATCTAATAGCATACAGTACTCACCCCCCACCATTACACACACAAAGCGTACAGGAGACTGCATCCCAAAGGGAATATTTTCCTGGATCTCCAGGGCTGTTTTTCCATTTCTGCTGTTGCTTCTTTCCTCCACAGCTGGCTGTCAGACAGTCAGTATTGCCGGGTGGTGGACGACACAGCGAACTTCGTGGAGTGTGCCTGCTCCCACTTCTCCATCTACACAGCGTATGCACAGACCGATAGCCTGCCTTCCTACAATGAGGCCTTCTACACTGCGGGCTTCATCTGTATCTCAGGTAGGGCTTAGAGGTGCTCTTCGCTTCACAGAAATGTCTCCTTACAATCTTTCATACAAATTGGTTCTGGGTTTCCTTTGGTCATGAGGTCATGGGTTTCTAAAACTTGTACCCAAACAGCACAGACTGATCTAGGCCACTTGTACCTTTTGAAAATGGTGTGGCACCATTATTTTCATAAATAAGAAAAAAATGTGCTTATGTGTTTATCGAGTTATGATCAAAACATTTCAGGAATTGATCAACTGTAAGGTTTAATCAAGTGACAGCTCTGTAATCTAGTCTTACTGAGGTAAAATGTTACTTTTCAGCGATATAAGTAAGTATATATTCAATATACTTTTTTCATGACAAGGTGAGTTGGCCAAGTACAGTATGTCATCAGGAATCATTTACCAATCAACATAGACTAAAATCAGGAAAGATTTAGAATGTTTTAAATAATACTTTCTTCTTCTCCATAGGATTCTGCTTGGCCATCCTGTCCCATGTGTTCTGCTCCAGATTCTCAATGTTTGCTGCCAAACTGCTCACACACATGATGATGGCGTGTTTGGGAACTCAGGTGGGCCTCTCAGCTTCTGTAAATTTTTACAGCTTTGCTTACTGTTTATTAGAACAAGCATGCAGTTAGCTCTGATATGGCAGCTATCCTGTTTTTCTGAGTGCTTGGTTTCTGAGATATTCTCTGTATTTGCTGGGAGGAATACTACAGTGTCATGACTGTTGGTTTTGGTGTGGAAATTTCATATAAATTCAGTGATGCATTAAAGCAAAACATTTCTGTTTTAGTTAACATGGATGTAAATAATAGTGGTTTACTTCACTTGGTATGATAGTTCTGTAGCAGAAAACATCAAAACTTGAAAAAATATGTTTTTTACACATCTGCATTTTTACACAAATATGTCTTAATTATTACTTTAATACTACCATATATATTTTATAAGGAAACTAAGATTCTTTATGGCAGACTGAACTAATGATTATTTTAACACTTTTTTTATAAATCTCATTTTAAAAGTGTCTTAACATACTGTCTTATCTGTTGGTTTGGTAGTATCAGTACTTCAAGCTACATTGTGGAGCATGTGACTTTTCCTCTTCAGGGTCAGTTTACACTCCTCCAATTTGGGGGACACCTCTGTGTTCCAAGGTGTTAGAGTAGGATCATCTCTATCATTTTTCCTTAAATGAGTGCATTTTCACTTAAATAATTGTCCATAAAATAGTTAGTTTTTTTCCCTGACATTTTAATCCCTGACCTCTTTGTGGGTGATAGTTATTTTTCGTTGTATTATGTTAGACTGGCAGCAGGGATGGTCAAGCACACGAGAACTAAGCACAGAGCACGTGATTTTCCAGATGAAGGAGAACTGGGGGAAAGTTGTGAAAAGACAAAATCTGTTAAACCTGGCGAGGTGCTAAATCTTCACAGTTCACTTAATTTGCATGACATGTGACAGGTTTGCACTCTGTAAATGACTATAAAAGTGTGGTGCGAGTTACAGTACCACAAGAAATATCCCATTTGTTAACGTGTCCGTGCTCAGTGGTGCAAAGAGATGTGTTGTTCAGTGCTGTACCGTGGTTGTTGTGTTTCTTTGTGTATGAGAGGAGACTGTGCTCTTGGCCAGGCTGGGAGAACCTTCTCCTGGGTTTCTATAGACGCCACACCTAAGACACACTAACTGTTGTGGCTCCGATGGTTTAAAACAACACTGCATCCCTAGAATTCAGCAGCTACACAATCTGTAACAGCTGGAATCACTGTAAGGAACGCTGATTGGTAGTTACAGGTATTTGTTTTGTTCATTGTATTGTTTCATGCTATGAAGTCCCAATGAAACACAAGTATGGAACAGAGAATGTGGAAAGATGAAATAATTGCTGTGCTTTAGTTTCTCACATCAGTAGAAAAATTCAATGCAAGAACATGTAAGCAAGAAAATACATTGTTGCATATTTTCATCTCCTTGTCCTGATAAATCAGTCTTTTTTATTTTTCTTCTTACTGTGCTCTCTCTTCTTTTTCTCATGGTTAATGCACCAGATGGAATCTTCTCCTAATACTGATACACCTGAGTCCCAGTAGATGGGAATAAAGTGTTGTTTTCAGTGTTTGTTCTAATTGTGAGTAAGAAAAAAGCAAAATGAACAACATGTTTTGGGTAATGCAACCTAGGGAGACTGGAGACCTCCCTGACAACAGAATCATTTTTAGCCTCCCCTTTTCCTATAAAACACAGGGAGGGATGTGAGTGTTAAACTGGTGAAAGAAAAATGTGACTAGTTAGATGATGTGACTGAAAGCTCATCTGGTGTGGCCCTATGAATTTTAATGGGGTCGATTCTCGTACCTGGAAATTTCCACTGACATTACTCATCGTGAGCAGACAGGGCAAGCAAGCTTCACTCTTCTCCTGATGGCAACTCAGTAGTTCCGTTCTTTTTATTGCAGAATTTAACCATTGCTGGAAAAAGAGGCATTAGGTTGTGAGTGGAAAATTCCCATCTTTTTAATACACCTGCAGGACAGAAGACACTGACTGATGCAGTGGTCATTTTTCTCCTTAGAATATGGCCTTACTGGGGTCACAGTTTGTCTACTGCAATTCTGGTTACACTGCTGTTTTTCAGGGCTAATTCAAACAAGACTAGTTTTAAACCAATGCATAATTGTGAATAAAAAACTAATAATTTTGAATAAAATTCTGCTTAAGTTGACATGCAGAGACAGATATCTAATGCATAAAACCTTGACTTCTATTGTTTTTAATTTATATTTTTTAATTTAAGCAACTCTTCAGATTCATTTATGGTGTTCCTTTCACATCTTCTAGATATCCGACAGTTTTGTCTGAAAGGAGTTTTCATGTTACTGACTAGAAACTCAGTGTAAGCTATGAGAATAATAAACATCCACCCATAGCACTCCAGATATTGAACCCAGGGTCCCAGCCCTGCAAGGGGGCAATATTAACCACTGCACTGCTGTGCTGCTTAGATGATGAACAGTTTAATGTAAATATATTTTGTACTATAAATATGTTGGTAATGCATATCTGTGTTTGTCTGGAAACAGATCAATACAAGCATTACAAGTTGAGATTACAAATTGCAATTTTTGGAAAGTTTAAAATATCCTTGTCCCTAATGCAAGCTTGTGATTACATGAACATCTTTGAATGCTGAATTGCATCAGGTTTTCTCATTTCTTTATTATGATCTTCTGAAAAATCATCAATAATATTTAAAAAAACATGAAGAATATAATTGCAGGATATATTATTTGCTTTTTTCTAAATGGAAAACCAAGTTGTTCAGTTTAATTAAATTAACTCTTGAATTTAACATAAAATTAAAAGTGATGTTGTGTATTAAGAAACCCTAACTATCTCGTTCTGTCCAGCAATTCAGATTACTCCAGTCCCAGACTGGCAGAGAGGCAATAAAAATAAAAATAATCAGCTACCAAATATAGTCGTATGCATAACAGTATAATGAGAATAAGACTCTTGACTGTTCTTGAAAGTTACCACTTGACCTGTCATTGTGGGTCCTATTGTTCCAGCCCTATTCAAGCATTCTGGGCTGTTTCCACAAGGTGAATGAAAGGCATTTCTTTATAGGTGAAGCCTGCCAACACAAGCCTCCTTGAAGTTTTTTTTTATGTTGTGCCCCTTTTAGTCGTTCCCTAGGGAAAAACAAAAAGTTAAAACCAAGGAATTTATTTGGGAATCACCATAAAGAAAACGCTCGAACGAAACCCAAATCTTAAGAATGGAGCAAAACGATTCTATCTAGATTCTTTGTTTAAAATACTGAAAGGTATCCTCAATCATGCAAACACTGGAGGGCACAAATGAAAAGTAAGCACAGGCACACTCAGGACTGAAAACAGGAAGCACTTTTTTACACAGAGACTGGAATCTGTTAGTGTTCTTAAGGCTGTTTTTTTAAGGAAAAGTGTGATTGGTTTCTCATGAGTTTCTGATGGGGTGCTGCGGTGGCTCTGTGGCTCAGGATCTGCGCCTGTGGCTGGAAGGTTGCCGGTTCAAATCCTGCAGCCGGCAGAGGAATCCTACTCCAGAGGGCCCCTGAGCAAGGCCCTTAGCCCCAACTGCTTGTAAATGGCTGAGCCTGCGCTCTGACCTCCAGCTTCTCTCCCTGTCTGCGTGTCTCATGGAGAGCAAGCTGGGGTATGTGAGAAGACAAATTCCTCATACAAGAAATTGTATATGGCCAATAAAGTGATTTTATCTTATTAAAAGTATCCAAAATGTAAAAAGTCAGACAAGCACTATATAATTCATTAGGCTACTTTATCAGCTTTATGGTTAGAATGACAGTTCGCCTCCAAAGAACTAGAAAATCACCTATAAACCCATTTGACACTAGAAAAAGACAAGATAAAATAGGGCTACAGAATGGCCTAAATGACCTCCTATCATTTTTAAAGAGATATAAGTATCATTATATATAAGACTTATAAGTATCATTATTGTTGAGATTTGTACGAATTATTACAAATAGGACATAAGCTTCAGTTCAGTCCTACAATGACATGTGAATATGTAGACATAATTAGTTATGACATAATTATACCAGCTGCAAGAATGACTTCCAAACTAGTTCAATTGAAATGTTAGCTCTGCAAATACCTACTTTTACAAATTCCCAATATTACAGGATTATGGCCTGTAATGATTTAAAAATGAAACCTTAATATTTACTTTTAGTTACATTACCATATATTACTGAATAATAGGAATGCAGTGAACTCTTTGTGAATGAATGGATTCATTTTGTTAGGAGAGGATATACAGTATTATGCAAGTGAATGCGTTGGAAAAGAATATGTGATTATACTTTCAAATCATTAGCAGCTCAATATAGATTTTAAATGTACATTTTAAAATTGTGGATGTTCTTTCATCTCTCCTTACCTTTAGCATTTTGATGTTAATTCCTCTTCAGGTGGACTGCTGTCTTTATTTTTCAACCTTCTAAGAATGAACAAAAGGAACAGGACTACTAGTTTCCTGGCAACCTCACACTCAGACTACTCTTCTCCCCTAGCTGGTCACAGAACTTGAGTGAAGAAACAGCAATGATATACAAATAAATGAATAATACTGAATAACAAAAATAAATAAAAATTAGTAATTACAAGTGAAAATGATGCTCCCTTATATTTGTCTAGACGCTACAGGTAACTATTCCATGCTTTGTCCTGAGAATGATATTACAGGCAAATGAGAATTATATTATATTACACAGTAACATACAGTATACAGATGATAATGAATTAGGCTGAATCAGAAGGATTGTTTACTGCCTTCAGCTTCCCCCTGTCTGACATTGTACTCCTTTTGGGCTGTTGACATTTTTGCTTGAGAAAAATAAGGGCCTCTCTTTGTTTAGCCATCTCTGGAAACTTGTCTTAAAACTGTTTCAAACGCTGGTCTTGCACTGTTCTAAAAAAATACAAAAAAAACGAACGAGCTTGACAGCCCAGGTATTGTGGATCCTTCATGATTTATTTCTGTTGTTGGTAACTGG